CGACAGTTTCTCCCCTTCGCCGTTCAGGACATTATCCGAACCGTTCACGTAGACGAGATACACGCTGTTCCTGCCTCCAAAAATCTTCTCGGCAATGCATCGGGCTTCATCCTCTTCCGCAGCATTGTCGAGAGCAATAAACGCGGTTTCCTGATCTTTCAGATCCGCTGGCGCAAGCTGTTTTCGCATCGGCGTCAGATTTTCTAGAACAAACTTCCGCATTACGGGTATGAACTTTTTTTCGACTTTTGCTTTCACGTAAGTGTCAGGATTGAACAGCCGAAAGCCGAGCACCGAAATGTCTGCCACGCGACCCCCTCCAGAGGACTCTAGGTGCTTCTTCAAGGCTTCCCCGACTCGATCAAACAGGGCAGCGTGACCACCCTTATGCATCGGGTTCAAGGTTCCCTGAGAATAAGCAAGCGACGCTCCCTTGTACCTTATGGCTAAGAGGTTGCCGAGTGTCCTGAGACTGGGAGGCGTTACCAGACGATGACGAACGAAGGACACGACCAGGACACGTAGTGTCTTGGCCCTATACATCTGGTGCTCGTGTGTCGTCGACCAAAAAGGCGCTTCTCAGACTGAGGCAGACCCAGGTCGTGATGCCAGCATACACAACAACCCCTCCAAAAGCAATCAAGCAGATGCTGGCCCAAACAGGTAAACCACACCCCTTGGTGTTGTTTTGCTCAGGAGGAGTAGCGCCAGTTGTGCTGGTAAAGTTCTTCTGCCCGTCCGAAGCCGACATCTTTTCTTCCTTCAGCTCGAATTGTCCTTAAATCAGTAGACTTGTCCTCGTTGTCAGTAGAGCAGAAAGAGGCTCATCCTAAGTCATCCCGTAGCACTTCCTCCGACGCTAACGACAGTTCATGATAGATATAGCAGATACGAGGTCGCGTTTCTGTATTGAAAAAGCAGCTGGATGGCGATCTGATATCACCAGCCACACCAAAAGAGGATCCCTTATCCTGTTCCTGCGCTATATTTACAGGCGAGGAGGTCCATTTATGCTGTGCGGCATCTTTCCCTTCTAGAAGTCGTCTCATCCTAGTCAGCCCACTCTCCTTCGAGAAGTCGCAACGCGCTTGCGGTGCTGGAGCGCCACCAGGGGAGCTATCCACTGGCTTACAACTGTTTCTCAAGGTAAAACCAAATACTCCCGCATGGATTGGTTCCCATGTCTCTACAACTGCACTCAGCGCTGCCGGCAAGAGTCTTCTGCGGGCAAAGTCCTCTGCTTCCTCATAAGTCTTCAGCTGTTGGCTGGCATTCATATCAGCTACAGGAGCAACTATATCGTCAGTGTCGTCCTTCAGAAGATCACTCCAATCCTAGGAAAACAAGTTGACCAGCCTAAGCCCAGCTGTGAATAATTGCTCTTCTTCTCCTAAACGTCGTAGGCTCTTACAAGCAGCTGCGGACGAGTTGTCCTTCTCACCTAATCCTGTTACAGTTACACCTCCTCCACAGCGGGGTCCGTTCTTCCTTGCGTTTTTCGCCAAAGCTCTGGTCTCTTCCATCCTTACATTCTGGGTAGTGTCGCAATGTTGAGCCATGCGGGACGTGAGTTCGTGCTTGTTCTCCCAGTCCAATTTGCAGTCCTTCGTCCGCACGATCGTAGCAGTATACATAGAGCGGCATTTCCCTCGTCTTCTGCTTCTCGTAGGGCTTGACGAAGAGGATGTAAAACACCGATGCATTTGCTTGGTCAGAAAGGCTTATATCGTTGCTTGGACCTCCAGCAGACGAACTCCGAACTGTTGGCCAGTGTTTGTGACAGAAGGGTGAAGATCCAGATTGGAAAATGATGTTGGACGTTGTCATAAAGAGGTATAACAATGGTACTTAGATAAAATTAACAACGTAAGTGGACAGGTCAATACGTAGAAAGGCAACGAACTCGATGGTGATCAAGATGGGAAAAAGAAGTACACTAGACACAGGACAAGGACTTCTCGGTCATACGCTTTCAAGATCTGGAATCATCGCCACGCGTGGTGTTGTTTGCCAGTATTGACGATCTTAATCTAAATTACGACGAGCTTGGTAATCTCCATGCATTATCATGATGCATGCCTGTCTTGATGACTTGAGTGGGCGTGGGGAATCGCAGGGACAGGATTATGAATCTCCAAAACAACATAACCGCACTCATGAAACTTTCAATACAGAGGACAACGTAAGATATCCAGACCCGTGAGCTAAGAAGCAACTCTACCGATTTTTTTTCATCCAGAATCAGTTACCTCTGTCAGAATAATCAATACATCGAATTTCCAATTTCTTCACAAGATACGCCACAGACGCAGGATCGACTTGCAGACCTTGGAAGTCACCTTTGCGTTCACAATAGACGCAGGACCGAATTGCAAGCCTTGGAGGTCACCTTTGCGTAGACATAGACGCAGGACAGACTTGCAGGCCTTGCAATTCACGTTTGCATTAGCCGATGACAGACAAGGTCCTCTCATGAGGACACAGAATTATCCAAGATCTCACATCTACTGCGGAACATAACACATTCATATAAGCAACCCAATGTCACCTGTTATGCGGGGACATCGACGAATCTAACTTACACGTATGAACAATGCAACGTACTCAAGAGGACCAGAATTCTCGATGCAGTCGAAGATGTTACACCACAACAACTGTGAAGGCTTCTTCGCACTTTGCCACTTTTATTTCTCACCATGATCTACAAGAAATAAATACCTGCACCAAATTCACTGAAAGAGACTATGACAGCTCACTAAATTTCCTTACATCAACTGCGCAGACAGATCGACCCTGCTCGCCTACTTCTCACCTACTCTCACTCAGCTAAGCTGTGTCCTCATAATAGTGGATGATATATCCTACTTCAGAATACCCACCAAAACTACTAGCGGACGATATATACGACCATCAATTGCTGCCAAAGTGGGTCTACACGAGGTCGTGGTGCGACCGACACTCCATCATGTGCGGTGCAATGCGACTGGTACTCGAAACACCTGGGGCACCAGACGGAGGTGGCGTAATGGGTCACGTGAAGCACCACACGACGGTGCAAAGCGACTGGTACTCGAACCACCTGGGGCATCAGCAGACGGAGGCGCCGTAATGGGTCACGAGAAGCACCACACGACGGTGCAAATCGACTGGTACTCGAAACACCTGGGCCACCAGACGGAGGTGGCGTGATGGGTCACGTGAAGCACGACACGACGGCGTAGTGCGACAGGTCCTCGAAACACCTGGGCCACCAGACGGAGGCGGCGTAGTGGGTCACGTGAAGCACCAAATGACGGTGCAAAGCGACTGGTACTCGAAACACCTGGGGCATCAGCAGACGGAGGTGGCGTAGTGGGTCACGTGAGGCACCACACGACGGCGCAATGCGACTGGTATTCGAAACACCTGGGGCATTAGCAGACGGAGGTGGCGTAATGGGTCACGTGAAGCTCCACACGACGGTGCACAGCGACTGGTACTCGAAACACCGCGGGGGCACCGGACGGAGGCGGCGTAGTGGGTCACGTAAAGCACCACACGCAGGTGCAAATCCACTGGTACTCGAAACACCTGGGGCACCAGACGAAGGTAGTGTAGTGGGTCACGTAAAGCACCACACGAAGGTGCAAATCGACTGGTACTCGAAACACCTGGGGCACCAGACGAAGGTAGTGTAGTGGGTCACGTAAAGCACCACACGAAGGTGCAAATCGACTGGTACTCGAAACACCTGGGGCACCAGACGGAGGTAGCGTAGTGGGTCACGTAAAGCACCACACGCAGGTGCGAATCGACTGGTACTCGAAACACGTGGGGTACCAGACGAAGGTAGTGTAGTGGGTCACGTAAAGCACCACACGAAGGCGCAAATCGACTGGTACTCGTAACACGTGGGGTACCAGACGAAGGTAGTGTAGTGGGTCACGTAAAGCACCACACGAAGGCGCAAATCGACTGGTGCTCGAAACACGTGGGGTACCAGACGAAGGTAGCGTAGTGGGTCACGTAAAGCACCACACGCAGGTGCAAATCGACTGGTACTCGAAACACGTGGGGTACCAGACGAAGGTAGTGTAGTGGGTCACGTAAAGCACCACACGAAGGCGCAAATCGACTGCTACTCGAAACACCTGCTGCACCAGACGGAGGCGGTGCAGTGGGTCACGTGAAGCACCACACGACGGCGCAATGCGACTGGTACTCGAAACACCTGGCGCATCAGCAGACGGAGGCAACGTAGTGGGTCACGTGAAGCACCACACGGCGGCGTAGTGAAATTGGCAGTTGGTCACGAGAGGCACCACCAGACGGAGGCATAGTGCGACTGGCACTCCGACACTTGGAGCCGTCCTGTACAGCCTGACGTGCTCATCCTGAGTGCTAACGGTGCTCTCAAATCGAAAGTTGGGCATGTCAGACCGGTGCCTCGAAGAACTGCGCACCCACAGCTCCTTCAGGATCTGTGAAAAATGAATTTCAGAAAATTTCGATTTTTAAAATTTGGTCCTCAAGAATGATAATACATCACGACCTTCATGTATGTGAAGCTCTACATCCGCACACATCAGATTCAGAACAACAGGAATATGAACCTCTACAACTACAGCATTATATTCAGTGAATATAGATACCTTCATGACAGCCTTTGCACTTGCAAAGGGCCCTCTTGTCAACATCCGGCTTCTCCAAGCCGCGCAACGCCTTGTCGAACATGTCGTACTACTTGTCCACTCTTTTTCGGAGGGATGGGGCCCTTCTCCTGCTATTCTGCTACACGTACCAGTCCAGACAGTACCAGACAATCTCCATGTCCCTCGCGTATCCGAGGTCCGTGCCCACATCCTTCCGCGGATTCTGCTTGATTTCGACGAACTTGGAAGCTGCTCCTTGCCATGCTCGATTTGACTGAGACTGCTTTTGGTGACGTCGTAGGAGCTAACTTTGCCGAAAATGGATGCTACGCGTAGGCCTCCTTGTACTCGAAGACGACTGCGAATCTGAGATTTCAAAAGTCCCACTGATGGAACAGCAGCATGTTGTGGTTTCACCTAAGGTTGGCTTCTTTTTAGATGAACAAGGAAAAGCTGTTCGTGTGAGATCATGAATTGTACTACTTCCAGAATCCAGCATCATTGTCGTCCTACAAGTTTGTTGTGTTGACAACTGAAAACAGCTTGCTATAGCCTCACCTCTGTCCTCTGCATGCCTTCTTGTCCTTGTTGTACGACAAGACGTCTTCCGGGAGACTGGCAAGGGCCACACGTCGATGGACCACGACCAGGAGAACTGCAGCCGCATCTTTTTTCTGATGAAACGAAAGATTCTAAATTCATTTTTTTTCTAAATCAAATTCTAAAAAAAACCTCTACCAAAAGACAAAAGGTGAGTCAGCTTTACACTGTTCGGTGTGTGTAGATGAAGTCATCCTCGGGTTTTCGGGAGGACAACATCGGCTGCAGAAGTGAAATAATTGATCATCTTCCGGTTGCAGGGCAAGAACACGTCTTCCTCTTCGAAGAGAAGCTTCCTCTCCGATGCACCAAGAATATGGCTTCGGTGAGACGATTGTCTTCCTCCAAAGTGCATGTATCACATTCGAGGTAAAGAATCTACATTCAGAAGGTTAAATATCTTTCTTTGTTTAGAAGATTTAGATTTCTTAGGATACAACAGGCGGGGAATCATGAAGGTTCTTGGGTTTTTTTGCTCCATGGGAATCTGCTCAGCTTTCGGTATACTGTTCATGATGATATTTCCAGAGTTGGTTGCTTGGGCTTGACATTTCGCAAACGGAGGAGGACAAACACTGAGCAAACAGATCAGAACGTGAATGGTCACAAAAATAATGAATTCATGTATCACATCAAGGGCTCTTGGGGGGGGAACGCACTCCTAGTGGGTTTTGGATCAGGTCAGCGCTCAGTTTGAGCACGTCACAGAGGACGAGTGCCGCAAGTGTTTCTAATAGGTTTTCTTCTTCTTCATTACCAGTGGGATCGCAACTAGCAAGAGCATGACCAGACGCAACAGCGTGATAGAGGTCCCAGTCGTGTGGTGTGTTATTCTCCTCATCCATAACCACACTCATCAAATCGAGTTTGTTCTCCGCACTTCGATAAACTCCGAGTTCTGCCAGCAACCCTCGAGTCTTTTTTGTGTTTCCCGCAAATGACGCTTGGAGAATGGAACGCGCATTCCAAACCGCCTCCGACGGATATTTCATGAAAAACGCATCCCATTTATCAGCGTCGAGAGTGTATCGCAGACCAACATCTTTTTGATTCTTGAAGATGATGTCGCAAAGTCTGCTCTTGAAGTCCTGGCTCGAAACATCCATCTCGTTACCCCGTAGTGCGCTTTGGAGCGCGACACGAGGTGAGAAAACACCTGAACTTTCTAGTTTAGTCGAACCCGATTCTGATCCTGATGTGTCTGATGCATCCGCTCTGCAGTTGGCGACTACTTTCAAGATGCTAGTGTCGGAAGATGCGGTTGCTGGCTGCTTGGGCTCCATCTCCCCATCCATTTCGCTTGGGAGCACGGCACGAGGAGAGACAACACCTGAAGTTCCTAGTTTGTGCGGATCCGATGCATTCTCTGGGAGAGTCTCGGCTCTGCCGTTGCTGGCGACTGCTTTCAAGATGCTAGCGTCGGAAGATGCGGCTGCTGGCTGCTTGGGCTCCATCTCCTCGAGCAGTTCTTCTTTGAGCTCGGCACGATGAGAGACAACACCTGAAGTTCCTAGTTTGTCCGGATCCGATTCTTGTTTTGATTGAGCACCTGGAAACGATTTTGTCCGATGAAGTTCGTGCAAGTCAGTTTCTCATTTCAGTACGGAAGAAGTAGAATTATGATTATGTCGTGATTTGCATTTGGTGAGATGTACATGAAGAATCGTGATAGACCTGAAATATTACCAATTGTTGAAAAAATAACGAGAGAAAGTCGTTAACAACGGTTACCAAGATGCAGAACGGTGTACTGGTATCCTGCAACAAGGGATTCCGAAGAGGTCCGTTGAATCGCATGAACCTCAACGACTTAAGGTTCAGTACCTAAATTATTGCTCGTCGTCGGCTCCTCAGCACTAATCTGTGAAGCAGGTAAGGAAGCAGTATCACGTCGAGTGACTGTGGTGCTCGTCTCGGAACCGGAATCGGACCTCTGCAGATCGAAACAAGCAGGATGTGGGACAAGGAGGGATGCGAGTTCGTTACCTGCAGGCACGGTGGAGGATAGTTTGTTCAATACTTGTTCGTGGACATAGTCTCAGAAAAAGATGTGGAGTATAGTGCATAATCAACCTCCAATACAAGAATAGAATTCTTCTATACAATCAAGAGTCGTAATCGGTTCGCTCGACTGAGGTCCTCGGGCCCAAGGAGGACATGCCAACAGGTAAGCCTGATGACTTTCTCGGAGTTTGTCGTACACAAGCTGCGCAGACTTCTCCCACCACTCCGCGGTCTCTTGCGTGAATGAATTCCAAATCCAATTGCTGCAGACATGATTATAATACGTAATTACTTCGTCCGGCATAACCTGCACCTGCTCCTGCGAGCCCTGCACCTGCTCCTGCTCCTGCGAGCCCTGCACCTGCTCCTGCTCCTGCGAGCCCTGCACCTGCTCCTGCGAGCCTATAAGTGACATTTTGGGTCAAGAAGGGATCCGAGTCTTCATCTTGTACCTGGATGCATGATGGATGATGGCTTATTCAATCACTAGTATTTCGGATTGACCATATGATCAAAGAAAGTAGTACATGATCAGCAGACGATTCTGCTGGCATTCTTCAACAAAAGATTTGGAGAGAGTTCGGAAGATCTCATGGTTCCCATTAAACGAATTCATTTGATTTTGTAGTAAGTACCTGCTAAGACCCGGTGGCTCGCAGCAAACGTTTCCAAATATGAATACCGAAAAATGTGGTGGTAGTCTTTAATAGAAAACTTCAGTAGATTACGGAATTCAATTTCATACGGTTAATACTAAATAACGAGTCATCGAAAGCAAGAGATGCAGCAAGATTGTACCGACTGCAGCACTGTCCGCCGCCTCCTCAGATGAAAAATTAGGCACTTCTGGAATACGATTCACTGGACATGGAGGCATTGGCTGAGTAGGTGCATGCGGTCTAGGATCTACAGACGCCTCTGGTAAGTCAACATTTGGTTCATCGGGGCGGAATCTCTTGTACACACGCATCGCATTCGCATTCCACCAATTCACCCATTCTTGCGTGAGTTGTGAATTCCATCTCGAGCAGATAGTATTATACTTAGTCTCCTCGGACGCTGTGAGAAACATTTTGGGTCAAGAACAGATCCGAATCTTTCTCTTTCACCTGGATGCATGATAGATGACGGCCTTTCGGATTAGCCATATCAGAGAAAGTAAGTAGCGCATGATAAGCAGATGATTGTGCTGGCATTCTTCAACAAAAGATTTGGATAGAGTGCGGATCTCATGGTTCCTATTAAACAAGAACAACTTGATTTGATTTTGTAGTAAGTACCTCTGAGAGTGTGCTCGCTGAACGGACCTGAATCTCCCCTCCGAGGAGATGGAGATGGACTCGGATCTAAGAGCTGCTGGGTCGCCATATTCTGCATCTTCTTCTCCTCCGTCCACTGCGCGGTTGGATTGCCTATCAAGGAGAATTTGAAAACGGGAGAAATCCGAATCCTGTCAATCTACCTGCAAGCATGATGAGTGATGGAATAATAAGTGAATTTTGTAGTACGTAAGGTACCTCGTGCCGCTGGATTAAATAAGAGGGCCTCAGTCGCCTGATTTTGTTTCATCATGTTGCTCCGACCGGGCTGCGACATGCCTGTCAGAGAGAATTTGGGACAGGGAGAAATGCGAGTCTTGTTCATCTACCTGCAAGCATGATGGATGATGGAATATTCAATCAATAGTGTTTCGGATGAGACAACATATCAGAGAAAGTAACAAATACAATGTAGTGCATGATCAGCACATGCTTGTTGCGGCAGTCTTTAACAAACAATGGATCTCATAGACTCTAAATCTGAAAGACTTGGTTTTCAGTACGTAAGAGCTCTGCGGTGTTTTGTGCATGTGTGCCGAGGTGTCCCGGTGGAGACCAAGATAGAAGACGTGAGGTCGCCGCATCGTGGCCCGCGTTTGTTTCCTCCTTCAGTTGCACCAAGCTAACACCGCCTACTGGCTCCGCACTACTAACTTCGTCAGCATCACCGTCATGGTCAGAGTCACCCTGCTTGGCGGCATCGTCAATAGGCTTAAAGTCGCCTTTAGCGTCGATTTGGAGGTCTAGGTCTCTACGTTCGCGTTTCAATGCGATAATGCCGAAAGGAACAACGACAGCCGCGTATCGGAGACATTTCGAGCAGAGGCAACGCCGCATCCTGTTGCGATTGTCATCTAAAAAATCCGAAGAACGACGCTAAGTCGTGTTCTGCGAACTATGTCCATTCTCCTCTTCAGGATAAGGATTGGTTACCTTCTAATTTTTCTAAATTTGCAACAATTCAGCGTTTTTAAGTTGTCCGCTCTTGACTTTGTCTGCGTTTTTTATCTCAATTTTTGGCTGATCATCTTTGCCAAGCAAGATGCTCGCTAAAACTTCAATCGCTCACATCAGCAAGCTTTTTTGATGGCCTCTTTTAAGACACCCATGTGAAGAAGCTCACTTTTAAGAGTACTCGAACACATTTTTCCTGGAATATGGCGTACTGCGGTGCACACTTCTAAACTAAATAACTCAGAAGTAGAAGTTGTAGACCAGAAGTGGTCATCATAAATGCGGACTCATAGTCTTGGTGGGCGTGGGAATAGAAGTCAAGTTTTTCTTATTACCTCATTTACTTTGTGACTTCTTCTCATTGTGATGAAGATTCTTACATCGTCACTTCATCTTCGTTGAGGTGGATGTAGTCCTTCATTAGATGTACCAATTGAATCCGGAGGACGAAAAAGTTCATTCGTTAATCGTGATAGCTCAATTTAGATTATTTAGATGATGATGGTAGTTCCTCCGTTTTTACTTCTTGATCATGTGTAGATGTAGATGTAGGTGATGTAGTAGTAGTTATCCTAAAATGGTACATCTTTTCCTTGAATACTTCGCTACCCGGTTTAGAAGCGACCTTGTAAGTCAGGAGTTCATCTAATTTTTCAACTTCGTTCCTAATAAAACGGGTGAAGCCAAGCTAACTAGGAAAAGAAAAAGGAAGGATAGTAGTCGATTCGTTCCTAATAAATCTAAAAACCACAACGGCAAGACAATTTTTACTCTTAGACTGTAGATAATACTTTGAAGTCTTAGACTGTAGATAATACTTTGGAGAGAAGTCTAATTCATATGGATACATTCTTTTTTTGATTTAGTAGATATGGCAACATCCTCCAAACGATCTTCAACAACACACACAGGCGTTTTATCCTCGACCCTGGTGACCGAGTCCCAATTCGATCTCCACCTAAAATCGTGAAGAAAGCTCACAACTAATACACCATGATCAATCACCTTTTTCGATCCGCTTTAGCCTCGTCCGCCACCCAGGATCGGCCGCTTTATCCTCTTCTGGCTCCCCGACCCCGGTCTTGATCGAAGTCCTCGATCATGCTCCAATGAGGACCAAGCTGTTACTTATACTTCATGAAGATTTTCATTTTCGTGTCCTCGTGGCGATCTTTCCATCAATCCATCTCTCTCCTTTCTCCTCAATCACGGCGGCCTCCTCCCCGAGCCCGGACTCGATTGATCATGTTCTTCAGCATTGCAATCTGTTTCGGGTACAAGAACTGAGACAACTCTGCGGCACATTGAGCTTCAGTTATTCTCCCATGTTCCACTCCATAAGCACGTCTTGGACTTCAGGCGTCCCCTCCGCGATTATAAAAACGCGGCTCTTCACTAAACTGCTGCCGCTCCTTGCTGCAGATGCTTCCACCTTAACCTTGTCCAGTCGGGAACGATAGGCGACCAGCATGCACTTGTTCTCATCGTTGGGAAGCTTTTCTTTTGGCAGTTTTTCCCATTCGTTGTTCAGGACATCGCCAGAACCGCTCACTTTGACCAAATACACGTTGTTCGTGCCTCCGAAAGTCTTCACTCTCGGCAATGAGTCGGGCTTGGTCCTTTTGTTCCGCAGCATTTTCGAGACCAATGAACGCGGTTTTTTCATCTACTAGAGCCGCGGCTGCAAGCTGTTTTCGCATCGGCGTCAGATTTTCCACAACAGACTCCCGCATTACGAACATGACCTCTTTTTCGACTTTTGCTCTCGCGTAAGCGTCAGGATTGAACAGCCAAGAGCCGAGCACCGGAATGCCTTCCACGCGACCACCTCCAGAGGACTCTAGGTGGTTCTTCAAGGCTTTCCCCGCACGATCAAGTAGGGCAGCGTGACCACCCTTATGCGTCGGATCCAAGGTTCCCTGAGCATAAACAAGCGACATTCCCTTGTACCTTGTGGCTAAGAGGTTGCTGAGTGTCTTGAGATGGTGACACTCTCTTGTACCTTGTGGCTAAGAGGTTGCTGAGTGTCCTGAGACTGGGAGGCGTTGCCAGACGAGGACGAACGAAGTACACGACCAGGACACGTAGTGTCTTGGCCCTATACATCTGGTGCTCGTGTGTCGTCGACCAAAAAGGCGCTTCTTAGACTGAGACAGGCCCAGGTCGTGATGCCAGCATACACAACAACCCCTCCAGAAGCAATCAAGCAGATGCTGGCACAAACAGGCAAGCCACCTCCCGTGGTGCTGTTTTGCTCAGAGCGCGTAGTGCCAGTTGTGATGGTAAAGTTCTGCCCGTCCGAAGCCGACATCTTTTCTTCCATTCCTTTGAGGACAGCATTGCAACGAGATAGGATAGGATGGGATAGGAATTGGCTCGCCTACGGAGAGGTGGGTGCTTAAGCCTATGAGAAGGCCAAAACTGATATCTGAGTCTGTGTCTCCGGCAGAGCTGCTAGTCATGCCGAATATAGCCTGAGGGTCGTGAAAAGTTATGAAGTTGCAGTATTACGTCTTTCGGTGTTCAAAGTCATCTTCTACCTGATTTGTTCGTTGACCACAAGCTGACAGTCCTCAACAAGACAGACAGACTTGGAGCCCATTAAGAAGACCGACCGCTCTTTCGAGAAGACCGATTTTGAGAGGTCCAGTCCTCGTAGTAGGTAGTTGTAGTAACGAGTTCATCTAGTGGATAGTTGTAGTAGCTAGTTGTAGCAGCTAGTTGTAGCAGCTAGTTGTAGCAGCTAGTTGTAGTAGCTAGTTGCAGTAGCTAGTTGTAGTAGCTAGTTGTAGTAGCTAGTTGTAGTAGCTAGTTGTAGTAGCTAGTTGTAGTAGCTAGTTGTAGTAGCTAGTTGTAGTAGCTAGTTGTAGTAGCTAGTTGTAGTAGCTAGTTGTAGTAGCTAGTTGTAGTAGCTAGTTGTAGTAGCTAGTTGTACTAGTAGCTAGTTGTAATAGCTAGTTGTAATAGCTAGTCGTAATAGCTAGTTGTAGTAGCTAGTTGTAGTAGCTACTTGTAGTAGCTAGTTGTAGTAGCTAGTTGTAGTAGCTAGTTGTAGTAGCTAGTTGTAGTAGCTAGTTGTAATAGCTAGTTGTAATAGCTAGTTGCAATAGCTAGTTGTCGCACTAAGCTAATTCTTTCACCAGCTGATGATTATGACGCCAATCAATGCAAGTTCGAGAATGAAAACAAGATGAATTACTTCGAGGAGATGGATCTGGAACTGGGTCCGCTATCAGCATCTTCAATCATGCTGATCACTATGGTCATAGTCATCACTCATGCGCCTCGTGTCTGACCCTGCAGCTCCCTGATCAAGTCTGAGAAAAAGCATACACCGTTTTGACAACGCCGGTTGTCGTGATAATGAGTAGTATTAGTAATCAATGGGACGCACATGTCAAGATGGTCGATAATAAGGATCCCTAGTATCAAGAATCTGCAAGAATAACGCTTCGCTGTCGATTTTCAGTAATCGACGTAGTCTTCAATAGTAATCGACGTAGTCTTCAATAGTAATCAACAATGGTCGTGAAGAAGGTAATTTCCTGGATAACCCCATCGGCGCCTCTTGCTATCGCCTGAGTTGAGTTGCCCTGATCAGCGGCGCTCTACTACTCATCCTCCTCCCCTTCCTGTCACCTGTTCCCCTTCAAAAATTCAAAATAGTCATCCTCTTCCCCCTGCTCATCTTTGAGTTCAGGTGTATTCTTAATTCGCTTCTGCCGCTCCTAGCTTCTTAACACGCTCCTGCCGCTCCACCTGGCTTCTGCATTCGCTTCTGCCATTCCTGGCTTCTCATTAATACATTCCTGGCGTAGCCTCCTTTTCCACAACTACTACCTTGATATTCCCCCTCCTCACAACTCCTGGTGTAGCCAACTCGTCTCCCACACGAACTAGTGAGTCGCGCAGCATCCCTGTTCATCACTGGAGTTTTTTCTTCATGTAGGCCACTTGGTTTGGGTACAACCAGGCTCCCAAGTCTTCCACTTTGACGGCAGGGACCTTAGTCAATAAAGCGTACAGCCTCTCTTGTACCTTCGACGAAGAATAATTTTCTTTGCCCATCACAACCATCATTCGGTCTTGCACGAACTTCGCGTCCGCCGTAGTCATGCAAACCTTAGAGCAGCACCCTCTATCTAGTAGTTGCGACGCTTTAATTATCTAGGAGGTGTGTGATAGGTTCCCTACTGTATTTTCGTGTTTCCCTATAATCATGCTCTACTTGTGTATTTATCTAGTGTGTTAGCTTATCTGCAACTGACTACTTTCGAGAAGGAGTATTCATCCTTCTTCGGGTGCCAGCGGTAATAGTATGCCCCAATTGAAAACTAGTTACCAAGACTAAGTGGAAGAGGATATCTTAATAATAATTGTGTAAGTATAAGTAGTCGGGAACGCCTTAAGAGTTTTCAGTCCGTGGTCCAAGATATTTTGGACTTCGGTTTTTTCTTGAGCGGAACGGCAGGTAATGAGGCTCATTTTATTCTTCGCATTCAGGTCAGCTCCGTCTGTGTCGAGGAAATACGTGAGTTAGACCCTACCGATATTCATCTCGGAGTGCATCTTTGCGCTATTTTTACCCTGCCCTTGAAAGCACGTCAAAGTAAGATGCTTCTCGAGATGAATAGAAGGAAGCCTTAAGTGAGTTCCTCTCTGGTAAATTTCGAGCCTCCCTCAGTCTTCCAATTTTTAATCATGTCATCGGACCCATTCACGTTCACCAAGTACACGCTGTAGGTGCCAAACATCTTCTGCGCCATGGTGACCATCAAGTGTTTGTCATTCCCCGGGATAGCGAAGACGTTTTGGGCATTCTTCAGCGCCTCATGGGCCAGGGAGTAGCGCATCTTAAGCAAAATGCTCAAAGCCTTAGTTTTCGGAGTGTTTTTTCCGTACTTGGCCTCGAGCTTGTTGCGGACAAAACTCTCAGGATTGAAGTGCCAAAAGCCAACGACCGGGATGTTGGTAAATCCCTTTCATTTTAGAGGAGCTAAGAAGAGAAAGAATGTACCCACTCCAGGGGTATAATAATAACGATTCATCGCTTCAGTAGTCGTCCAGCATTGCCTCAGACCTCTAAGAAGGAGCCCATAACAAACAAGAGAAAGATAAACGAGAATGACGCGTGGAAATGGGCACTGTTGGACCAGAAAGAACAGTGCAGAACAAAATCAGCCTACTTGGCACCTACTCGTACTCTGCCTACGTGGAAATAAATTGTCGTGAGTCTTTGCCTTAATTGTTTTAGACCATCAGAAACCTTGTCAAAGATCTCCACGTGGCCCATATGCATCGGATTCAAGGAGCCTTGCGAGTAAGCCAATGCCACTTTAGTATGTCCCTGGGCTTTCAGCTGGTTCAAGTAGTTTTCCAGTCCAGGCTTGCCTCGAGCTCCGCCGAACAGCTTTTTAGAAGGCAGTCGCTTGGGCTGAGCCTTACCACCGACAATGGGGCCACCAGCAGCCTCTTGTGGGTCGTCCTCTTGTGCTTCATCGCCCTCATCCGGACCGAGTAGAAATTCTGGCTTTTGTTCTTGTCCACCTTTCTTCTGCACACAGCAAACAATTCCAGTAATGATCCCGCCTAGAGCAGCGACGCTTCCAACAGCGATCAAGACAATGGCCCAAAGGGGCAAACGAGCCCTGGTGCTCTGATCCTGAGGACCTCCCCCTGCGCCAGCTCTTGCTGTAGTAGAACCTGTGCTACGAGCTGCAGGGACGAGGTTCTGCTCTTCATCTTGTAAGGTGGAGTACATCTTGTTCTTTTTCGTGCCCAGAATGAAAGAAAGACAAGAATGAACAGGAAGCGTACTCGATGAACGAGACGTAGCTTGATGAGAATGATGACGCGCTTAATGCGACTTTAGTTGGATATTTGTGATGGTGCTGGAGAAGCGAAATTGTTACAAGGAGGAAAGCCGGCGAGCTTTGATCAATGAAAATAGGAGGAACGTATGAGGATGTTCTCAAGAAATAAATCTGTCTGCTTTCATAGAGTTTGGTGAGGGAGTTCATGCGCTTGCTAGAAGTTTTAGCTTCTCTCTTAACATACTAGCAACATGATCAGCTTCGGATCCCTGTATGTAAATTTTCATTCCGTCATAGCACTCCAAGAAGATGAAGATATTTGGTATTCCAGCCTCAACCCGATCTTTTATTTCTTCACTCCAACATGATTTTTTCCAGCCATCTCGACTTCTATCCGACATATTTCTTGTCACTCCAACAGCCTGAATATCTTCATTTCATTTTGACGTTGATTACCAGATTCTACGGCTCTCTGTCCTCTCCTCAAGAAACAGATTGTATCATATGTGTTGACAGATTTTCTTGGTCCCCATGATCTCTCTCTCTCAAATACAGATGATGTGATCCTTCTAGAGGGTAAAAGGACTACATGCACAGATGAAGGAGTGAGGGACAAGGAAGAATCGTCTTACGTAAGATCAAAACAAAGTACGTGTATCAAGTTTCAAGTTTCAGGGGGTTTCACTCCAGCTAGAACGCTAAGTGCGACATCCGCCGGCTATGGCAAACTTCATGAAGAATCTTCCGGGCCCCAAGGCCAACAAGTACGAGCCAGAGCTGCTGCAGGAGTACGGGTACAAGAACCCGCCTCTTGATACAACTCTTGTTCTAAGAATACGAAGTTTTGTTCTTGCGAAGTCTTTTTACACGATTGAATAAAAATGCAACTGGCAATGGCGCTCCCAGTTCATGATGCAGTCAGTATCAGTTAGCAGGTTGCATCTCCGCTAAATGTCTTTGTTGTTCCACTCAAATGTTACAAAGGAATCATGCGTGCGAACTTGTTTGTATATTTTCTCCATCACTGCCACGACTACCAATCATGCATCATGTTAAATATGTTAATGTGAGTGGACTAGACGGTGATTAATCAACGGACAAGAAATATGTTAATAATGTTTAAGTTTATGTGGTAAGATCTTCATTAGCCGCCGCCGCGTTGGCATACCTATTAAGGCCTCCTCCTTCGATTGAGCCCTGGTGATATGACATATGTTGAAAAAATCTTTTTGCTCTAATATCCTGCGGTATGTAACAGCTTCTGTGAGTAAACTGGACGAGATTAGATTAGATTGGGCTCCTGCCTCAGCCCTGCGCCTCAAGTGCCGGACGAGTAGAGGGCTCTAGAAATATCTAAACCTTCTTCGTTTCCAGTAATGCAATATTGGTATCTGAAAAAGCCCTCTTGATGCATTTTGAGGGCCATCATCATATTCTTCCATTTCCATAATTGTAACTTCTGTTAAGGTCAACATAGTAATTCAGACTCCTATCATCAACATCTGAAGAATTGTGACTCCTGTCCTCGTTAGTTATTTCTATTAATGCGTTCAACATCGTCGTGACTCCTTCTATCAACAAAGTGATTTAGATTCCTTGAATTTTGAGGCTCAACATCTTAATAGGCTGCTTTGGATTGTCGTTGGCGTCAGTCTGGACTCCAGAAATTTTCGTCACCAGTTCCATGTTCTTCGTTACCTATATGAAGTACAGGACGGAATGTTTTGACTTTTGATCAGATTTTTGCTTGTGTCTCTCAAAGGGTGTGTTACCTAGATGAAGTCAGAGATAAGGCTCTTGCTTGTGTCTTTGAAAGAATGTGTTTTTGATGAAGGACAACCAGAAGAACGAAGAGAAGTTGTAAAACTAAAAGCATCATGTGTTTCTTCGATATAGATTGGACTCAAAAAATCAAAGAAATGGAAGCAGTACCTTTCCAAAAACCGGGTGCTTGCTCTCTCCTGGGCTGAAGAAGTCGAGAAAATCGTTGTGCGCCACGTTGAGAAAGAACTGCGATCCGCCACTGTTTGGCGCTCCAGTGTTGGCCATTGACAGAGTGCCTGGGGCATTTGTAATCTTCGCCGCAAATTCATCCGGAATGCAGCCCTCACGGTTGTCACGGGTGATGGTCTGAGGCGGAAGGGGAGATAGTAGTGAAATTTCCAAAACCTTACGATATTCCCATAATAGATGAGATATGATGTCGGAGAGAAGGTGAAAAGGATGTAGTTGCTTCCCTCGGTGATGGTCTGAGAGGCAAGCACGAGAGATATAGACGAAAGGAGCTACGCAGGGTTCTTGTCACACGGTTATCAGGGGTCTGATGTAGTTCTACTGGTTTCAGTGTTCTTCTTTTGAATGCTCTAAAATGTTCTTTACGAGTTGTACTTAAACGTTCTCTCGAAGACTCTTTCAGTAGAACAAAGCAGAAAAATGGAAAGCTAGTACCTTTCCACTTCCGATCACTTCAAATTTAGAGCCTGGCTGAGGTCCACCGGTCCCGCTACGCGGATTCTTCGCGTCTTTGGCGTACGGGCAACCAAATTGGTTCGTGGATTAGAGAGACTAGAAGGTGGTCACATAGCAATTCTTGGTCGGTAACAAGAAGCTTTTGTTCAAGCTGTAAAAACTTGTTTTATTCTCATTCTGGTACAACACTATTTCTACTTGCGACTTCTAAGACCCCCAAAGAAAAAGCCTTAAATGAAATTCGGGATGACGCGATGAAAGTGGACGCCATTGTAGAAACCGGTATTGCAGAGGTCGATGAAATTGGACGCCGTCACTGGCATCTTGTCCAGGTAGATTTCGGCCTCAAACGTGCCCATGGACGTCTCGAAAACAGCAGTGGGGTTCGACATTTTTTTTTCTGGTAGTGGAGCGCGAGTTGCAGAGATGAAATCCAAATCTCAATCTTAGTAAGAGAGTTCGTAGACTACGACGCAGAAGCAAGAGGATGCTACTTTACCTGGTAGTGGTATGTGCAAGTTCTTGACGTTGAAGAAGTAACTCGTTAACTATTATTTAAACATGACGTCCTCGTCTCTATATACACGTGAAAATGAGAGTGCATAGTAGATGGTACGATCAAAACTGACTTATTCGTTGTCAGCAAGCAGGAGTCAGTGCCCCGGAAAGAACAGCATGAAGCTTATATTGCAAGTACTTTGAGCAGTTTACACCAAACATACTGAGAATGATCAGAAAGTCAGAACGTGATCACGGCAATGATCGAATTGTATCCCTAATGGGCTTCGCCAGGATCTCTTGACTTGAAACGCTTGAGATATGTCACAGATCTGCATAAGAGAGAGATGGAAAGGCATGGGACGATACCTTCATTATCAACTTCCATGTTGGTTGTTCCAGTAGTGGCTTGTTGAACACATCATCAAAGGTGTAAGTGTCAGGGCAATGGCTTTCACGAAGCAGAGGTCTTGAAGCACAGCAAGATTCACTCATTTCTGGAAACGAAAAGCCTTTCACGCAACCAAATTTCTCACCGTTAGCGTTACAACCCCTACTTCTTGATAATTGGAAGTCCTAGTATGTTTAGTAGTTCTTGCTAGTTATTCCATCCCTGCTCTTCTCATTTTATCACTACGTTGTGCGGCCGCTAATACTTTTCGGAGAGTCGGATGTTTAATGGAAGCCAAGCGTGGGTCTACTCCTGTACTTGTAGGTGTTGCGCCAAGTCGTCTATGATGTGGATGAGGATGTTGAAGCGGATTGAGATTTGTACTTGTTCCGTCAGCTTCCCTGCTAGCATTGTTCCCATCCCCCTCCTGACCCTGTCTACGCGATTTCAGGTTTAATCTCCCGTTCAAAGCTGAAAGAAGAACCTTCTTTCTATTCCTCACTTGGTGGTGGTCATCTTGGAGGTGAGCTGTACCTCTAAATGAAGTCAAAGCTGATGCTGCTACGTGTGGCTGCACATGGTGTTTGTCTAATGCGTCGTCGTGAGAGGAGGACGAGGGAGAAGATGCCCCCCAAACAACCGAGCCAGGCGGTGAGGATGCTTGTTCTCGTGTTCTTTGTGTCTGTCTTCTAGGATGAGCACTTTCCTTCTTCTTGTTTACTGCTCCAACTGGAGATCTGCTAGATCCGCTACTCTTTGTATGACCAGATGCAACCTGATACGAATAAAACGTGCTGCTAGTACCACTTGTTGATGTTACGGCTCGCATCCCAGGGGCACTACCGTGTCCTTGTTCCCCATAGTACAACATGTTGTGTTTATCACGCGTGTTTCGTGCCATCTCGTTCGCGCCAGGAGACGCAGCTGGAGGTGTGATCCCCTGTTGTAGGCCGTCGTCATCTTCTCCCTCAGAAGACACACCTCCCTCGTCCTGACTACCTAAAACAACTTCTTCTTCAACAAAGGAATCTTCAGAGACGTCGTCTTTTTGGTTAGAAACATCCTCTTCATCAGAAGAATGTTGGATTTCATCGTACAAAGGCTGTGACTCTTGCTCATCTGCCGATGAATGTTGAAGATCTACTTCAGCTTCTTGTACACCACCTCCACCAGCACTAGCAGGACTTGATATTGATTCTTGCTCCTCATGATCATCTGCTGAAAAGTCACGCAGTTGTTCTTCATCTTGCTGAGCAGTCTGAGATTCTCCCGCACTCGAGTTATCATGTTCTTCAGAGTCGGCGGCTCCCTGCAAAACATTACCAACTTCAATCTGATCGTCATCATCTTCAGATGAAGGCTGGTACTCATCTTCGCTATGTTGTAATTCGTGCTCATCGTGGTCACTGACCTCTTCTCCTCCACCAAAGACGCCTTGAATATCAGAATGTTGCTCATCTTCAGAGACCTCTAGTGCCTCATCATGCTCAGCATCTAGAACTTCATCATGAGCATCCACCTCTTGTTCTTCATCCCTAGGAGAAGGAGAATCCCCAGGAGAGGGAGAATCCCCACCAGGAGAGGGAGAATCCCCACCAGGAGAGGGAGAATCCCCACCAGGAGAGGGAGAATCCCCACCAGGAGAGGGAGACTCCACTTCATTTTCGTCGTGATTGCTATCGTAGTTCTCATTGTTCATCGGAGAAGATTCGGCGTGGTCCACAGCGTATGGGTCTTCCTCCGCTTGACTTGCACCAGCAGCAGCCGCTTCCTCCTCCTCTTGTCCAGATCGGCCGAATTCGACATCGGAATCGCTGTCGTCATCGACTCCCGCTTGAAGATAATCCTGTGCCATTCCCTCGTCAGCCGACGAGTGTTCAGAGGACTCTTGTTCGAAAACGCTTTCGTTGTCTTGTTCATCTTTTTCATCAGCATGTTCGTCACCATCAGCAGGAGTTGTAAGAGCGTTCGCATTAATGTCTCCCCCATTATCGTCATGGGCCTCTTCATCAGAGCGCAAAAGATGCTGATCTTCGTCAACTCCTGTGAGACTTTGTTGTTCCACGTTCTGATCATCGTCATGGGCCTCTTCAACATCTTCATGCTCTTGGGCATCAACATCTCGACCAACTTTGTTGATCTTGCCGAGAAGTGAAACTTTTTTGCCAGCATCAACCACCGCAGCAGGCTTACTCGCATCCTGTTGTTCACCTTCAGATATGGAACTACTACTGCCTAAAGCGACCACTGAAGAGTGGCCATCGTCGTCCTGGCCGTCGTCTGCTCCTTGATAGTAGTCCTGCTCCTCATTTTCTGCATCCGCTGCTTCTTGGTCTTCAGTTGTAGCAGGCTCCGGGTGTCCAGCAGTCTCCTCGTCTTGATCATTCACCTGTTTTAAGATAGCACCACCTGCAGAAGTCTGCTCCTCGGGGGCTTCATGACTTTCTCCTTCAAGATGGCCCTCTTCGTGCTCGTGATATTCTCCATCATGATGCTCATAATCATGCCATTGACCGGCGTCATCGTAGTAGCCATAATGCTCCCAGTCTGCGTGATCCCACTCTTCGTGGCCGTCGTAGTGTGCTTCACCTGCCTCATGGTGATACGCCTGCTCTCCATCTTCATGGTGATACGCCTCTCCATCTTCTTGGTGATACGCCTCTCCATCTTCTTGGTGATACGCCTCTCCATCTTCATGATGATAGACCTCTCCATCTTCATGATGAAGATAGCCCTCAACATTAACATCTTCTTGTTCATGGTATTCTCCCTCTACTGCAACATCAGCAGCAGCACCGGCCGCTTCATGACCATCATCGAGATGGTAAGCACCGCTCTCTTGATCGTAGTCATGCGGCTCATCCAGATGGTAGTGCTCAACCTGATCTTGATCTTCTTGATATTCGTGTGCATCAGCATGTTGATCTTCAGGGTGTACTTCGTGAATATCATCGTCATCTAGAAGTGGCTGTGAAGGATCTTGTGCCTTGATCGACGCATCATCGCCCTCCAGAGTCTTGCTCAAGGTCATGACCGCATCTTCTTCACCAGTTTCGTTTTCATCTGTACCAGCAGTGTTCATCCTCTTTGCACTGCTTCTGCCACCTTGTTGTACCGCAGCGGCAAGGTTTAGGTCGAGTCTAGGAACCTTCTCCTCCCAATCTTCTTCCTTCTGCTGCTTTTCTCCTGGCAAGCTGCTTTCGACAGCGCTGAAAACAGTCCGTCCACCCGCAAAGAACTGCTTCTGCGACAAGCGCCGCGCTCCAGCAGCACCACTTGTGCCTGCACCCAGGAACAGTGCAGCTGCTGGTGTAGAAGATGGTGGGTCTACTAAGACAGCAGCTGCTGGTGTAGAAGATGGTGGGTCTACTAAGACAGCAGCTGCTGGTGGAGAAGATGATGGGTCTACTAAGACAGCATCTTCTGAAGACAAGGCTACTAGAGGATTGTCCTTTATCTTGTCTGAAGCAGCTCTTGATTTGTCTTCTTGCTCTTGATCATCTTGCTTCTCTACAGCATCCTTACGGTCGTCATCATCTTCATCAGAGGATAGTACCATACGATCATCAGCACCTACGAACTGCTTTTGTATCTCCCCGGGTGCGGATTAGAGGAGCGATTTGCATATAGGAGAAAACAAGTGGAGGTACTACAGCATCCATTTTAAGCCATGGAGACAAAACAAGAATGCACGACTCTAAAAACAAGTGATAATCGACAATAATCGAAGTGCCACTAACTTGCTGAAAGTCAAATCATGACATCATGTCATAAGGCAGAGGCGTGAACTTCTGCGATGTGCGGATGGTTGCTACTTGTGCCTCGCTAGATCGACGCACAGCGGCAGAAACTCGCTGTGCTGGTTGCATCAACTGCAGTACAGGCGCTGGCTGATCCGCATCCGTGTCTTGATCTTCATTAGCCTTCTTCACGAAAGACGGCGCCTCTGGATACTCCGCTACAGCCACTGCCTCTCCGGCATTTAACAAAGTGTCCTGTTCTTTTGAAGTCTGCTGCGTAGTTGCCTTCAGCGACGAACCTACTTGATCTATTGCAGCATCCTTTTCTTGTAAGGCCTCATCGCGCTCCATCACTGCTACTTCTTTTTCGGCAATTGCCTGCTCTCGCTCTTCTATTGCGGCTTCAAGTTTTGCCGCTGTCTCGCTTAGAGCTTCTTCCGCTCTTTGCTTGGCGACAAGGGCTAGATCTCGATCCGTCTTGGTTTTTTCCAGCGCAGCAACCGCCTCTTCCCGCTGGCTTTCCGCTTGCTTTGTGGCGAGAAGAGCCTCCTCTAGTTGCACTTTCGTCTTCTCCAGAGCCTCCTCATCCTTTTCGTCTTGCTGCGTAGACGAAGTAAGTTTGTCGCGAGCTGCTTCGGCCCGAGCTGCTTCGGCTTGTAGGACTGCTTCTTTCTGCTCTGTTTCAGCCTTATCCTTAGCAACAATAGCTTCCTCACGTTCCTTTTCGGCTTGTTCTTTTCTCGCAACAGCCGCATCGCGCTCTCCCTCAGCCTTTTCTTTTCTCGCAACAGCCGCATCACGCTCTCCCGCAGCCTTTTCCTTTCCTGCAATAGCCGCATCGCGCTCTCCCTCAGCCTTTTCCTTTCCTGCAATAGCCGCATCACGCTCTCCCGCAGCCTCTTCCTTTCCTGCAATAGCCTCTTTCTTCGCCTCCTCCATTGAGTCTCTAGCCTCTACTGCCTCTTCTCGAGTTTTTTCAGCCTCTCGTTTCTCTACATTCGCTTTCTCCCTCTCCGATTCAGCCTCGCGGAGCGCCGCTTGAGCATCGGAAAGCGCGTTAGCAACCTCATCCTTGGCTTTGACAGACTTCTCGCGCATGATGTCTGCGATTTCCTTGCCGGCAACTGCTTGTGTCCGCTCCTCTTCCAGTTGCTTTTTCGAAGCCACCGCTTTCTCGAGATCGGTTTCCAGCCGCTTCTTCACAGACAAAACTCTCTCACGGTCTTTTTCCGCTTGTTCTTTCAGCTCCAACAGACTGCGCTGATTCTCTTCAGCCGCGTTCTCAGCTACTTGCACAGCCTTTTCTACAGCTGTTTTCAACTCCTCTTCTGCTTCTTTCTTCACCAAAGCAATGGCCTTTTCTTGCTCAACCGCCAGGTCCTTCTTCACAGCAACAACAGCCTGCTCAACAGCTTTCTCCAACTCCACAGCTGCTTCTTTTAGACCTCTCCACTGTTCGTCTTCCAAGCCGTACTACACCCTTGAAAAGTACTAAACTATTGCAGCAAAATGCTCTCCCATAGATACTTTTCAAGGATGCATGCAGTCATCAAAGATCGAAGATGAATCTTTTTGTGAGATGAGCCTTAATTCTTCTCTCAACACTGCCAAAGCTTTCTCATGCTTCTCTCCTGCCTCCTTTCTGGCAATTGCAGCTGCATCGCGAACGTCAGAAAGCTCTTGTAAAGCCTGGAGAGCGTTGCTGTGCTCTTCCTCAACAAGAGTTTTTTCCTCAGCAGCCTTGGCGAGTGACAAGTGAAATAACTTCACCCGCATCCCAAGCTCCTCCCGCCAATACGCAGAAGACATCTTTTTGCTTGTTTTGATAGATACCTCTAGGTAGTTATCGTCGTGGTTCTTATGAATTAAGGGTTAGGATTGGATTCTTGTGAGCAAAAACATGTTTCTATACGCATAGTAACTTTTTCTTGGAAAAAATAGATCAAACTCTTCTGTCAATGAATGAAAATAATGAGTATCAATGTTCGTTTTTATCAGCTGCTACAGTGTAATGGTTTCTCCTATTATTGATTTCAATTTCATGATCTCAAAAAGGAGTTATAGAATAGGAAGAATTAGGACATTTTTCTTATTTGAGACTGACGAGACTGAGAGGTAACCAGGGTACTTCTTGTTCCGAGCTATGACCATGATGAGAAGATCCAGATTTGTGATGAGACCGATGCTGGGCAAGACCGAAGTGACAAGATCCTGACCGATTTTAAGAGGCAACACCTTGATTATGGGTACAGATAGACAACAACTTTTGTTTCCCTCTTGTCGCTCTTCATAGACAGATGAAAGTGTATGTTTTGATTCTTCAGGCGTGGTTGTACTATAGGTTGTTCACCCACGTGATTCTTGGATCTATTCTGACACCATTGGCATATCATGGGGGAACATCAGTGACAGCAAAACGGCGTAGTGGTCTGACAATCGCGACAGGAAATTCCTGAATGACCACTAGCGTGACCACTGTAGATGTCGTGTCGAGATAAAAATCAGGGAAAAACATAGGTGAAAGTGTTGTATAAAAAAACAAGGTCGGTGTGGACGCAAGGGTAGCATATATACTTCATATTCTCAGGACATCACGACATGGTGTGGTAATCATATTCTCAGGACATCCCGACATGGTAACCACGGCGTGTCGATATCACACATCCTTAACACCTCCGACCCCTGTCCCGGGTTTTCCTCCATAGTTCGCCCACGGACCTCCCAAGTTCGAATAGTAGTCGACTTCAGGCCAGTAATCAGCTGCCGATGGCATGAAAGAACTGGAAGAAGAGGACCCACAGCCGCCACTTCCACAGCCACCACCTCCAGTGGCGTCACCTCCACATCCTCCGGAACCACACGAAGTTTCTTCAATCTGCCAATTCTCTTTCCATCGGTCTAGCAACACTTGTTTTGTCTCTATGGTGGATCGCAGAGTAGTGGAGAAATTTTCTGGTTTGATCTGCTGGAGGACACCATGTTGTTCTTCGCCTTCCTGCAACTCCTTTCTGCTTCTCCTGCTCTTCAAAAGTATTCTCATCTGCGTCGCCCTCTCCAACAGCAGGTAGCATTCGTACGTTGTCAGACATGGCCGGGTGAATGCGGGACCCCAGTCTAAACTGAGTCGTGGGCAAGCGATTTGAACCCAGAAATCTATGTCCTTTTCGTAACTCCTTAAGGCATCTGGAGAGATTTCACTCAAGAGAAAAACTATAGGCTCTACTTTATTTACAACACTTGTTTGGTCACGGTGGTGATGGTGGTTGTCTCGTCCCTGCTTTGGATCACGATCATCTACGATGTTGCTGTAGTCTCGAAATAATTGATTGAGTCGTTCCAGTACTGCGACACTCCCTTGTCGTCCGAGTGTGCCTAAAATGATGCCTACGGTGATAGATCTTGGCGTAGTTTCTTTGCTTGAAACAGGTGATCGCTGTGTGCTGCTAGAAGCGGGCTTAGAAGATCTGGGCAAAGGATAATTACTCATGTTAGGAAACAGCTTCCTCTCCACTTCAGTCACTGCTTCTCTCCGCAGTTGCAGCATATGGTTATAGTCGTAGGCTTCGCGCGTCAGGGTTTTTGCATATGGGTTGTAGAGAAAAAATCGCGCTTGCGGGTTGCCAATCATCACAGCTTCCAGGTGAAACCGTCCGTCGCAGACGAAGATCACCTCATCTACCTCCTGCATTCGCGGCGCTGTGCAGCCTAAAACCTCTGTTTTCCCTAGAGGCTTCACTTGTGTATTCGAGTACAACTTCAAGCCGGGGATGGATTTCTCGAGGTCTTGCTTAGCTTGCTGCAAAACAGTGGCGAATTGGACAGTACCCAGTAACGCTACGCGGTTGCCCAAACGACTGCGGCCGAAAGGGTTTGGATACTCAACGTGCTGCTGAAGATCAAGTGGTAGTTCTCCTGGGCTAGCGATAGTACCTTCGCGTTCGTGGTCAGCAGGACGAGCATGTCCCTTGTCCCTACTTTCATCATCGAAGAAATTAGCCTTTACTGTATCCACCAAGTGCCCGACGTTTGCTTCGACCTCCACGTGCACGTACATAGTTTTTACTGCACTCTGGCTCACTGGAACCAGGCAACTGTGGCCAAAATGGACCAACAGCTCTACTCCCAAGGCTCGAGCCGTCAAATCGTCGACGCAACAAGCACCGAAATTGACGTCGCCTAGGATTGAGACTGTGAGAATTTGTGATGTTGTGCCAGATGTTGTTCCAGAGCTACTATTTGAAGGCCTATGAAAGCTTCGTAGAATCTGAGCGATTGCTGGAGCCCAAGCTATGAGGCCATCAGGCAGCTGCAGACCGACATGGGCGTACTTGCCTTTGCGAATGCGTTCGAGGACTTTCGGTATCTCGAAATTGTAGTGCTTAGGGAGTAGTCTGGCCGTCATTTCGGCTAGGTCCATCTGCGGAATGATGACATCGGCTTGTTCTTCGTCAGCCTGTGCATTGTCTCGAACTGCGGATTCCTTGCTGCGTGACTCCTCTAGTTCTCTGTGCAATGGTTCACCTTCTGGTACTCTTTCTCGTGCTTGCCGTTCTTCTTGTAGAAGTACCTTTCTGCTCGACGAAGGGCCAAAAAGCCCTTCTTTACACTGTTGAAAAAACCTCCCGAATACGCTATCTCCTAGTGTCCAACTAGAAGATGCAATTGAAACTCCCGGTCCACTTCCTCCTGCACAGGAACCACTAGGTCTTGTTCCTCTTGGCCCTTCCTCTACAATGCAAGACAGCTTTTCTGGTACAGCGGCCTCTAGCATGTAGTCAGGATCGGACTCGTCTCCTTCATCCTTCTCAGCCATGCCTTCTAGCAAATCGAAGATATCAAAATCGTCGCCTGGTGTCGCTGTCGTACTTGGTGTACGTGAGGAGCTAGGACTGTTGATCAGGGTCTTGTCGTTGTCGTCAACATCTGCTAGTGGCATGCCTGGTGCTTGAGTCACCATTGCGGGCGACGCTTCGGACAACATCTTTATTGCAGACCCGTTTCTTTCAAAACAGACGAAACGTATTTCAAACTCACAACCAACAAAGATAAAAGGTCAGTCTACTACGCAGCCTCTCCTCTTCAATAAACGCCATGTATATTCGCAGGCATAGCTGGTACAACGAAGGCAGTCGCTAGAAGAAAATTCAAATTTTTCGTGAGTTGAAAGATCTTCTTCGAATGATTGGTGGGGGATCTATCCTGGTTTTTCTTTCATTATTCGGCTTTTGGAGGAGTTGACACCTGAAATTCTTGGAGCTTTTTCCTTTGTTTAACGAGATGATCAAGGTTTCTTCTAGATAGAGAACTCACGCTGGACCTCCACGGAACTCAACTTGTAAAGTGTAGTGTTGTTTATTACCGCGATGAAGGTTATTCTTTTGTGGATCTTCTTTCTTTTGATTTTTTTCGTTTCGCATTGACTCTACTGTTGATCACAGTTCTTAGTTCATCGTTGTCCTTAAATTTTGACAGTCAATTGCCATGAAGCGTAAATAAAACTTTGACAGGACTTAGAATCTATCAAATCACACTAAGCGGAATGGTATGAACTAAAAACTCTTCTGTCAGTGCGATTTTGGAACAAGAACAGAATTTAAGCGAATTTGAACATTGTAACAGAAACAGAATCTTCTTCTAGGTCGTTGTAACAGGAGAAATTTAACAGAGATGAAGTGTTGTAACATCAAACCAGTAACATCAGAGAACATATGACAAATTAATTCACATTTTCACAGAAACGTGGTAGGCGAAAGCGTCGAGATGTGCAAAGAGAGAAAATTCCACCCTTCTGCTCTTCGTCACCTCTTCACCACCAGGCCTGCTGGCATCTCGCTTACGGGTCCCAACGTGCTGGAGGCTAGAGCCTGGAGGCCTACTTCCTCCGTAGGTACGCCGAACGTGATCAACTTCGCCTCGTACACCTTGAGCGTTTCGTTGAATTGCTTCATCGCAAGGTGGATCTGGTACTCGAGATCCTTGACTAGGGTGTTCTTCTGGAGAGGGGTTAGAGGATGCGATCTTCTCGCAGTACAGCACCAGTTGTATCTGAGGAGACCACTATCGTGTTTCTGCTCTATCTCCTGCTATGTGATGTTCCCCTTTCATGATCTCCTGCTTCATCTCTGTACTACATTTACAAACGGCATACAAGTACAACAAACTACTCGTACTTCCACTTCTGGTATGGATACCTACATGAATCGACTGAAGCATACATGAATCGACTGAAGCCTCCATTGATTCTACTTGCCATAACAACACAGACTCGAGTTTCTTGGTCACGTTCTGGACCACTGCTGGGTCTAATTTGGCACTCGTGAGGACCTCCGATAACTGTATCTGCTTCTGTTGGAATTCCGACTGAAGCAGTTCTAGTTTCCGTTCGAGGACCTTAGGGTGAGGTTAAGGTAGTTGTGTGTTGGAAGGGACATGGTGGTCGTGTTTATTGAGCACTAGAGAGTAGCGCTTTTAAGAACTTGTCAGGGAAAAATCTGAAAACTGAATCTTCCTCGAGCTACAACAAACAGCAGACGCGCATCGCGTTAAAAGCAGTTTTTTGTCGGAAGGGCTACACGCTAGAGGTAAAAACGAACCGTCGTGTTAAAAACAACAGTAAATATCATTCCTATTGTTCAAGTTCATCCATCACAGTACCACATTCTTATATTCGCTCCTCTTCTTCAAGTCTGCTACGCCCTTCGCAAATTGGTGATAGAGTTCGTCTCTTTCCTTCTCGGTCTTCGAAAAAGTCTCATTCGCTGTCCTCCAGTTGGCGTTACTCTCCTTGATTTCCGTGTCTAGCATTTGCGCTCGTGCCACTAGGTTCTTCAGAGCGAGCTTGTCTTTACCGTAGCTGAGGGAGCGGAGCGGAGAAAAAGGAAATATCAAATATGATGAGGATGGAAAAAGCAGAACTGGAAGATGCAGGTAGTTGCAAGAAAAAAGTGGAACACTTTACGCAGTCAAGTACTTAAAATAGAAAGGCCATAATCTGGATATGGCCTTAAGAGAAAGAGAACAAGGTAAGTAAGAAAGTTAAACTAGAGTTAAACAAACAAAGAAGTTAAACTAGTGGTCTAGTTTACCTCTTCAACTGGTTCTGCAACTCCAATCTCGTTTGTTCTTTCTGCTTGAGCGGTTCTGCGAGATGCTGGTTGCCGAGGGTTAGCGATTTCATTCTGGCCAAATTCGTCTTCTCTTGCGTCTTCATATCATAAATCTCTTCCTTCAGACTCTTAATCAGTTGAAGGTTGTCGTGCGTGATATCTGTTGAAGTGTTTTATTTGAACGTGATGATTATAACTACAGGCTCGTCATCCAAAGAAGGGAATCCACAAGCAAAGGGATGAAGGAAGAATGCTAGCGTGTTTTTAACATCCATACATGTGCGGCCAATTCAAAGTACCATTATAATATCCCTTGATTTGGTCGAACGCTTCTTGGTGATTACTCAGCAGGTCGTTGATGTGCTGATTTTTCCTCTCTTCTATTTCATGGATTTCGCACTTCCGTTTTAGCTCCAAATCCCTCTTCAGCTCCGCTATCTGCTCTTCGTAGCTCTTTTCTAATTGGCCGTGGTTCCCCTCGAACGTTTCTCGGAGCTTTTTCAGGTTACCTAGTGAGGAAGGACAGGGAGGAATGAAGCGAAGGGAGGGAAGATGAGCTGCAGGTTGGTAAAGTAGATTTCATCAGGTCCTCGTGGTCGTGGTCCGACTTGGTTTTCACTAGTACCTCCACCGGGAAATAAAAGGATTTCCAGACAAATCTTCAATGTCGAGATCGATCCTAAAAATGATTCAAGAAAGACCATACACTTATACTATGATCAAGTACAACAGCTTAGTTAACTTCTATTCTATTTCTAAGAACAAACTACGAAACAGCACTTACTAGAAGGCAGTAGTACGTTCAAACCCCGTTTTTAGCATCCGCAAGTCCTCCTGATCAGCTAACTTCCTCGTCTGCCCATCCTGCTTCAACTGGTCCTTTGTTGAAGCTGTTGAAGGTTTTATCGAGAGAGACACTAGGGTCTGCACCGAAGGTGATAGGGGAAAGCATAGCTTTCCCTTAGACGCGTACTGGAACAAGAGTGCTTGTAGTTAAACTGCACCTTATACTATGAAGATGTCTAGTACCGATGAACAAGATCTAATGATGTAGTACCGCAAAGTCATGCACTTGCACGACGACCGACAAGTATAATGAATATTAGGACACCATTCAATATTATGATCCTACGAGGAGCAAAACTAAAATTCTAATTTTGATTTTCCTGAAATATCAAGTACTAAGTCCCGATGTCTTTGCTTTGTGGACCTCCTTCTCCGCCAATACACTCTCCTCCCCATCCGCCAACACTAATCTTCGGTTGTTCTTGTGCTCGTACCTTTGATTTTAGGATGCGGTTGTAATATGACAGAAGACGCAGCGTTCTATTTCTGTCCTACTACTGTGTGCACCAACTAGCGAACGCACATCTATTGGGGTACGATGTATTTACGGACTAAGTAAACAATCAAATAGCACTAGCAAACAGAACTGCATTCAAAAAAAACCTAAACGAAAACGTTTTCCTACAGCCAGTAAAAAACAAAGTAGTACTCTAGATTGAGAACTTTCTGCTCATGGACTTTTAGATGCGTTCTATGATCTCGCTCTATCATCTCCTGTTTTGAGCTCTTGTTCGATATCTCCGCATCGCATTGCTTCACCTCTTGCTTTGTGATTTCGGGACGTTAGAAAAGGTGAGAAATGCATGAGGAGGTAGGAAGGAGAGAAGTGGGGATGAAGTACGACGTTTTACGGGGTAAGGAGGTAATGCATGAGGAGGTAGGAAGGAGAGTGGGGAAGTACGACGTTTTACAAAGATAGAGATTTCTTCTAGAAGTTGTTGTAAGTAAAAAAGAGAGAGATCATCAGCCATAATAAAACCTGTGCACCATGTCATTTTCGAGTTGCATATAGTTCCTTTCTTTCGAGACCTTGACTAACCGGTACTGCAAACCTTGTATTTTCTCCAAAAGCATGGGGGTGGAGAGGTCCTTGAACTCCTCAGGTATCTCCTCCTCCACCTCCTCTGGCTCTTTCTTCTTGCCTGTGGTGGTGGTTGGAAGGTATGGAGATGGTGCTGGCTTACTTACCTGATGGAGTCTGGACGAGAGACATGATGTTCTAGGGTAAGAAAAAAACAAAATTTACTAAATTTTTTCTTGAACAAACCATGGTTTCTGTAGTTGCTCGGAAAAAATCAAGCTACCTTTCTTTCCCATCTTGACAGCCTAGAAGCAGCGACAAGCTGCTCGGAAGAAAGACACCAAAAAAACGTTCTGGTTTGTGCTCGCTGACAAAGGACACGAGCACGACTGATGGTGATCTCGCTTGCGTAATAAACGTAGGAGACTCGCGAGGAAGTCGTACTAAACCACGTGAGAGAGTCGCAATGAATAGCTATCGGATCGCACCACTGGTCGTGCTTGACGCGTATCCGTGACTCAGTACGACGCAGATGGAGGGTCCCGTGTCACTTTTTAGTCGACACTACAGCTCACACGTCGGCGACCATCGTTCCCGGAAAAAATGACCCATGTTATTGTGTACTGTAACGCCCGACGCTCAAAAAGCGTCGGGACTCCTGAAGAAAAGACCTACCATTAATTTACTGTTTTTTAAACGGTGCTCTTCTCTTTTGATGTTAATGGCGCGTGGTGTTTTTCCAGCGAGCCCCTTGCTCGACATACCTTTTTACGAGTCGAGAAACCAACATCCGATCTCTCGAGCGATTTCGAAATGCAAATCTATTTTGACCCTTACCTCTTCCTCTTCGTGCGTTCTCCGATAATTTCGCGCGCGTCTAGAAAAGACGCATGTTCTCGACAACCATGATAACAAGTTTTTGCCCCAGGCTGACAATAGAGAAGCAGGAGATAGGCGCGGATTATGTTGTATGAAAAGGAATCATTCGTTATTTTTGTGACAGTTACACTACAAAGACATAGCTCAGCATCCATTTGTTTTTATGGAAGAACAATTAGTTCGTATAAAGTATCATCTACATTATTCTCAGACTTAGTCTTTTCCATGTGTCCTGCAACATCCCGAAGAAATCCAAGATAGGGTCGAGAAAGTAGTAGTCATCTTCGTCGACATCATCTCCTTCGTCAACCTCGTCTTCATCACTTTCGTCATCATCAGATGTTCTCGTGTCAACATATTCTCGTCGTGTTGCCGAGCGAGAAGGGTGATCGTCACCTCCAGCACTGTTCTGTGTTTCGTAGCTCTGGTGGTCTCCAGTAGTTGTATTTCTTGGAAAAACAGGTCTTCGCCTATCGCTCTGTTGGTCTCCAGTAGTGGTACTTCTCTCGCCCTCGCTCCTTCTTCTCCTATCCCCTCCACCACGACCACTCGTTTTTTTTCGAGGAAGTCCCGGTGGCGCCACAGGTAATGGCCCAAATGCGCAGTGCCTCATGAACCAGTTGTTTTTTATCTCCCTTTCTGCCCTATCCGCCGCCATCTTCGCGCGTTCGATCGCGCGACAACAAGCTGCCGACCTGTTCTCCGCCGCACCGGCATCCGTTGGGTGGCAGCGGGGTCCGGCTCGGAGGTTGATCTCCATACCCCGTTCGAAACTGGCTATGGGGCAGCGACCGGGATAGTTGCTGGAAAACGACGTGCTTATGCGAGAATGATGGTGATGTGGCTGTGGTGGAGGTTCAGGACTCGTCTTTGCCAAAGCTTCATGCTGAAGAACGTGAAGCGGATCGCCTTTCGATAAGACCTCGTTAAAGAGGTGCGTCGCGGTTCCGGTTGAGGGCATCTTGATTGCTTTTTGATTTTGGAACATCGATCTAGTGCAATTGACTGGTGATTTTTACGTCAGAGGCACATTTTGATGTTTCTTGTGTTGATCAACCGCCTTAATTAGGTGCTTTTTCTACGCTTAATCCTAAAATTTAGAAATATCTATTTTTCAATGTTTTTGGTTCGGTTTCAATCACTACATTTTCAGGTGCGAAGCCATTTTTCAATAACGAGAAACATACGACTCGAAAAAACTGTTCTCTCTGACTTTTCTGTACTTTTCGACCGACCGAATCATGCCGATCGAAAGTAACGTATCATTTTCATGCAGCGCCTCTTTCTTGGTCGTGCATCAATGTTGACTCAACACGAGTATTCAACATGCGTAAGCGAGTCGACTCTCAACACGAGTATTCAACATGTGTAGGCGAGTCGACACCGCGTAGTCAACGTAGTCTTCTTTTTCTTGTTCTTTCTTTCTTACGAGAGCTCCTGTAGTAGGACGAATCTTCTTCGATTGAAAAGGACTTGTTCGCTGTCACGAAGTGGTTGATACGCACTTCTAGGGAGGGGAACGAAGAAGGGGCTTTTCACTTCTGTTAATTTTTCACCAGTTCATCTTGATTGTTGTTGTCAGCAAAAACACGACGTTCGTGAAAAGAAAATTCTTCCTTTTGAAGACGCCAAATCTAGTTCAAGTTCGAGTTTTGTAGACTGGTATGCTTAATGTTTCGTGGACTGATGTGTTTTGGCATCGCATTTTGGGACAGTTCCCATTACGCCGTCAAGTCGAGTCGCCATACACTTCTCGACGTTCTTCTTCAGCTGATTTACAGCCGTTGTATTGTCGTAGTCTGTGAACCAGACTTCGATACGGATACCTGAAAGCGACATCGCACATCATGATGAGAAGAAAGAGCAGATAACTCATCATCTGTTCAATACTCACATTGAAGAGCAGATATCCGGACACGAGCATTTTCTTAGATAGACGGTGGATAGAAGACTTTGTTTTTTCTTAGATAGAAAGGACTTTTAGATGAAAATGGTCTTCATGGTGATAAAGTACTTCTAGATGAAATGGTCTAGATGAAAGTACTTCTAAAAAGTAGAAAATACACTATTCAGAAAACTAACACTAATCTTAAACCAACACTAACATAAGAGATCTGATGTTAAAAAGTACTTCTTGTACAAGAAGCAATACCATTCGCTTGCCTAGGACCGGAGAGTTTGTCGACCAATCGCACCCCAGTAATCATATGTGGCGGGTCTATGGTCCCACCGATCATGCCAAGCACAAGATTGTTCCAATACTCGTCAATCTGTCCACCACCGCAGGATGGCTTCAGCTGTTTTTGTTGGGGAAGGAAGGGGGATTTGAGTTCTTGTTCATGGGTATGAGTTGCGAGTCGTTCACTCTGTATTTTTGGGTATGAGTTGTTCACGGTGTTCATCTTTTTGGGGAACAAGGAAGGGGGATTTATTGAAGAGTTCTTCTTGTTCACGGTCTTTTTCATGTTGTTTCAAAGAAAGAAGGCTTTTCTTGAGTATGAGTTGTTCATGTTTTGAATTGTTTTGAATGGGAAAGAAAAAAAGCACTTGAGTGATTTTCATTGGAGAGTGAAAAGCCTTTTAACTGGCGTGTAAGAAGAAAAAAGCAATCTCGTACGCAGTAATACCTGAAACTGAAAGTGTCCTCCACTAGCGTTCAACTTGTCCTCCCATTCGGGTCTTATGCCATCTCTAAAGATCATTATCGCATCTATAACATGCAAACCGTCTGGCTGTTCTCTTACCTGTTGTTTTTGAGCATTTGGTTGCCGCGTAGAAGGAACATGATTGGTTAGCGGAGCTTGAGGGGAAGTTGAAAGTACTAGTACTTTAAGTAGGCAACAAGAACGTCAGAAGTGTAAGCGTAAGAAAAGTCTGCTGAGAAAGAAAATTTGGTGCCAACTACAGTACTAGGAAGTATGGATCTTACAACTACTACAAGCATATTTAGCAAAATACCATCCTCTTTTGATCAAGCAGCTCACTTGGTTGCGGCATATGATTCCATAGCTTCCAGAAGTCTTGCACAGTACTAAATGGTGCCACTTTGTGTGTCGCGTCTGAGTACCTAGGATTTTGATTTTTAATGGGTGTGGATGTGGTCGTTTTAGCAAAATAAAGAATTCGTTCTTGATGCTAGACGAGAGAAAGAGAAGATGAAACTATGCTACCACCCATTCGCAATCACAACTTCATCCTAGACTATATTCAAAAAAAACTCTTCTTACTGTGCTGCTTTTCCATCACTTGCCTGCATAATTTGCTCCCAAATGACCCAAGTATATTTCAGTGGCAGCTCTTTCCTCAGGACGTCGGATTGCTCGACATCTTCAGCCTGCTGGTACTCCAAGGCACTTTGACTATTGGGGTTGAACGAAAGGAACGCCATTTTTTCTTCTTGGTTCGAAGCGAAATGTTGATCAGGATTGAAAACAAATTGTTGAAGAAAATCTCGTTTATTATTTTGTCGTTGGATACAACAACTAGTTCTTTAATTGATTCCGCCAGTGGCGGATATTCCACCTAATTTACAATACTGCTACCGCTAGAATACTAGAATTCCTCTTTGTTACTTTTAGCCGCCTGCAGCCTGTCTATGTTGAATTCATTGTGAAAAATAGTAGAAGAATGAGCCACTGAATCATCAGTGATAGAGCATGGTCTCCTCCAGAGAGATCCTTGTTTCACATTCAGTACTCGCATTATACGCATTTTTTCAGTGATGGGTAGGACTAGGATCTTCCTTATTTGTGAGATTGAGTGTTCGATCATCTTCCCTTATAGATGATACATACTTCTACATCACATTCTGTTTGTTTTTTCTTGTTGGAACTTGGCATTCCTATGAACAGCGATCTTTGGAACATCAAGAGTATCTTCGCTTACGTCCTCTAGAGTCAGTGAGTGACGAAAGTGGTACGTTGAAAGCGTGTATCTATTGATAACTTGTAGTATCTTCTGGTCGCGCTGTAAATACAATTGCGTATCGATCTCATGGTGAAGAATGTGCGCTGATTTCAGGGTGAATGTGAACTGCGCACAATAAATTACATGGTTATGCACATGGCATGTTCTTGTAAGTGATCGTAAATATAATCTTCATGAGAAGTACTAGTTGATGTAAAAATTAAGTACAGTTAATGTAAAAAAAAGCATATCGATCCATATTCAGCAGGTAGCTGCAGGAGCAGCCAAATAAAGCGACCTCATCATCCTTTTTTCGCCTTTATTCTGCCACCTCCTGCCGCTTTCAACAAGCTCTTCCCAGCCATCTCATCGCGTAACATTCTTCGGTACTCGTCAAAGGACCCATCAAAGACTGTGACACCACCAACGTCCTGTTCCGTTTCGCCAGGCATCACGACCCAAATTTCGTCGGAGACCATTGAGAGTAAGCGCTCATCGTGACTGACGAGCACTACGCCACCTTCAAACTCGTTCAAAGCCATGGCGAGGCCTTCGATGGTTTCCTGTTAATATGGAACAACCATTAGTATTGGTGATTGTAGTTAAGTACAAACTCATATGTATATGATAAGTAGTTTGGAGATGACCGAGTGAGCAGTTTCCTGTGGGAGGAACTGCAGGTGCGTAGTCAGATTCATTTGGAAAGAAAACAATGGAGTTATGTAATTGAAGATTTTCTAGTTATTAGGCAGTTGTTCTTTTGAAAAAACCAAATGGCCAAAGAAAAGCTGCAAATCAATTATTTATTGCCTTCTAACCAAAGGACCTAAGTACCAACAAGTCCAAGTGATTCGTTATGGCCATAAAACCAAATGAATTATCGCCTTCTAACCAAACCACGTAAGTACCAAGTCCAAGTGATTTGTCGGCTCATCCAACAGCAGCAAATGCGGCTGCCTCCATGCTAAGCCCGCAAATGCGAGGCGACTTTTCTGTCCTCCACTTAGTGTCTTGATAGGGTTCAGGGGTAATTCTCCCACTAAGCCAAACCTTCCGAGATACTTCCTAGCTTCCTCGATTGACACGTCGCTTGTGCCGTCTTCCTGGAGGTTTCCTAGTCTGCGCATGTGGGTTACACTGTCTTCTTCAGCGTCCATCATTTCCAGGTGATGCTGGGTAAATCTCGCGATAATCAATTTCGGATGTCGACTAACGGCGCCGTCGGTGGGTTCTAAGGTGCCATCAAGCAGTTTCAGAAACGTCGACTTACCAGCACCGTTAGGGCCGACGATGGCGACCTGTTGTATTTGTGGGAAAAGCGTCCATATTACATATATTGTAGTTCTTGTGTTAAGGAGCAGTACTTCACAGAGAGGAAGTGTGTTGCACTTGTGTTAAGCTGCAGTACCTCTCAGAGAGGAAGCTGGGTACTACTTCTCTCTGTTACTTACTCTCAGAGAGGAATCTGGGTACAGTAACAAGATGAGCATCTTGTTACTACTTCGCAGCGAGGAAGTTTGATGCTCAAGCTTAAGGTTAAGGTTGAGGGTCCACCACACCGCGGCCAGGCCGCACCGGCTGGGACGAAGCGGGTTCGAGTTTTTTATTTCATTTCATGGGCGCGACTCCATCTCCCCAACGTCGGGCGTAGTTGACAAGAGCCACAAAAAACGGCACACCAGGCAGACGAATCTGCCATGTGGAACCGAGTCAGACACCAACAGCCCCCAATCTCTTTCATATCAATCGAGTTACGACCATCTTTCATATCAATCGAGTTACGACGACCATCTTTCATATGAATCGAGTTACGACCATCTTTCATATCTTCAATTGAGCAATCTTAACAGCAGGTTAGCACCAGCTCTACGACCATCTTTCATATCTTCCATTGAGCAATCTTATAAGAGCAGTCTATCTTCTTCAGCAGCACCAGGTGTATCGAATACATAGAAATACCCTGCTGTCCATGTCCACTCCGAAATTGAGACCCCTGTAGAGTTCGCGATCTCCCCCTGGGTACTTGAACGCGGCGTTCTGCACTGAAATACACGGTGGTGGCAATTCATTTGCGGCTGGAAAGTCTAGTTTCAGATATGGATCGTCCATATCCAAACCCACTGTCTCTTCCTGTAATTTCGCCAGTAGTTTCATCCTGCTCTGAGCTTGTCTGGCCATCTTCTTATGTCCACGGCCGAAACGAGCGATGAACTGCTTCAAGTGGGCCTTCTTGCGTTCTTGCTGCTTCGCTACTACCTCTTGGTTTGCTCTGTGCTCGGCGCGCACCCTGAGAAACGTGTCGTAGTTGCCGCCATAATACCAGAGTTTCTTTCGCTTTTGAAATATGGTGTTCTGCGTCACTGCATTCAAAAACGATCGGTCGTGTGACACAATGATCACAGTGCGCTCCCACTCCTGCAGAAATTCTAGAGATTAGAGAGAGGCTGTGAGAGGAAATTCCTCTGCAGGAGAGGAGGAGGAAGCGTGGGAAAGAGAGTGTAGGAGGACCAAGAGACGTGGGAAAGAGAATATAGAAGGACGAGGGAGAGCCTGTTGTGAAGAGGAGGACGTCGGCGTCGCACTATCTTGATGAATATCTAACGTTGTACTTCAACTTCTGTAAAAATAGCGGGGACTTCCTGCTGTTGCTCTAAGTACCTAGTATGTCATGATTTGTTGACTCGTCTAAGTATTCGGCAAGTACGTGCTCTAATTAAGTCACGACAGAGAAGAATCTTGTATGATGCTTTACTATGCTGTATGAAAGGGTAATATAGATATTGATAAGTATTCATCAACTCCTATGAAGCCATAATCTAACCATGTGACCGCATGCACGTCCAAATGGTTTGTTGGTTCGTCTAATAACAACAAATCTGGCTCATTAAATAACGCTGAGGCCAAAGCAATACGCATTCGCCACCCACCGCTAAACTCTTTGGTTGGCGTGTTCTGTTTTTTGTGCGTAAAACCTAGACCAGCTAGGATTCTTGCAGCATGGGTCTCCGCTTCTTCCGAATTGAGTTCCTCCAACCGCTCATACACCTCCATCAAGGTGACGCCATAGATGAGGTCGATCTCGGAGTCTTCTAAAAATCGTTTTTCTAACTCCAAAAGATATTCCCTCTCCGCATGCGACTCGAGCACTGTCTGAATGACGGTTGTTTCACTACCAGTAATTTCCTGCTCGACATGCATGAGCGACATATGAGCAGGGATTTCGACGCGGCCTGGTGGTGGTGGTGGTGGATACAAGAAGTGGGAGGGTACTTCTTGTTAGCTAAAAGCTTAATATTGTTTTGCTATGTTGAGAAGAAAGTAGAGGCACGACAAGTCTTATAACTACAGTTCTTCGCATCCATCCATTTCCATCCACGACTAAGAACTTATCTCATAGGAGTTGTGAGTAGGTACCATCCCGATCTGATATTGCTCTGAGCAGTGTCGACTTTCCTACACCGTTTCGACCTATGAGACCGTATTTCACGCCGTAGCTGCATCGTAGTAGGGCACCATCGAGCAACTCCTGCTTGCCCGCGTGCATGATGATCTCCCGCGCATCTATCTCCAACGTTGCTTTACTCCTATGTATCGCATCAGGCCCAGTCCGAATCACGAAGCCTAGTGCTTAGAGACGTGCTACAACCGTATTAATCGTCCATGATCCTGAATATTTATCAGCTTCAGCTTCCATCTGAGACCTTTTAGTTACAACACCCTGTAAATAAAAAAGAAAGCCTCCCCAGGTCGGGAGCCAGCTAGGATCACGCTTGCTTCGTTCATGAACAAATGGATAATTTTTAGGAAAAGCTTTAAAGTTCGTCGCTGGTCAGTCGTTCTGTATTCGGCTTGTCGAACTTCCTTCGAGCTGCACTCCTGCTGGACTGCTGTCCTTGTCCGGCTTTAGAAGCGTCCCCATCTGCGGCTGCCTCTTTTTTCGCTGCTAGCCTAGCTTTGGCTTTCGCAGATAAATTCTTCTCCTTGTCCTTCTTCGGCATCTTCGTTCCGGAATCAAACTTTGCGAGAACTCATTTTCTGCGAACTACAACAAGAAGAGCCTGTATTTGAAGTCTACAAGAATTTTTACGATGAATTCGTGGTATCAAACAAGGCTTGTGGTAATTCATTCATTTCTATTTACCTAGCACGAGGTAGTGTCTCAAAACCTTAATTAGGATGCAAAGGAACGGCTTCTTGTTCTAAAGTGTCACAAGGTAACAAAGTCAAGACTAATACTTTGTTCCTCGAATATATTTATTCTGATAGATACCACCACTGCGCAAGATTGATGATGTTTGTAAAAAAAATTATCATGATCAAAGTAAGTTGTCCACACATGATCACGTAGAAAAATTGACATCAAGAGCAAGATCTTTAAAACAACAGATCTTTGCCTACATGGATCCGAGGTAGCTTGATAGCGAACACTGTCGCCGTCGCGGATCACGACTAAATAGCGAACACTGGTGGTGTTCATCCACGAGCGAGAGCCCAGATGTCCAGAAAGGATTCTTTGTATTTCGTTGAAGGAGATCGGATGAACATTGAGGTACCAAGGTAAGAAGTGTTACCCTCAAGGCAACAATGTGTTAATATCGTGAAGATTGAACGGGAAGTTATTCAATTTAACACCAGTCCGTCGTAGCCACGTAGAAAAGAATACCAAGCACTCTGTGAGAAGCTCTTCGTATGGTCATGTTGGTGGATTATGCGTTGTTAATTTCGAGTCAACATTGAGTAGTACACAAATCAAAGCGCCGTAGAACAATCGAACAGGAGTCGAGGGACCCTCTACAATATTATAAGTAGAGATAGAATCGCATGTACATACTTCATCTTGTGCTCAACAGTTGTCCTCTAAGAGGAATCTGATGATCGTCACCTTTTTCTTATTAGGAGGCTTCTTAGATGATCACCGCCGTTGCTTACTCGGTTGACTTCGACTTCGACGCAAATCGTCTATTGTCCCGACTGTCGAGAAGACTCTACCTCGATCCCTAGCTTTCGCTCCCGTGTCCTCGGGTACGTAGGGCGCTCGGGTCGAAAATGAACGAAGAAATCCCCATGGTAGTAGTAGTAGTGGTAGTAGTGGTAGTAGTGGTAGTAGTGGTAGTAGTGGTAGTAGTGGTAGTAGTGGTAGTAGTGGTAGTAGTGGTAGTAGTGGTAGTAGTGGTAGTAGTGGTAGTAGTGGTAGTAGTGGTAGTAGTGGTAGTAGTGGTAGTAGTGGTAGTAGTAGTAGTAGTGGGAGTAGTCCTCCACCCAATCCAGGGATACTTCATTCATTTACCTAGCACGAGGTGGTGTTCCAGGGATACTACACCCAATCCAGGGATACTACTACACCCGAAAGTGTTATTCATATTCCAGATCTTGCGAACTTGTACGCATGTACGAGGTGGAGACTAGAACAAAAGACTCCTTATATCGAAGTCTTTTGTATCGTTACAACTCTAGAAGGATCCTGTCTGGTCAGTCTACTTCCTTCAACATCTTGTTGCTTATCATAAAAGAACTCTAGAAGGATCCTGTCTGGTCAGTCTACTTCATTCAACATCTTGTTGCTTATCATAAAAGATAGCTCCACACTTGTTTTTTCTTTCCTTTTCGTTCCCGATATAGCCTTTCCCGCCAGGCCATCAATTGCGCATCAGTATCTATGTACTTTACAGCTTGCAGTGGTAGAGTTTGACCTGTGGTGTTGCTTGGTGTGATTTTTCCGCTGTAAAAGTTGAGAGGTCTACTTCTAGTGGGTGCATAGACATATAGATACTATGATGGTTTATTATGGTCATTCGATGGGTCGTCGTATACTAGATGTTTACGTTTACAAGTCTGCTGACCTGCTTCTAAAGTGCTTCAAAGTTCATGTATTCGTATGATGATGGATCGCTTGCTTGATTTTCTTAGGGTCAAGGTCTATATACTTGAGGTGGAGGATCATAAAGCATGTACCGGACTTGACCCCTGTCCGGTCGTGCAAGTGTATGTAAGTGGACGCAGATTGCAACGACATCTTTTTTCTGATCTTCTACCTTTTTGGGCTGAAAAACGAGACTGAAATACCAATTCAAATGTTTTCTTAACAGATGGTCATGGTGCTTGATACACCTAGTATCATGTTGTAATAACTACTTTCTAAGAGTAGGGCAAGCTGTACAGCAAATTACGAATAACTAGAAAAGAATAAGAATGTGAGAGTATCTATTTACACATTGTCTCAGCTCAAAGGGGTCTCTATTAACACCAAGGTGTAGGAGGACCACGGGGAAGAGGGTCTCTTTGCTGGGAACAATGTTCAGCGTTCAGAGTTTGAATTTATCTACTTGTACTTACTCCACCGCTCTTGCTTCACCGAAACATCTACACCGATCATAGTTGTACTGGAACAGATTCTTGCATGTTCAAAATGGGCACCGCCTGCTTGCCAACCCTTCGTCTGTAGTCCACGTCCTCGTCAGAAAGAAAGAACCAAGAGGTGGACGACGTTATTTCTTTTTTTCATTTTCAACATGAGAAATTCTTTGAATCAATTAATATCTGCTGCGTCGTGGTCTGCTAGAGCTAGCTTCATCTTCTTTTCACTTTTATTAATTAAGTTACATTCATGCCCATTATTTAGTTGATGTAGTATTGATCATGTTGCTTATGAGTTCGTTTTATCATTGTATACTAGGTAGATGCAGAGAAGACTTGTTCGTTCATGTTGTCTAGAACGAAATCGAGCTTGATACCTGGTGAAAGGACTTCGTACGCAGACCCTAGAGGATCTGAAAAGGCCATCGTCCTACACTTAGTAGAGAGTAGAATAATTTTCAAGGTTCACAGTGACCCTTTAGGTACGTTACCTAGCAAACCCATAGTGGTAGTAGGACACTCGTAGTAGTAACCCTATCTATAGAAGTACTGTAGTTGTAACCCCCTAGAGGTACATTAGAGGTAACTCTATAGAAATACACTAGTAAACCCATAGAAGTACACTAGTAAGAACCCCATAGAAGTTGTATACTAGTTAGAACCCCATCGAAGTACTACACTAGTAAGAACCCCATACATAATAGAAGTACACTAGTAAGAACGCCATACATAGAAATTGTACACTGCTAAGAACCCAATGGAAGTACTACACTAGTGGAAACCCCACAGGAGTACACTAGTAAGAACCCCATAGAAGTACTGCACTAGTGGAAACCCTGTACTCGTTGTCCCCTGTACTCGTTCTCGAAGAACTTCGTTACTTATGTAGTTCTCTCATCTGTCAGGAGTAACTTTCTTCCTTGTAGTTCTGTCACGGGGTGCTAGGTCGCCAAGTGGCTCGATTATTCCTCTCTCAATGTTGGTTAGGTGTCAGTAACTGTGGAATGTGGACTCGTCCGCGAGATAATAGTAATCGATAAGTGACTCAACACTCGTCCAAATAAATGAACAATGGTATCTACTTCACACGACCACCAGCATAGATAACTCAGCTCTAGAAATATTCAACTTCTCTGGACATGATGTGTGTCAGTGCCGCGTCAGATCTTCAATCTGCTTGGATGCGATCACAGACTCACAGGAATCCTTTGCATCATCTGTACATCATCTATACAACATCTGCTTTACATCATCTATACAACATCTGCTTTACATCATCTATACAACATCTGCCGCATCGTACGACGCTTCTGGTAGTCATTCATCCGTACGTACCACTGGCGAGCAGATATTAGTTGGCCAAATTCTATAGAGGTTGCCGACTTGCGCCATTCTTCAGAACATCCTTGGCCTATTTTCCCCCTGAAAAGGAGCCAAGGATGGTGCTGAGGGATGTAATTCGGAAACCCTTAATATTAGCATCTCCAGTCCTTCTTCCAGTCATATACAACATTTTGTTCGTTTAGCGACTAACAAATTTAGCGATCATATTGATTCCAAATATATATGTTTTTTCAATCACTGACTCCAATCTATCACTTTTCTTCAAGAAATTCATTTCAACATAGTAGTTCATATACAGAAGATTAACGAAATATCGAGAGAGATGTTGAAGGAGCTCTAGTTCTTATGCATAGTTGTAACCTTCTACTTCTTAGATGATATAACTATATAATTTGCACATATTAGTTAGTAGTTGTAGTAAATTATTTCATATGTTGGTTCTGGCTCATATTCCTCCATCGCGTCGTAACTATCATTCTATCAAGTTTATAATCTATCATTGAGTCTATCACCGGTTTGAATCGAGTAGTAATCTCTAGGTCTATCATTCTATCAATTTTTTGGTTGTGGTTCGCATATTTATCAGTAGATATCCTTGTAGTGCTAATATCATCACGTCGTCAGGAAGATAAGTATTTCTCATACAACTCTTTGATTTTGAATCATATTTCCGCTGCTGTATTCGGAAAATATTACAAATCAACATGTTCCAAGAGCTTGAATTCATACGCCTGTAATTTGGTTAATTGGTACGCCCATCAAAACATCAAGATGGTGGAAGGAGATAGACCTGCCTCCTGCAGGTGATCTATCATCCCCTCGCTCCTGTTAACCTTAATAACGTAAACTAGTGCCTCCCCATCCTCCCCATTTATCTACAACTTCTCTACTGTTGTACTAGAAGCGTCCCTGTCCCTGAGTTGCAAGTAAGTACTTAATAATTTTGTAATATTATATTGAAGTACTAGATTTTCCGCAATCAAAAATCTCAGTTTAAGAAGTTTTCCTAGAAGTACATTAAGGCTACCGCTGAAGCATCCTCAGCGCTATCCTTGGCGCTTCTTCTACTTGAAAAAAACGCCAAGTGTGCTGTGAGGGATGCCAACGTGGCAGCTCTATTAGGTCGTGTAAGTATCAATCATCTCCGTTCTTGGATCTGTTCTTGGAGTCCGGTAGTATGATTGGCGTCTACCTACACCTACTTAGTAGTCGTTCACTACTAGAGTACTCCGCTCAAGAAACGCTCCATCTCCCCTAAGTAAGTACCTTTGTTGGAGGAACTAACCTAGGATGAAGATGAGGGAATTCTTGCCACGATGTCTTCTTATACACCATGTCACCTCTAATTATAGTAACCACTTTCTCCTACTTTATTAGCTCCCCTTCTTCTAATTACCACCCTTATTAGGTGACCACCACCCCTTCTTCTAAAACTCCTCCTCTAATTATCACCGCACCACCACCTTTCACCACCGCCACCCCTTCTTCCTTTGTATTTATAAGTGACAATTACGATGACCCGGCTTCTTCTTAGAGGTTGAAAGTTGACCGACCTAGCTGGCATATCTATGACTTTCTTACTACTTGAAAGGGAGGTCATAGATCATGTGCTCATAGAGAGCGAAAGGTCAACTTTCAACCCTTAATCTGTCGGTTGCTGCTCCGCCTCCTCCTTCGGCAGAACGCATGCCATCACCTTAGTCGGCTTTTTCTCCTTGTCGACCAACGTCTTCGGCATGCAAGTGCCCTCCACAGATTTTAGAACCTTCTACTTAGTGTAATTTTGTAAGGTAATATCTGCAAGGTAATAAATTTGTAAGACACCTTCTACTGACTGTACAAAGACTGTATTAATTTTGTAAGGTATCTGTAATGTCATTTGAGTACTAACAAGATACCTTCTACTCAGACTGTATTATTGGATGGGGTAGAAGTTGTGACGTGGAATTACAACACTGTTGATAGGCATAATTTGCTTTTTTTCAAACCCGCCATGCTCGAGATTCTTCTGATACACGGCGAGCCTTCCTCTTTCCACGCAAACTTGTCGGTTCTTATTAGAAGGAGAAATAGAAGTGCTGGTAGTTGTATCACTAGGTAGTATTATGCTATGATCATTGGTACTGTATGAAGTATACTATTAGTAGTAGTAAATAATACCCATTCAAGGGGACGAGCTGTAGCAGGAGTAGTTGTTAGCCCATTTTTCAAGAACATTGGACAATGAAAGATCATCCATCGAACACAGAAGTTGTGCAGTACTTGGTTTTCCATCCATCTCTCCTTGGTCGAATTGGAGGCATCTTTTTCGTTACCTCGTCGGGACTAAAGAACAAGGTAACTAAAAAGGGACCTCCAAGAAGAAGCGACTTCCAAAGAGCAAGGTAACTAAAAAGGAACCTCCAAGTTCGGCTCCAAGTTGTCATCTTCCTTGGTTGGAAAAGTCTCTTCACTTACCAAGTAGCACAAGATCAACGCTTATGCTAATCATTTATGAAGCCAAAATCTCTTATCATGCTGACAATTAATGGAACCAAAATCTCTCATCATTTATGGAGCCAAAATTGAACAATCAAACACTTTCTTACATCCTGCTGGGGAAGCAGAAGACCGGATGAATAGACCACTAGTTTAGTTAGGTTGCTGTTTGTTGCTTTGCCGTAACTCGAGTGCAGTAGGAGTTCCTGGCATCAACGACTTGAGCCCCCCAAAAATAGACGGAGAGTGTTAGAGAATGTAGTCAAGAAGGTACTATTCGTATATCTATGGAAAGAAAACCAAACTACAAAAACATGGAGTGAGTGTTCAAATTCTTGCTACCTTTTCACGAGGTGCTGTGTCGAGCACTCATTGGTATCAAGTAGCGATCCCTGATATCAAGTAGCTCTCATTGACGCCAGCCCCTAGACGAGTAGGAGTAGTAGTAGGAGTAGTAGGAGTAGCGTGCCCAATCTTGACACAAACTAGTCTGTCACGTTCATTTTGTCAATCCAAATAGACCAGCGAGAAACTCTGATGAAGAAGTGGCAACACTACTAACCCTGTACTTGAAGTTGGACGAGCAGGCTGTTTGTCATTTATCATAAGCAATAACAAGGGCCGCAGCAGTATAGACCATATACGTATTTCCGATGACCTCACCCGCTTTCTCAGCAAACGCTTACACTTTAGAGGGGTCTCAAAAGAAAGATACGGATTATGACGGGTCTCAACAGGTTTTACGAAAGAAAGATGGCGACGATGTTAGTCGAGTCGGATTGGGCCTACGAGTAGACGCTTAGCATGACAGCCACGCCGTGTACGGCCTCTCATAAAGTACACGTCGTGCGTTTAGGGCAAAAGGATGCAACACGACGTGCACTTTAATAGACCAAGAGGAGGCTATGAAACTTTAACAGACCAAGACGAGTAGGCTGTGAAACTTTTGTAGACCAAGAGGAGCTTGTGCTGAAACTTTAATAGACCAAGAGGAGGCTGGGAAACTTTAATAGACCAAGAGGAGGTTGTGCTGAAACTTTAAATAATAGACCAAGAGGCGGCTGGGAAACTTTAATAGACCAAGAGGAGGTTGCCGCGATGACTCACAATACAGAAGAAATTGACAACAAAAGTGAGTGAAAGCAAGATGAGCGTATTATCATCATAATTAGGAGACGGATAGATAACCGTCTATCGAGCCTTCTCCTTTGACAAAGATGAGCGTAGAAGTGATAAAATCTAAATTGATGTTTCTTGAAATAAGTAATTATAGATGAAATACTTCGAAGTGGATGAGGAAAAATAGAAAAATCCCGACAGCAAGGATTGATGTTGATGAAAAGTCACCACATGATGGACATATACATCAACGTAGAAAAAAACGACTTCAAAAAAGATAGAAGCTGTCTCGTTTTGCTGCCTTAAGCACTTGGTGAGCCGCAGTCGTCGCCATTTCCCCGAGGGTGCTGCTTGCAGCATCAGCATGTGAAGAAAAGTATAATCAAATATAGATGATTTAGTTTTAGATTATCTCTCTAAATGTACTACAATCAATGTACTGAAGTAGGCCGTCGCTTGAAGATTGATTGACTGGCTGACTTACCTCTTCGGGCAGTAATCGGTAAGAAGTACTAGAGGGGCAGGGGTCCGTAGATCTGACCACGAACACAAAGAGAGAGGTCGGCCAGATGCTCCAGGGGCGGGGGCTCCCCGTGGGACTTACGGAACGCCGTAGAGCTGCTCGTGACGCGTGACGCCCATCGCCCACCGCGGGACGCCGAGAGTCTCGGGGATGGACGAGATTTCTGTTTTCAATTTCAAGCGTGACGCAGCGCGAAACAGTGTGCGTTTCCTTGATCGGTCCGCGGATCGATCAAGGACTCACGGATCGATCAAGGAATCACGGAGGGGTCCACGGATCATGGACCGACATCGGCCCACGGATCACCGATCGACATCGATCCGCGGGTCACTGATCGACCCCCAGGCCCCTGATCGATCCCCAGGCCCCTGATCGATCCACGGGCCCCTGATCGATCCCCAGGCCCCTGATCGATCCACGGGCCCCGGATCGATCCACGGGCCACTGAGCGACCCACGGGCCACTGATCGATCCCCGGGGCACTGACCGACCCGGGAATTTTTGACCGGTCCGCGGGTCACTGATCGACCCGCGGATCGCTGATCGATCCGCGGATCCCTGATCGATCCCCGGGGCACTGATCGATCCCCAGATCACTGACCGACCCGTGGATCACTGATCGAACCACAGACCACGGGTCGCGCCGATCGATCCACGGGCCACTGATCGCGACGCCGCCCTTTCTTATAATAGGGAACCACCCTGAAAGCGAGGAGGCTACGCGGGGGGACGAATTTGGACAGCTCTACGGCGTTCGGCCCAACTTACGGAGGCTCCCCGCCTGTGGATTGAGCGGCGGCGGCGTCCGCGCGCCCTTTCTTCTGCGGTGGTGACATGTAAGTAAGGACCCCCGGGGGCCAAGGCCTCAAAAGGCGGGGCCGGAGGGAGGTTCCTGGCGGCTCTCCGCGTGTGCCGACTCTTGGACCTTGGTTGCCAGAGGGACAGCCTCCGGGGGGAGAAGGCCGCCGAAGGCGGCCACGGCCGCGAGGCCTGGCCCCTTTGGCCCTCGTCCGCCACCACCAAACGCCCAAAGGCGGGGAAGAGTGGGGGCAAGGCGTGCCCGCCGGGGTTCTGTCAGATACATGCAGCACGCCGCAAAGGGTCAAGCCTTGCCACCTGCTTCCCTCGGAGGCCTTTCACCTCCCAAGAGGCTGGCGATGATGTAAACCCACCGATCAGGTGAGACGGGATGCCACCTCCCAAGAGACTCCCCCAGTGAAGAGCCCGAACCCTGGACGGAGGTCTGTAGGGTACAAACACACAACAAGCCGCAACAAGCCAAAGGGGCCCAACCTTGCCACCTTCGGAAGCGTTGCACCCCCAGCCGTCCTTCGATGCTTCAACGGCAGCCACAAGGGTGGGGGCGCTGTACTAGGGTCCAGGCAAGAAGCGCAAAGGCGTCAGAGGTGGGCTTTTGGAGGCCTTCCCGCCCGGCCGTCCCTCGAGGAAAAGGGCCAGGGGCGGGAGGCCCCCCCTCAAAAAGTTAGATTGAGGGGCTGGAGCATACCTATTTGTCCCAAACGAGGGCGTAGATAGGTGGCGCGTCGACGAAGCTGCAGGAGTACAACCCCCCGAGAGGTCTTGGCTTGAGGCGGCGCATATGGCGCCAGATGTCCTCACCCGCAAGCGTAAGGCCAGCACGGATTGCGGGCCGATCTAAGGAGGGGCAGGCAGGGGGGCTCGGGGCTCGTCTCAGCCTGCCTCGAGCATATTTTCGGCAAACTCAGACGGGCCCCTCTGCTCGCCGTTGTATTGTTCAACGAAGCCAAGCCGCCTGCACTGTAAGGCGCGGCCCGGGTTACTCTGTGGCCGGGTGGGTCGGTCCAGGTCGCTCCTTCCAGCTGGGAAGCCTGTGTGTATTGTAAGCCCCTAAGCTGTCTCAAGGTTGCCCCCCCATCGTGGTGCGTGCGTGTCGCTCGCTACCTACACTACAGGTTTGTTAGGCGTGGGGCGCGAGGCTGCGTGGTGCGCGGTCGGTGGGTCGCAAGCGTGGTGCGCGGCTGCATGGTGCGCATTTATTGCGTGGCGCGCGTTTGCATGGTGCGCGGTTGCGTGTAGGTGCGCGGCTGCGTGGCGGTGCGCGGCTGCATGGAGGTCGGTGCGCGGTTGCGTGGGGGTCGGTGCGCGGTTGCATGGAGGTCGGTGCGCGGTCGCGTGGAGGCCGGTGCGGGGTTGCATGGGGGTGCGCGGTTGCGTGGGGGTGCGCGGTTGCGTGGGCGTGCGCAGTTGCTTGGGGGTGCGCGGTTGCGTGGGGATGCGCGGTTGCGTGAGGGTGCGCGGTTGCGTAGGGGTGCGCAGTTGCGTAGGGGTGCGCAGTTGCGTGGCGGAGCGCGGCTGCGTGGGGGTGCGCGCTTGCGTGGGGGTGCGCGGTTGCGTGGAGGTCATGCGCGGTTGCGCGGGGGTGCGCGGTTGCGTGGGGGTGCGCAGTTGCGTGGAGGTGCGCAGCTGCGTGGGGGTGCGCGGCTGCGTGGGGGTGCGCGGTAGGGTGGGGGTGCGCGGTTGCGCGGAGATGCGCTGTTGCGTGGGGGTGCGCGGTTACGTGGAGGCGCGCGGCTGCGTGGGGGTGCGCGGCTGCGTGAGGGTGCGCGGCTGCGGTAAGGCCTCGCTCACAGGAAAGCTCGCTGTGTCTCCTGGTGGTCTCTCCGGCAGAGGTCGCTGCGGCGTAGGTCCTCGCCCACGGACACTCGCGCTTAGTTTTCCTTTCCCTTTGCGCCGGTTGTGTCTCTCCTTTCCTGTTCGCGCGGTCTCTCGGCTTCTCTCGGGGGCCGAACGGTCTCTGTCCTCGCTCTCGCAAGGGGTAACAGGCGCATTTCTCACGCACGCCAGGGGGCCACCGTTGCTCAGCCTCTCTGGCTCTCTCCTCCTACTGTGCTCTCAACTTTTCACACCGAGAAGCCGCCACGGTGTGCTCAGTCTCTCTCCGTCGCAGATAGCTTGCCTCCTTCTATTCTCTACTTCGCGCACCAATTGCCGCCACAGTTTGCAAAGTCTCTCTTCTCCGCAGCAGGTCGGTCCCTTCCTTGTGTTCTCTCTCAAGCGATCCCTCTCCTAGGTAGCGACGGCTGGGGAGTCCTTTTTTGCGAGTTCTCTCTCTGGTGAAATTGCAGAGGTATGGCCCTCAGGGCAGGTTATTTTTCCTCTCCCTCCTCCGCTGCCTGGGTCGTGGTCGAGGTGTGGCGCGTTACCTCTGGGGGAACGATGCGGGTGACCGTTCCCATTTTTCCCTAACGCGAGACATGGGTGGGGCTTCCGCGGGGTCTCCTCAGGTTTGTGGCCTTCATCAGAGGTGAAAAGAGGTCGTAATCACATGGGTTCAAGGCCTATTACGTGCATTTTTGACATGGTAGGATCTCCTCCTCAAGAGTAACCCTACCATACACTACACCGGCTGTTCTTCATTTCTAGAACAAATTTTTTATTCAGCATCCTCGTCGCCGTCAGTGACAGGCAGTCTCTTATTCTTAATAGCCAGCTAGTTTTTACAACAGAGTAGAGTAGTTTGCTAATGTTTGCCAGCTCGCATGGCATGGAGTGCATGGATCGCATGGAGCTGACGGGGCGCTTCTTGCGTCCCTTCGAGATCTGCGCCCCATGCACTCCAGGCGCCATGCGTGCTACAAACTTCTCCGTATACAAGTAATTCTATTCTCTTTCCTAGAAATAATAGTTAGTTACATCTCTTAGAAGTTTTATATTCAACAAACATCCTCTTCCTCTTCCTCGTCTTTTACAAAAATTAAACATCGTCATAAGGCCAAGGCCAACACTTCCGATCCAGCGCCACCTCCAGTCGCCGCAATCGCACCAGCAGCCGCAGTACCGACGATCAGGCCCCCGACCCCAACAAGACCCTGAAATAATTGGGGTCGACATTTTGTGGCACTCGAGTCGTTTTGGATAGATTTCGCCATTTGGATGATAAAAGTCAAAGGATGAAAATAATCTTGTTCCCTACATTATGCTCGTACCATTAAGTTGAGAGGTACTGAGTCAACAAACATAAGGAAAAGTAGACTTAAGATGTCACTCTCAGAGTGAGAGGTAACTGTCAATGTATGTACATACCCATTTTTTCAACTTGCCCATCACCCCGTAATTCCCACGATAGAAGCCGACACGCATTAGAGGAACATGCGATACATCATACAATTGTTAGCAGTAACGTCCGACTTAGTATGATGATGAGAGGATTAGACTTTTCCGATCAATTAAGGACAAGGAATAGCCTTGCCAGTAGAATGGTAGCCAAAACCAATTATGTAGCTAACTATATCTCGGGCGCTGCCAGTGATCTGGCTGCTTAATATTTCAACATCAACAATTCAGCAGTCTAGTGCGACTGTTAATATAATAATCAAGTAGATGAACTGGTAAGCGTAAGTGTGAGATAGGAACACTCTGACTCTTCAGTAGCATATTCGAAAAACTGAAATAAGCGAGTAACCAACCAGAATAGATGAGATACTGATGAAGCAAGCTACGAGTGTCCCATTGTCACCGCCTTTTCCCTCACTGCCAAATAATTATCGAATGAATTATTGCATTAGCTACAAGTGAGTAACTGACTTTTAACTTGCACAAATCATGCGTAAGCTTCCTGCAACCTGGCAGCTTTTTTAATTCAAATTCAAGATCAGCCTAGTAGTAGTGGTAGTAACTAACCCAAGAAGCTGTGGTAGTAGGCTAACGAAATGCAAAGAGAAAAGGGGAATAATGGGGAGTAGAAAGTAGAAGCCTTAATGTATGGACTCCAGATCCGTCGCCGTCGATGACCCCACTGCAGCACTCCTGGTTTCCTGTATTCGGATTCCCACCTCGTAGATTCGGCTTCTTGGTCGTTTTTTAGAAAGGTCCCAAAGAAATGGCTTTACGACTAAGACAAAAGCCTCGCATCCTGTCTGCGTATATTATTCATATTACTATGATTGAGGACTACGGGCGTCGCGCTACGCGCGCCGCTGGGGGCTATTTCTGGAGGGAGAGGAGGAAAGAAGGGAAAGGGAGGCGAGAATAAGGCAAGGGCAAGGAAGGGGAGCAGAGAGAACGAAGAGGGGAGGAGAGAGGAGACGGAAGGGGAGGCACGGGGAGGGCGGGAGATGGTTGGAGAGGCAAGGCGGACGGGGAGGTGCCCGCGGCCGACAGCGACGCCCGCCGCCGCATTCATCCTCGTCGGCACGGTTCTCAACCGGTGCCTCCTGCGCGCGGCCCTCTCCCCCGCAGAGGCGCTCCCCGTGTAATTACGGGCAAAAACGGCGAACCCGTGGCAGAATACTCTGCAAGACGCACCACGGAGGTAACGGCCGCGGAACACTCTGCAGAAAAGCCACGGAACCCTCTGCGGAGCAGCTGCAGCACACTCCCCCGAAGAGCAACGGCGGAACAAGCTACAGAACAGCTGCGGAACACGCCACGGAACAGCCAAGAGCACCCAGGAGCAGCGCAGGAGGCCTGCCAAACTGAGACACGCAGGAGGCAGGTGCGGAACAGCTGCGGAACAGCTACGGAACATCCCAGGAGGGTTTTGCGCTGGGCCCTGCCCGCGCTCATGCGAGCCCCTCGGAAGCACCCTGCGGGGCAGCTCCGGAACTGCTGCGGAACAGCCAGGAGGCTCGCAGGGGGCTGCAGGGGGCACCCCCTTAACGCGGCCCCGCCTCCTCCTCCAGAAAAGTGCACGGGAATTAGTCAATTAGCCCATTAATCAGTCGTAGAAGTACTTCGGTAGCCCATGATAGTAGTGCGAAGTCGTAGTAGTACCTACTTCGTTGGAAACTCATGAATCAGTAGAAGTACTATAAAATGGTCCCTGCGAGCATCATTTATGATCATGGGCCAAAAAGAACACTACTAGTCTAGTATTAGTGGTAGTCGTGTGCCCAATTATGGGGCATAGAAGAAATTAACTATTCTTCTTCACCCATTCATAATCTTCCGGGTTGACCGAGGTCAGAGCAGCCAGTGTCTTACTGTTGTGCTGTAGGTGTGGAGGATTGTAGATGTGGAGGACCGGGTAAGATGCGAACAGATGTTGAGTAAGAATAACTATGATGTACAAAACTAGTTAGGCGAGGTGAGGTGTAGGAGAGACCTAACTAAGAAAGAAAGAAAATTGAACAGACCACGAAAGCCATGGCGTATAGAGGTACTAGTTAGATAGTGGACGTCGAGGGCCTATGCATGTTCTAGGGCGCAAGGCTGAAGGCCCCCCCGGTCCGTCCAACTTTTTGATGGGGGGGCTCCAGCCTCAGGCCCTTTTTCTCGAGAGACTGCCGGGCAAGAAGGCCTCCCAAAGGCCTCCGAGCGCCCTCCCCCGACCCCTTCCCGCTTCTTGCCTGGACCCTACAGAGGCCCCATCCCTGAGGCCGTTGAAGCACCGAAAGCCAGGGGCCGAAGGGTTCCGAAGATGGCCAAGGTGGCAAGGCTGAGCGACCCCCTTGCCGTGGTGCATGTACCCGGCAGACCTGGCAAAGGCAGCAGGGCTGGACCACCTTGCCGCGCTGCACTTTCCCGCACAGACCTGGCAAAGGAGGCAAGACTGGACCCCCTTGCCGTGTTGCGTGTACCCTACAGACCTGGCAACGGTGGCAAGGCAAGACCCCCTTGCCGTGTTGCATGCGCCCTACATGCCTCCCGCGTGCGGGGGCCTCACTGGAGGAGTTTGGCCCCTGCTTCCCCCATGAGGGCCAAAGGGGCCAGGCCTCGCGGTCGTGGCCTTGGCCGCCTTCTTTCCCCGGAGGCCGTCCCTTTGATAGGGTCCAAGAGTCAGGACGCCTTTGGGGTACACGCGGAGAGCCGCCAGGGGCCTCCGGCTCCGCCTTTTGAGGCTTTCCCCCCGTGAGTCCTTGCATGTCACCACAGCGAAAAAAAGGGCGCGCGGACGCCGCCGCCACTCCATTCATAGCGTGGGCATCCCTCCCTGGTACATGTATACTATCTATACTAAGGAGCGAAGAGAACAGTGCCTGAAATGAGAGAAGCCTACGCACATGTACATCTGAAGATGTTGAATGTTAACTATGATGTAAATACAAGTTAGATAGTGGACGAGGATCTGTGTATCTACAACGAACAAGCTTGCTCTACAACAACAAAAATTGTGTTGTAGTTGTTGCCTCTACTCAAAATAGTTACCAGTTGAAGAACTTCGTCCGTGTTTGAAAACAAAAAAGTGTGATGCTATTTTACATCTTCCCGACGGATGGCGAGATAATTCCTACTAAATCCTTACACTCGTCCGACATGAGTAGCAGTAGTAGAAGAAGTAGTAGGAGTAGTGGTAGTAGAAGTAGTCGTGAGCCCATTCATGGGGTACCGTCCGAAATCTAGAGGAGGGAAGGAGGAGTTATGATGGTTTTCTCGTTGCAATAGCATGCTGTTGTTCTGGATGATTGAGTTTGAGCATATCCCTAGCTCCGAATAAACTACAAAGTGGAGAAGATCTATCAGACATGAATAAAGTGAAGAGCTTCAAGAGATACCAGTTCAACTTCATCCGTGAAAGAAATGCAGGCATCCTCCAAGGTAGCAAAACGCATCTTGCTCACGTTGGCATCGTTGTCTGGATTGTCATAGATCTTCTCCACGTAGGGCCCAGGCATTAGATGGTGGCCAGGATGGTGGTGGTGGTGGGGATGGTGGTGGTCCGGATGGTGGTGGTGACCATGGTTAAGTCACTTGGCGCTAATGGTTAAGCCCTATCGAACAACTTCTAGCTGCTACATGATGAAAGGCCACAAAGATTTATCCTGTCTGCTTCTCTCATGTCTACTGTTCATGAAGTTGAAGAATTTACAGAAGTAGTAGTACTACTAGTAAATAAGTCCATTCGAGAGTTGATGAAGATACTATACATTTAACTTCTCATTATTTTCTGTCTACCTCAACTCGTCCTCGTCCTGTTCATGAAGATACATACTAAAATGAAGACGAGTAACAGCACCTAAAATTTGTTCTGAATAGATGATCAAAGCAGAAGTCCAGCGGGAGCAGGTGAACAAAGAGCCTTAACTTTCCACCTGCTGAGAGTGCAGAGGAAGCTTTCGCGAAACTGGCGGCTCCACTTTCCGAGTCCATCGGCTCGCCAGCCGCATTGAGCGGAGTGCCAGCACTGTTTTCATTAGAAGATGAAATTGGTTCTCTTCATATTAATTATTTGTTCTTTACCTAAAGATAAAATTGGTCCTCTGTCTTCACACGAGGACAGATTCAAGTTGATGTTGCTTCTCTAGCAGTTCACGACAAAGTTCAGTGCAGACTGCCATAAATTCAAGATCAAAATGTCCGCGTCCCGTCCTGGCGGCATAGCCGGGTCGAAAGGTGACCTTCACAAACTTCGCCCACCCCTCCGTCATCGAGTTACCACCATCACAGGTGAAGAACGACGAACCGCAAGTTCAAGGATTAGAACAAGGGGAGTATTGATGTATTAGGAACGAGGATTAGAACAAGAGGAATTCAAAATTAATCATTAAACTTAAATTACTTCTAGACCCGCCCGAGCCTAAGGCAGCTAACGTTTCTACTTATACCCTACAGATCGATGAAGTTACTTCGTCTATCTAGACTCGTCGATTTGCCAATATTGCAAGAGGAGAGGGACTGAGGGAGGGGCCAGGTAGTACAGGAGGAGAGGGACCTCTGAGGCATTACGTCCATTCAAAGGGGATTTAGATATTACGTCTATTACAATGAGGCATGACGTCTCTTGCAGGGAAAGGGACTGAGGATCTCGGTATAATTACCGTTCAGTCTACTAGTTAAGCACGAGCGGGACTAGTTGTAGTGGTAGTGGAGCACGAAGCTGTCGCAACGACCTTGAAGCATAATATAACCATTGAGAAGTCAACCGATTCACGGGGTTGCACAGTAGTACTCTACCTCTACTAGAAGAGAGTGAGAGATAAAAGAGGTTGCTGCAGCAGAGGACAAGCACTCGTAGAGTTCGTATTAGTAGTAGTGAAATTAAGAAAGAGCCGATTAAGACTAGTAGAAGTAGAGTTTTTATTAGTAGTAGTGAAATCAACAGAGTTTGCTGGAGGTGGAGAGCACGCAGGACAAATAAATAAGTCTTTAGCACTAGTATCTCTATCACGACTACTAAAAATTACAGCATTGTAGTAGCATAACGGCCAGGAAGCAGGCAGCGCCGCGGGCAACGCCGAGGGGCGTCGGATCGCAGAAGACCATCTTTCGTTGTTGTAGTGAAGACGGTGCTTGTTTGAAGATTGAGGATAGCAAACTGGTTGTAAGTGTTGATGTTGATGTACCTACGAGCCTTTTTGTTGATATGTTGCCTTCTCTTGATATGTTGATACCTTTTTGTTCTAGAAGTATTTCGATACAGTTTCGATAGAATGACTTTCGATAGAATGACTTTCGATAGAATGACTTGATTTGGTTGAATGATAGACGCTATTCTTCGACTCTTTTGCTTTTCCTGAAAGATTCTCCCAAGATTGAGACTTGATCAGGGTTTGACGAGCTCCTACAGGGATTTGGGTTGGAAAGAAGTTGAAGTTGTGTCATCATGTCAGTATAACTTATAGATACTTTTCTTGTTACACTTACAACTTTGTTCATCGATCTTCCTTGATAATATTCATTCAGTTATGTCAATGCATGTTCATCCAGCTTCATTTTTTTGAAATTGGTTTTACTTGCACAAATATCGGTTTTTAATATCATGGTTGGTTCTCCTTATACATGATGTAACTTGTCCCAAACACCACGATAAAACGAAGAACGAAAACGAAGAAACCTATAGATACTATAGGTCTACTCAGTCTCACGTTGTCAACTCAACAGAAGCATCTCTCATACTCACGATGTCAACTCAACAGATGCTTAGTCAAACTCCCGCTCTAGAAAACAAGTTCAGAGCTCAACAGAGGACTCCCTCAACAGACGACGTTGTTTTCTCTGCTCACTTTCGCTCCGCTGTGAGGGTGCTAGTCACGATCGACGAACGAAATACTCGATGACGCAGGTCGAAGAGAACACGTCGAAGTAGAAGAGCTAGATTGCTCTTACGAATTAGTAGTAGCAGTAGTGTACCCGATCGTGGGGTTGTATAGGTTCTGTATATAATTAGCTCCTGAACTTCTTCCTTATATTACCAAAGATGAACTACGGTTCTTTATGCTCAATTTCAGTTGTCCTGATCAATATTTTGTTCTTTATCTTTTGTTACCGCCACTCGTTCCAGAGAAGCTCTCGGCCATTCCTGTTGAGTCCAATCACTCGTTCGTGTTCGACGACTAGCTAGTTCACTCTCTTCCTGTGCTCTGTGTTCAAGAATAGATGAGCCATGGGAATATGGATCATTCGTCCTCAAAAAGGTTTTAAGTCCCGCCCCGCGACGAGTGACAGCACAGAAGCATGACTCTTCTATTCGATAAACTGAAGTAAGCAAGTAACTGATCAGAATAACCGAGATACTGAGAGAACAAGGAAGAGTAGCCCGCTGAACCTACCTCCCTTATTTCAGTCAGTAACTCGCTTATTTTGAGTTTTCGAATTCTAGTACCCTCATAACCATACTCCGTTTTCCCTCTTCTTCTGTCTTCCTCTAGTAGTTGTAGTAGTCGTGGTTAACCGATTCATGACGCTGCACAGTCGAAAAGAATTCTACAAAATTATCGCATGTAGAATTCTAGAAATGCTTCTTCTGTCAGTCAGTCAGTCAGTCAATGTTCTCACTTTTAGAATTCTAGAAATGCTTCTGCTGTCAGTCAGTCACTGTTCTCACTTTTAGAATTCTAGAAATGCTTCTTCTGTCAGTCAGTCAGTCAGTCAGTCAATGCTCTCACTTTTAGAATTCTAGAAATGCTTCTCCTGTCAGTCAGTGGGCGCCGACCTCCCCGCAGCTGCGACGGCCGCACCTCTAGAAGCCTATAAATTCTAAACGTTGAAGACTGATGCGCCTGCTGCAGCGCGGTGAGTAGTTCCTTAGATATTTCTTAAGTAGAAATCTATCCCACTTTGAAATAGCTACTACCAGAGGTGTCGCCTGTGCGTTGCATTTTTGACTGTCTTGCGTTCCAATGTATGGGAGAGAGAAGGTCTGAGCTTTGTTCCCGCGAGCAAAGTCTTACCCTTTGGCGACTACATTGCCGCCTCTGTAATAGCATTATAAAGCGTAAATCTTCTGATAGATCCTCTTTGCTATATTTCGAAAAACAGGGGAAGCTCCTAGCGTCACTCAGTGATCGCAATAACTTCGAAAGTGCAATACATTTAGAGAGGTAGCGATATAGTCCGAAGATTATCGTGAATGCTATAACTGCGCCTCTGGTAGACGCATGCGCTTGAAATCTTCCGCGCAGGAGAGGTCGTAGTTGGTCGTAGTTGGTCATGAAGATCAAATCCACTACGAAATCAAGAATCCACTACGAAACTTTAGACTGCTGATTTTTCCTTTCTTGTTTTCGGTATCTCTTCTTCATAACTCATATAGCTCCACTCCCTCTCCAACTCAGTCAGCCTTTGACGCAATCTCCATTCTTATGCATCGAAACGAAATAAATCATGTAAGGGTGAACACACGAAAAAAGATAAGTAGGAAGCTAGGCACGCGCTGAGTGCGTCCAGTGTTGTCTTTGTTATACCTGACTGCACAGCTGCGCAAATCTTCTGCTGGTGCATTTCCATTTTTCAGATATGGCAACTGGGATGGTTTTTCGATGACATTTACCAAAACTTTAGATACTAAAAATAGGATCAGAAAGCAAGGAAACGAGATCAGAAAGGCAACAAGACGACAACACCATTTTCGGCAGTGTTACAGCATAAGAGCGCTCGACTTCAATTTTTATTTCTAGTAGTAGTAGTAGTAGTGGTGTACCCATTCGAGAGGTGTAATGTTTAATTAATTGATGCACTACTTCCTTTAACCCCTTTTTTTATTTCTATATTGTTTTTTATTTTCAGAGGAAGGCAATGACAGATTCAGGATCATCATACTCCATAGCCATCTTCATCCTTTCACAATTTCAGAAAAAAGATCGATGAACAGTACAGATTATAACATTAAAATCAAGAGTCTTCTGGCATGCGATTTCGCAGGGGCCATGGCGAGACTCAGTTCCTCTACTATGTGCATACAGCTACTGTTATAGGCGCTGCTGTTGCAGCTGCTGGCACCCTTGGCGCTACTGTTATAGGCGAAGCCCGCTCATCCTCGCCAAAGTAATCTGCCTCAGGACTCAGCAATAGGTGCTCATTGGAGGTGGCGTAGGAGCATCCCGATCCAGTGCGCGCATCTCTTCTTCGTGTCGTCAGAACCAGTACTCAGAACCCGGACTTTTTAAAAGCCACTTCTCGTCCTCCTGCGATGCGCGGGCCCCATTATGTGGCGTTGGTGTCCTAGGTGGCGTCCTAGGAGAAGCACTAGCCGTAGCCTTCTGCCCATCCTGAAGCGGAAGAAAAGGTGGTCCGTCGAAAGAGGATGCTCCTGGACTTCTAGGAGGTTCTTCTGCACGAAAGAGCACGACCCCTCTTGGTGTCCAATGCCCACTATCAGCATCATTGCTCAAAACTGCCGCTTGAGAAGCAGTTTGCGCTGAAGCTTGAGCTGAAGCAGTTTGAGCTGAAGCAGTTTGAGCTGAAGCAGTTTGAGCTGAAGCAGGAGACGCGGCAGGAAACGAAGCTGAAGGCGTTTGAGCTGAAGCCGTAGTTTGACCATTCTCTATGTCTTCATCTCTGTGGAGAATTATTTCCCGCGCTTTACTAAGAAGGGCTCGAAGATCCAAGGACTGGAAAATGCTAGAACCTTTACTAGTATTCTGAATTTTCTGCGTTATCGCGTTACGTGCGCCTTCTTGATACTCCGCAAACGGATTTTCTAGACACAGCTCATCTTCGCTAACGTTTACTTGCACAGAATCCACGTTCAAAACATTCTTGTTGTACACAATCGTCGTGTAGTTCCTAGAAGGATTAGCAGTCGTGGCAGCTGCAGGAGCAGCTCCTGTATGAGTACTAGCACCTGTTTGAAGAGTAGCAGTAGCTCCTGTATGAGTACTAGTTCCTGTTTGAAGAGTAGCTCCTGTGGTAGGAGTAGGAGTAGTGGCCCCAGCTGCACAACAGGTAGAATTTCCTTTGACGACCAGCACTTTTCCTATGTCGGTTCCCTGCAGCAGGTTCAAAAAGAGCTGGACATCTTCCTCTTCGATGAAGTCGGCTTGTCTTAACCTGTGCAAGTACAACACGAGGTTCGGAAACTTCTCCGGATTCTGTACTTCAGCGTCGTCTGCAGAAGTTGGAGCGTTGTCTGCACAAGCTGGCGTTCTTGGATTTCCTAGTTGGCCAACAGCTCCACTAGCAGCTTCGGAAAAGAAGTATTTCTCCACGTCATAAAAATATCGAGTATCCCTTTCCCAATCGTCGTTCTGCTGCTGAGTCCTTCCTTCTTCACCGTGTAGCTGATGCGGTGGTCCGTGTAACGACCCTTGTAGCTGCCCCGCCTCGGCGGATCCCCCTCCCCGTTGTTGTTGTTGTTGTTGTTGTTGTTGTACTAGTTTCTCGTGCTTCTTCCTTACATAACACTTGGCTGCATTGTCCCATGCGATCCTGTTCTTCTGTAGAATTCGGATCCATTTGTCATCCGGAGTGTCCGCCAGTTCTTTTCCTCGTTCTCCGTCCAGCTCAATCCAGCTCAATCCGCTCTTCAACAGTGCCACGAGATCTGTGTCTTCAATCTTTCTCATTACATCAGCGCTAAGAAAATGCAACAAGCGTCCCTGCCAGCGAGAGGAAAGGAGTCGGCTCCTGGTTCGAGGATGTGCAAGTGTATGTTGCCCAGAATGTTGACCAGATACTTGACGGGCACATTCTTGACCAGATACTTGACCAGGAGTATCCTGCCCAGCACCTGAACCGCCAACGCCATGCACTACTTCTTGATACAATCTAATATCTTCCAGCCGTTCGCTTTGTATGTCCGTAAGTAAACGCTGAGCGTTGACCACGACAAAAATCAAGAAGCTCAAACGGGGCGCACGTAAAATCTCAACAAATCCATCACGTGACTTACCTTCATATGGTCCTCCACTTAGCTTCCCTTCCAATCCTGGCTGGATACTCGTAGTCACGGTAGCAGTCAACGTCTTATCTAGGTTGCGCTTGGCCTTGTCGCTCAACTGTGCCACCAGCTGCTGCGCTGAGAGTAAGGGATGGAAGTTCAAGCTGCGTCGTTCCTCATTTGCTTTGGCAAGTTCTTTACTAACTTCTGTCTCCAACCTGTGTCGGTATTCGGCGACGGCTTCACTGTCTTTCATATTCAAAACGCCTCCCGGAACCTCTAAGATGCTCTCTCGAAACACCTTCTGATCCGCAGGCGTAAAGATGACTGGAGACGAAGTGCGAGGCCCTGCTCCTCTATTAGGGTCGCTATCCATGTTCGTCTCCTTCTCCTCGCACAATTTTGTCATCACGCGTACAACGTTATCAGGACGCTTGCCGAGTCGCAAACCAGGTACTAGTTGTTCTTTTTCGTAGTCGCGTCTCGTCCACATTTCGTCTGTGGTAAGCCTATGGTAAAGCTCTTTCTGCTTCCCCGGAGCAACAGCTAATTCATTCTCCATACGAGGATCCGTTTTTTGCCATTTACACTCCGCCAAGAATTCATAACTCTGATAAAGAGAATCGATCAACGAAAACATCTCGGGCCGTCTTTGCTCCAGTGTTCCCCTTCCAGGACACAGGTTACTCAAAGCTTGAGGGCTCAGCCTTCGTGTTGTACTGAGAAGCATTTGCAGATGTGAGAAATTTTCGTCGTCAATAGCCACTTGCGTCAATAGGTCCTGAGCACTTCTCGTAGCTGCTCCATGTTGACCTTCTTGTTCTCTTGAAGGTGAAAACGACGCAGCACCAGGAGAAGGTCTTGTTGTATATTTCGTTCGGCTTTCTTTCGTCTTGCCATACGTTTCCGCCTTCGGGTCTGAGAGCATCAGGGACAATTTTAGCAAACTTGGAAGACCCGTGTCGGCGTCACATTGCTCATACAAAGAATTAGAGCTCAAAACATTTCATTTCTTGCCTTCATTTCTCCATCATTCCAAGAAGGAACCGGCGCAAAATGACTCTTAGAAATGAAATATATTGAGCCTGCTTAAGAGAGTGTAGTAGTTGCAGCGTAGTCTGATGCTGCTGTCGCTGGACACTGTATGCAACTTCCAGACTCTGTTGCCGCTGGGTCATCTGCTGCTGCAACTGTAGCAAACCGTGGGAAAGCTGATGGTGAAGCTGCTGCTGCGAGCGTGTTGGAACACCAAGACGAGAACTAGTCTGGGATGCAGCAGTCAATTGTGCTTGAGACACAAAAGGAGTCGCTGGACCTTGTTGAAGTGGCTGAAAAACAACGCCTGTCGCAGGTTGTGGTTGAAAAACAACGCCTGTCGCAGGTTGTGGTTGAACAACAATGCCTACCACCGGTTGTGGTTGAACAACAATGCCTACCACCGGTTGTGGTTGAACAACAATGCCTACCACCGGTTGTGGTTGAACGTCATTGGCTATCGGAGATTGTGGTTGAACGTCATTGGCTATCGGAGATTGTGGCTGATCAACGGCTGTTGGTTGCAGGGATATTCGTGGGCGCGAAGATACTCGTGGCCGTGAAGATCCTTGATGTGGCTGCGTCGAGTAAGGTCCTTGAAATTGCGAAGACGGTTGCTCACCAGAATATGAATAGGTAGCCCAATGCACTCCAGAATAAGTACTCGGTTGTTTGTCAACAGTTTTCGGGTGTGACGCGTTAGACGGTAGCTCTGCAGACTGTCGCATCTTTGAGGACTGTGGCTTTTGTTTCTGCTCTTTTTTCCCGGATGCTCCACCAGCTTTTGCCTTAGCAGATCCGTTAGTTGATGCTCCACCTTGCTGGGCTGAACTTGATGCAGATCCACTAGGTTGTCCTTGTTTAGCCTTAGAAGAACGAGCCGATGGCGTTGCCTCTGAAACTGCTTTGCCTTTTCCACCAGGTCTGTGTGGCACTACACCTACGGCTTCCGCGGTCTGGCCCAACAGCTGGTGCGTGGTCACACAGGCAAAAGCAGCAGATAAAAGAAGTCGCACCATTTTATTGTTCCTTAAAAAGATCCTCGATGTCAAGTAGTCAATGATATCTTTGGCAATCCTTGAAAAAAGATCGACTCACTTATTTCGAGTCTTTGATCAATTATATCTTTAAAAAAATCCGCGATACTGATTTAAATTAGTGAGTCTTTAGTAGATGTAGTTGTAGTGAGTTATGCTGTAGAAATTCAGTTTACTAGTAGTGGAATAAAAGCTTCTCTCGGATGAAAATTCAAGAAGCTTAATTAGATTAATTTAGATGGCATTAGTATGTTGAGACTGGCTCTTGTGATTGTGCAGCAGAAAGGTAATAGAAGAAGTCGTAGCTATCGCTTTATTTTGTGCGACGTGCAGGCTTGCGTAGAAGATGAATGTTGATCGGACGCTCGGTAAAGCATATACTTTTTACTGAAGGTGTTACTGAAGGTGGAGCAAATAACCTTTTTTACTGAAGTGAATATTAGTATTTGGGGTGTGAGTGTGATGTTGATAATAATTAGACATTATAAAGCTGACGCTGATGTTGCTCATTAACCACATATATATAAGAATTCTGACGCACCTTCTTCTATAGTATCCTCAACCAAGTAGAAGCAGTGCTCTTCCAGTTGAAAGAATAGCCCTTCGCCCTAATGATAGGATTTAGGAATCGTAACCTTGATGTTCTCTGTACATAGGTTTGAGATATATGGATGGCAAACAATGCTCTTCACAACTACTTTTTACGTGGATCCTTCTCATACCAGTGATGCCGCTCACAACTACCACTGCGTGGATCTTTCTTCTACCATTCTTGATGGTCCCTTCGTTTCGTCTTCGTGATCTGCTTGTAGGTGGTCTATGATCTTATGATCTTATAGATCTCCTTCCTAGGATCTTATGATCTTCTTCCTAGATCGTTTTTTTGTTTGAATTTACCATAAAAAGGATCGCGTGCAGCAACTACATTGCATTACAAGCAAAGGACGATGTCTACTTACAACTTAGTTTACTGTTAGTTGATTCATATTAATTTGGTGATGAATCGTAACGCAGGTGATGACTCAGACCGGCTGAAGCTTCAGATGCGGGAGTCGAACAAGCAACTTCATTGTTCCTCTGCGTCACGTGCCTAGTGCAACCACTATCACCTCAGCTTTCTATTTCTTATCCTCGTACTATCACCTCAGCTTTCTTAATTTCACCTACGCCAGAAAGTCAAACCTTGCAACATTTGCCAAGAGTTGAAAGTTTGAAAGAGCTTTTCTAGAGCCTCCAAAGCCCTCCAATCGCTGGCATGGGTAGAGGTCTAGTTGCAGCTCATTCTTAGCCTGCTGAGTAGTGTGTTTGATAAAATTTTTCTTCATTTTTGAAAGTGAGAGAGGATTCTCCTTTGATACTAGTGCAACCAGCTTTATTCAAGTACAAGTGCTAGAAGCTTTCTTATCGTACTATCTTTCAAGTACAAGTGCTAGAAGAAGCTTTCTTTTTTGTTTGACGTTTTCCCACCTACCTCATTCTCAGACAGAATGAGATATGAAATCAAAAAAGACTGAAGACTTCCATTCTCGGGAGTCAGAGCCCTTGAAGAGTTGCCGAGACAGAAAAAGTGTGATCTTCTTCTGTCAGGCCTCTACTCCATGTCCATGCTCTCTGTCGAATGAGTCTTTTTCAGGGTCACAAATTAATTTAGTTTTATATTCATTCCCTTAAATTTGCAGCGCATTCTCGCAAATACTTTTCACGCGGGTTAAGCTCCTTGTCTCTGAAGCGTCTGAGCATCTCTCTTTCTCCTAGACATAATTCGCTCCCCACCTTGTTGTCAAGAAATTTGTCAGTCATTTCGTACATACCATCAATGGCGTACCGTAATTCTTTTCCCAGTATATCTTTGCTTATATTCGTATCCTTCTTCACGCGGGCCATCGCCGTCTCGAAAAACGCATTGAGGTCATTTCGTTTCTTTTTCAATTCCTCCATTAACTTTTCAGCAGAGGACAGTTTCCTGCAGGGCCAGATCCAGACGCTCCTGTAGGGCCAGATCCAGACGCTCCTGTAGGGCCAGATCCAGGCGCTCCTGTACTTCCTCCTCTCGCTCCTCCGCCTGGAGGATTCCTCCCCACCCCGACTGGGTCATCTCCTCCTGGCTGTTGTCCATCTCAGGGACCGGATAAACGTCAACAACGTGATGAACATCATGCGGCTGCGCAAGCCCATCAACATCATGCTTCTGGTCAGCGATTAATAAGTATCTTTTCATCGGTGTCCTGTTCTTGCGAGGACATCTTGTTTTTTTTGTCTTCCTTTTTTTCCGTCTGTATAAAAAGACAGACTCTCAACCTTCTCTTTTAGATGCAGTACAGAAAAAGTACGTTTATGTGCTTTAGTTACAGTCAGAGGTAAATGTGAATCAAACCAAAAATAGATACCAATTTATAAAGGGTCAAATCATCTGGGCCAAAACTTTCAATTATTCAAATTTCGACTCGATATGATAAAAGGGCAGTTGATGCTGTGCAAATTATAGTTATTCTCTCACCTTCCTTTTTCAAGTGTTTATAGTCGTCTCTCTTCTCACGAGTGTCTAAAAAGCAAGGTAAAATGTCTTAGGGTTTACTTTAGGCTTCTCAAAAAAAGTGGGCCAAAACGTCAAGTTATATTCGATTGCCAATCGATTTATATGGTCGGTCTAAGTAAGTACGTCGACGAAGATCAGCACACTAGAAATGAAAAGTGATCATCAAGTAAACTAGTCTTCTTTCGATAGATCATTTGTTTCATCTTCTTTCGATGAAACTTTGGAAAACTTTGGGTGTTCTCTGAGAGCGGGAAACATAGAAGACTAGTAGGTAGTGCTCGTCTCTTGGTAGTGCTGCTCGTCTCTTTTTTTTTAGAGCGGGAAACTTTTTTTAATAGGAAAAAAGAGACGAGCACTACGCACGCTGAATCTTGATCTTCTTGTAGATCGAAAAATTGTCCTCAATCACGAAAACTTGCCAATCCCCGCGGTCATGACGGTCAGTGGTCTGTGCGGTCAGTGGTCCTCTGTTCGCACATAAAAATAGGATATCAGTTCAGGAAGCAGGAGAGGACTGCGTGGTCAGCATGAATTCTTAGGAACAACATATTTATTAGTTGAGGAAGTAGTAATGATGAGCATGAGGTATACCACGACCTAGGACTCATCTTAGTAGATGAGGGAGTAGGAAATTATTGCAGCTGATGCAGTGTGAATGGAATGAAAAAAGAAAAACATAAACATGATACGAGGGAAATAGAAGATGACTGAAGAGAGGAAGGATGTCAAACTCTCAACAAAGCATCACTGTGTTTGAGACCCTCTCTTCATCCTGCATCCGAACTTGCCTCTTCTGCACTGTCTGCTACCTCTGAACTCGAATCATTCTGCTCCTCCGGTGAGGGGGTTGACGAAGGATAAAAGCTAAACTGTCCGCCCGCAAGATTGTTCACACCGTTTGCGTCTGCAACTTAATTTTAGAGAGATTAGTGTCTACTTGTGAGGCAACGGTTGATGTTGACCTCGATTTAGAACCTAGGACTTTCCAAGATCAGTATTTCGAAGGAGTAAGAATGTAGAAGTAAAGTGAGGTTTAAGTTGTCCTTGTTAGACTGACAGTACCTCCGTTGGAGAGGGAAACTAGCATGATGAATGACTAAATCTACAGTATCCACCTCCACCCCGTCCCCTTCTTTGTAGTTACAGTGTGCTCAGCTAAGTACTTGAAAGTTGCTTCCCTAGTGGTGGTGGTGACCATAATCATAAATTTTTGGTGGGCCGATCGGATCCGTTGGTGGCCCTATCTGGTCTGTGCCGTCGGGCGGCTGGACGTTTTTCGCTGCGCTCCACTGCTTCAGTCTGGTCATCACCTTCTCCCTCTTGTTCAACACAGACTTGCAATATTCATGCCCCTTGCCGAACATCACTTCGAGGACAGAAACGGCTTCTTTTTAGAGCAATGGAATGTTGCCCAGATCACCGCAAGGTACAACAGCTATCCAATATCAATCATACTCGCAAAAATACTTATGGTTATGCATGATCCTGATACACCTGATAGACTTCTGTCATGTCATGGTACCTCTGTGCTCTACTTTTTGCTAGTAGTAAAGAGGTCTTATTAGCCTTCGTGTACCTTCTAGTTAGAAAAGCACGAAAGCCAACTGATAGACTATCAAGTATAACCGTATGTAGCCACGACTCGTCTTGTTCGCTGCCACGACGTTACTTAGCAAAATGTAATGTCAACATAATCATCATACACCGCTATCGCCTCATGGAACCAACGTCCACATTGGTCCATGCCAAAACTCCGACTTTTTGTCGACTTGAACAGCAGCTCACCGAGGGATTCGAGAGCCCATGCTCTCGCCCCATTGATTCCAGGATACGCGTTTTGATGAAACTTGATGCGCAGCCTCGTATTTAGCGGCAAAAAGATTTTTACATTCCGGCTACAGAAGATGAGGGTCCTTCCCTCTATTTCTGGTAGGAAGAGGGCCAAGGATCTTCATGGTCCTCTAGTACTTCTAAATTACTGGGGAATGTAAAATAAAAAATAGGTAGTTAAGTATCAATTATTTGATGTAGTTGGTAATCCTTAATGTATAGTGCATTGCCCGATCGAAGTCGCGACTTTGTTCATAGAACTCCTGTGCAATGGACCAGAGCCGCTCTTGCACCCAATGTTGCGAGAAGACCATATTGGTTCGCTCTAGGACGGTTAGGAGCTTGGCTTCGGTTAAGGACTGGAGTTTTGGGTGGTAACAGAGAGTGGCGTGGTGCGGTGCCAAGGAAGATGAATTGCGAATATTTATATCAATGTTGACTATTTGTTCGAGAGAGAGTGAGCACTTTGTACCTCTTTTGATTGTTCGAGTAGAGCTAGAATGTGACGAGACTGCGCGTGACACTAGAAGAACGTCAAGGAACGGACGATGAATGAATTTTCGCTTAGAAGTACCTTGACAGTCCCCTGCGCAGAGCCATAGACTCGGTTGTTCTTCTCTATCAGAGTCTCCCAGTTTTTGAAGAGTTTTTCGCTCTCCTTTTCTGCTTTCCATAGGCCACCCCAGTCACTCTCCCAGTGGAATTTGTCACATTGATTGCACTGAAAGGGCGCTGCCCGCTGATGCTCTTTCATCACTGAATTTTCGTTAGGTTAGAAGAACAAGAAGCGGACTTTAAAGATTATTTAAAGGTCATCAAAATATGTAGTAAGTTGGTGTTACTTAGTTCTTGAAGATACTTACCCAAGTGTGGGTGGACCAGTCAACGCGCCATAAGTCCCTTGGATACAAAAGGAGAGCCTACGTTGTTTCACGTCGCCCCTCCTATCATGTTAAACTTTCACCTATAAGCGAACAAACGAAAAACAAACATCCTGTGGTTCCATTAATCATCCTGTGTGTTGTGACAAGAATTACAGAACATGACCTGTGATCAGTGCTGTCTCCCTCTCATAATCAGTGCTGTCTTCCTCTTTCGTTAGGGTGAATTTCGGTGTCGCTTGATCCACATTTGGAAAAATACAACCTACTTTGCACCAAGGACACAAAAAGCCTCTCGATAAGTCAGCACCACTCCGACACCTGAGTCCATTTAGGGTTGTCATGTGTGCTTATCCAAGTTTTCTGTTTATGTTGATGCTCGCCAACACGTAGAACGTTGTTTGGAACGACATGAATGAGAGAGTAGCATCAGTCAAGGGTCTACTAGAAAAACATAATCAGAGTAGCATTCCGAAAAACTAAATTACCTCTCGCAAGTGCAGACGAAATGCTTGCTCTCCTCAAGGCAATTCCTTCGACTTTGCGCTGACTCCAATGATTAGAAAAGATGTATCATAGTGGATACTCGTAAAACAATCGGTAGCTCACTCAAGAGTCCATGTTCTAGGCGCTGTTGAAATATAAGTTGAATAAACTGCTAACCCCTTGACTTGAAGTCGATGTAAGAAATGTAGAGAAAGTCTCTTCTACAGTTCTCGCCTACAACATCTTGCCAGAAAGGTACAGAACAAAGTAGGTGCAGTTCATTTTACTTCCTGCTCTTGCATCAACATTCAATTAAATGCCTGCCTTAAAGCAAAGCTTCTTCCGCCAGATAACTACAACAAATTTCGTCGCCTTTTCGCACTTTTCTTCTAGCTCGTAGGACGAAGAGCGAGTCGTCACGGTAGTGCCAGACCACATTCGGTAGGCAGGAATGGGACATGAAGGAAGACATAAAATAAGTCGAATACCCCAACGGATTCTCACTGTGCTCGAAACAGTTCAAGATCCAGACCTGCGAGTGTTTTTTCTTAGAAGAGTCAGTGGAGGACATCATGGTTTCCAATTCAAAGTGAGTAACATCGATAGAATCAGAATGGACATGGTTTCCAATTCAAAGTGAGTAACATCGAAGATAGGATCAGAATGGACCACATGGACACGGACGGCAAACTCAGTTAACTGTATGCGATAAAACTTCATCTAGGAGCACTCAGTATGCGATAAAACTTCTTCTAGGAGCACCTGCAGAAGTCGCTCCAGCAGCAGTGCAAGGGCAGGATCCTGGCCTAGCTCTAGTGTCTCTACTATCAGACTAACGTCCTCGCTGGGCTTCCCGATGTCTCCATGGTATTTAGAAGAATGGAATTCCGAGTGGATCCTAGAAAAGAAACGTAGTCGACGCATGTCAATTTCACTTTCGCTTGTGACTTCTCGCTTGTCGTGAGAGAAGAAATAACTCCGCAGCAGTGAAATATCTTCTTTGTCTTCAAATACGCTTCATCTATGAGGAAATCTTAAGATAGAGCAGCAAGAGGCGATACTGCTGTTCCTTGCTTATCGTTTTCAGCGTCGCTGGAGGCCCATCTGGATCCGCGGCAAGGATTACACGGCCAGCCTGTGATCAGTTGTTCTTGTTGTTCCCAACCGAACGGAAAGTTCAAAAAGAAATTCTCAAATTGACCATAAGCAACGAATGTATGTAAAGAGATGTCATGTCATGGTACCTCTGTGCTCTAGTAGTAAAGAGGTCTTGTTAGCCTTCATCATGTACCTTCAAGTTAGAAGAGCACGAAGACCAACTGATAGAAACACCACATAAGCAACGAAAGAAATAATCTAATCTTGTTACCAGGTCTTCATCCGTCAGTGAATTGAGCGCACACCAGTACCACAAAGGTTCATAATCCAAGCCCTTGTCTGCATATAAGGCCTTCAGCTTCGTCATGTATAGGCTTTTTTTTGTCTCGTGTACTATGTGTATTAGATCCTCGTCTTGAAAGTCATCTACTTCGCGTTATTTTTCCCATTGATTTGTAGAGGGTGCCGCACGTTCCCATAGATTCATCTAAAGGGGGTTCCGCGCAACCAAGATGCTTTTCAAGAAAACGGAAGATAATTCCCGAATAATAAGCCTTAAGTGCAATGGTGGTTCTTCCATGACAACATCCCCTTCCTCATAGTCCCGATCAGCCGTCAATATTCTCCCCTTTTCTTTCAGAAAGCTGCAAACAAAAGCGTTCTTGTGATGGGTGGCGCAGTACTTGTTGATGTAGGGAATGCCATGCACGTCTTCCATCTCTTCCGGGGTGAGGCCAGGGATTAGATCATCCAGGATGCAACATTTACAACCTACTGTACGTAGTAGATCTAGAAGTATTCCAATAGAATATACAACATCATTTTTTCCGATAGAATAAACAACATGATGCTCTTGCTTGCCGATGGATCTGGATGCTCAAATGATATAGCCATTCTCAATAACGATAAATGTAATGTTGACGATATAATAGCCATATTACCTTTATTCCATTGCGTTATATTGATTACTAATAATTGCCAGTGATTGTTACTATTGCCGTTATTGGATAGCCATTTGATATAAGAATAACGAAATGCAATGGAATTCTCCATAGCCATAACTCTATCGGCATATTATGTGCTGACACGAGGCTCTCCAACGACATCTTGCTGGAGCATGCAGGCGATGTCCCGACAAGCAAACCAGAAGTCGGCTCCGGTGCTGCTGATGTAGATGATGTTACCATTTTTTGTAGAAGCTATACGTAGAGTTACAAACTTTGCTGCAACAGTGGAACTCAAGATCATTGCACCATGCGTCTAATTCGTACTGCCCTGGTAAAAGCATGGATTGAGCAAAATCGATACCAAAACCAAAATGCTTCTTAAGATTAAGATTAAGAGATTTCTGGCTTACGACAGGCAGCGGCCAGGGCTCCAGAAGTCTGGGCTCAGAAAACATCAGTGCATTTCACAGTGGAAAGTGGGAAGTCACTACTTCTCAAAATCTCTTTTTCTCTGCTAGTACAATTCACTCATCATCAACAATTTGCTGGTCGTGATTCATTTTCATGCCAAAATGCACTGTCCTTGGCAACAACAAGTTAGCAGCTTTCATCAGATTAATGGCATGTTAGATCTCGGAGCAAATCCTGGTGACCAAATCAAGATCCTCCGCAAAAGGCAGCAAGGGGAACAAGTTGTCCTCAATGATGAGGAAGAGTGAAACCGCCTCTACGTACTGCTTTGGTTTTCGTTTCCTTTCATCACGAAGAAAGAAGTAGATCATAAGATGCGTCACTTGTCGTTGTTTTCTTGTCGTTGGAATGTAGTCGTCAGTGTGGAAGTCATTGAAAAAATGGAAAATATTAACTGTTGATCTCAAATTCCTATAAATAAAGAACCAATCGCCAAATTTAAGTATTCACCGTCCAGCCCAATAGATTTAGATGTTGTAATGTGCTCAAGAACTAAAATACAGATGATAAATATCATGCCAAAAGTATTTTCTATATACAGGCTTCAGAAGGATGTGCAGCCAATAGGATAAAGATACTATGTAGACTCGTATAGTACATGGTTAATAAAGTGTCCAAATCAAGACACGGATTATTGTTCCCTGTAGCCCAATCAGAGGTAATATTAGATTTCACCAAAGTACTTGTATGCAACTGTCGTTTTGTACACTATGCTATTCATCTAAGCATCAAAGATCCAAATAAAGGTTTATACATGTGGTCAATGGGTGATTTTCTAAAGGTGGAGCCCGACTAGCGTTCACAATGAATGTGTGTCTTTATGTATTATGGAAAAGAAAACTCTGTCCGCGTCTCTGGACGATGTTTCAATTTGTACGATAGTTACTTAGATTGTAAGATAGTTGTGATTGATTCGCGATACTGGTTGAATATTATGTGTTTGAATATCCTTCTGATATCAAGAACGAAAAACAAAAACTGTTCATTAACTGTCCATTAACTGCGATCGATGTTGTAAGATAGCATGCTAAACTTGAGGTAATAGGTGTTGTAAGGCATTCGGTTCTAATACGTTCAATGGTTCTAAGTATTTGCGTTGAAGTGAAATGTTAAATCAATGGCTGTGATGAAAAAACGTAATTTTCATTCTGTGGATTTTTGAGGTCTATGAATTGCAATCGGTTAATATGATGCGTGTCTATCTTTGAGAGTTTCGTTATGCAGTGAAGTCCCTGTCTTTCGATCGATCATGCGCTTCTTCGACCACTTGTTAGTCGCGCCTCTCCACCCCCTCCCATTCAGCCACGACAATTATCTTCACTTCTATCTCCCTATCTCCCCTTGAATTCTTTCAAGAAGTTTGCAACTTCTTGTTGCGTAGTTTCGAATGCCTTGGCTAAAAAAGGGTGAGCGCCAAGGTCAAAAACGTCCTTCCTCTTCCTAGGATCAAGCTGGAGGCAACACGCAACGAAGTCACACAGTTCAGGCGAATACAACAAGTGAAAATTATGATTATCTAACTTCGATTTCGAATTCATCTTGCTATAATTCGTGGAGAATGTTGGAGTGGTGGAGCTGGGTGAATGCTCCTGTTGCGATACTGGTCGTTCGTGATGCTGTCTTGGAGATGCAGTTGTGCTGGAACTAGATGAAGCATTCTTGCTCGAGGAAGCTTCAACTACATGCTCAGGCGCCCTGCTTCCTGACAAGCTCGGCACCCCACCATTGTCACTGAAGAAGCATGTCGAAGACAGGGTCCCAGCAGAAGGTGTCACAGTACTGTTGCTGCACGATAATGCTCCTACTTGATGGTCTATTTGCTTCTCGAACATCTGAAGCTGCCCATCCTGTGGTGAGTCTGCATCTATTATCTGTGCCAGCAACTGCTCGGTGCTGCTGTTTTTGCTATGCTCATCCTTTGATGTAGAAGGGGCTACTGGTCGCTCTGAGGAAGCTTCAGCTTCTGGATAAGCTTCTGGATTTCCCTTGGTTGTCGATTCCTTCTTCCCTGGATAGCCCGTGGTTGTCACTTTACTCATCTTGGCGCCCACGACGCCCATCTGTTCCTTCGGTACCACATTATTGGGTAGTCTCGGTCCTTCCCCATCGAATAGCCAGTTCAATCCATCGTCTAGGCCAGCAAAGGCGTATCTGCCTTGTGGCAGCGTTCCGCAGGCCAATTCGTAAACGCAGATTCCGAGGCTACAGTATGAAGAAAGGGATAATTCAGCTTGCCTTTGTTGACAAAATTGTTTCCCTTATAGATTTAGATACTACAATACGGTGTTCTAGTATCTTCCGTAAGTTGCAACTGTGATTCCACTCATTTAACAAGTTTTTCGAAGTTTGAAGCTTTCAAAAGTTTCAGATGTGATAAAGACTGCTCAAAGGTAAAGCTTCAAAGTTGTGTAGACACTCGTTAGAAATTTCAAATTTTGAAAATTTCCAACGAACTTTTTTTCCAATCCTAGAAACACTCAACATCAAATCTTTGGCTTACTTGGTTTCCTAGGATGTTTTGCTAACTATCTTCATAACACAAAAGCTTGGAAGTTTCAAATTGAAAACGAAAATTTTTGATTTTATCTTGTTTTAATTCAATTTAAATCCAGGTGGCCTCAATGACACAGAGAAACAAGAAGACCAAAATCATCCACAAAAGGAATGCATTCCTGGTTGGTGATTGATGGCTGTGAGGACTGTATTTGATCTAATCGAGGGTCTTGAGTGTTGTACGAGACAGGAAAAACTGCATTCTTGTCGTTTAGACTTTGGTTTGAGACTTATTCGACAAGATCCATGTGTATCATGCTTCATCATAACCAAATATCACTGGGCTTCCCGTATTGAGAGTTCCAGCTCCCTATACCAAACCGCTCTGGGGCCATGCAAGCACGAGTGCCCACGAAAGTGTTTAATCGGCCGTCTTCGTCCGCTCCAAGCTTACGACTAACACCAAAATCGGTTAGTTTCACTTCACCGAGGGAGTTGACGAGGATGTTCTCGAGCTTAATATCTGTCGAGAGAGTTGAGAGATTGTTTTTTGGAAGGATCGATACATCGTATTGATTTTGCTCCTTATAATGGTCAGTGTCATGCTTCAAGCAAGAACTGTTGATCTTTTTGCTTTAACTGGAAAGCTCGTGAAACACGACCTCCAGGAAGATGCTTCTCTAGGACTGAAGCTGCAGGAATAATTTGTTCTCCTATTACACTTCAAAAACTGTACTAGAGAACTCCCAATGTACCTCTATGCAAAATGTCGTTCAGGTGCAGCGTTTTGAGTGCCTCCGTCATCTGCATAACTAGGAAGGCTAGAATCGGTTCAGGTATCCGAAACGAAGAGGACAAGAATGTCGAGGTCGCTCCCCTCGATGGGCCTCCTGCTCCCGTGATTTGTGCATATTAGAGGGCTTCTATTCAAGTAAATGCTTGTACGACGAAGACGGGACTTGTCATTTGTGACTGTGGATATCAAGAATAGTCAATAGAAGACTAGCTCGCTGCAATAGTGCATCATGTACGATTATTAATATACTGCTAATTGATATAAGGAATCCCTATTCCTCCCACATAATTGTGAATACTGGTTGGCGCAGATCGGAACTTGTCTCGGAAAACGTCAGCCAAAGACCCCAGATCCATGTACTCGAGCACTATGTGGACCTGTTGCTGATTCACCAGATAGGCTCCCAACATCCTCACTAAAAACGGTGAGCGTGCATCTGCCATTTCTAGAAAGATGTTTACGTCGTTTACTGGTTGTTAGAGAAAGAGTAGATTGCTTTGTTTATTGAAGATTTAATGTTAACTACCCCATGCTCATGTTGAATGGTTAGCTTAGGCTGTGAATATTGCACATCGAATGCTACATCATGAGGTCCGCAAGAGCTTCAAGTGCAAAGTGGCAGTATCGGGACAAGCAGGCACACATTTAGAGCGAATGAAATTCATCACTGAGGAGCCTTAAAATTGCGCTGCACTCTTTTGAGCGTTGATCACCTTCACCGCCACAGGCTGCCCACTGGGCTTGTGAACTGCTCGTAGCACCGATGCCGAAGCCCCTTGACCAAGGAAAAGACTCGCACTTTGTTGCTCTCTACAATTGGATGATGCGCTGGCTTGCGCTGTGCCTGACGATCCAGGAGGAGTTGTACCAGACGCAGAAGATGACCCTCCTACCTGATGGTGTCCTAATAGACTGCCTGCCATCATAGACGACCTCGACGTCGACCCGGGTCCAGCATTATATCCGCCTAGTCCTCCTGGCGTCGGTTGATGGCTGAAAGAGGTTGTTGTACTACTGCAGGTATTGGTATTTTTCGAGCTCCCTCCGGCGCTGCTTGGACCGACTCCTGCTACCCCACCATGACCTCCAACCCCACTCGTTGATTTGCTTGAACGGGAAGATGCAGCATGATTATGAGATTTGCTAATCCTCGTATTGTGATGACTAGATTTCGAGTTGCTTCTGCTTCTATACGTCTTTCTATGATGATGATCACCACCTCCGAAATAGAGGTCTTTTGGGTCGATCATATTGAGATACTCTTCGCCAGAAACGCTATCGTCACAGGGTGACCCGGGCCGCTCGCTGCTCTCGCGTGAGGACCCGTCTTCATGGGACTGATCCTCATCGTGACGAGCATCTTCTATCGAGGAAGATGAACAGGAGGTCGTCGGCCCATCCATTTCTGGGCGTGCGTCGTGGTTGCGCACAGCTTCCTCTCCCTGCCCAACTACTCCTCCTGGTCCTGCAGAAGAAGTAATACAAGTTGTACTAGTTGTACCAGCAGCAGCACAACTGGTAGAACAAGTCGCTTCCTGTACTAGAGGCACAGAAGAAGTGCGGCTGACACTTTTGAGAAGCAGGTGCTCTTCGCTGATGCGTTCTAGACCACGATGATCGCCACCTAGCACTACGATAGAGGTGGCGCGGATGTTGCTCGACGGAGGTGTTCTTGGATGTATTGTTGGAGCAGGAGAGCTCAACACATTATTTGGACACCCCGTCCGAGGACACGAACGATCATCGTTGTCGTGGTCCTCGTCCTCATCATCAGAAAATACAAAAGATCCTGCACCTCCAACCGCCTGTTCATCACCTCCGGATCGAAATACACCTTTCTGGTTGGAGCCACGGTTCGCCACCTCCCGTTCCTCGTCTGATGTCGATAATAGCAGCAACGAAGCTATAGGAGAGCAGCCGTCGTCCTCCCTGTCTGCTGCTGGAGTCCTAGATGAATTATAATTAGTATCCACTAAAAGCTTGCTTTCGTCTTCCAACAAACAAGGAAAAGTGGACCTTCGTCGACCACTATCTTCACGTCGTGTGCTTATAAGCAAAGCAGGTTCTGCTCTCGGCGCATCGTCTAAAGCTGTAGTTCCTACTAGGTCTACATCTTCTAGCAGTCCTGCATCTAGCTCTCCTGCTGAACGATCTAATCCTGTATCTAATGTCACTGCAGCTTCCTCACAGCTAGCAGTGGATGACGCACGCGAATCACGTTTCGCAGGACTCAATACTAGCTCGAGCCCCGCAGCACCTCCTCCAACTTCTTCAACCGGTGTCAAAACTATACCACGTGGATTCGGCTGGAACATCATGGGAATCTGAAGAGAGCCCACATTAGGTAGAGCAGATGAATACTTGTTTCTTTGTTCTTCTCCACCTGAGGCTAAGAACAGTCCACTCACAGTACTAGAACTACTAGTAGAACAATTCGGTGCTGGAATACAACTGCTACTAGTAGATCCGCCTATTTGTAGGTGTCCTCCAACTCCAGCCTTTGTGCTACCCGAAGAACAAATTCCTAGCCCCCCACCAGCAGATGTGCTACTACTCACCCTTGCTAAAACTAAGTCGAAGTCTTCTATTTCCTTCGTTATCCTCGCACATGCTCCGTTTATCAGGCTTGCCGGTGGCGCAGCTCCGGCGTACATAGAGCTCCGTCTCTGCGGTAGACGCGACCGTCGCACTGACGACGCTGCGTTGTTGTTGATAGCCTCAACGAGGTGGGGATCTCTTGATGTTGAGCACGACATAGTAGTGGCTCTCATAGTAGATGTTGACGATGATGAGAAAGGACAACCAGAATTAGCGGAAGTGAAAGCATTCCCCGAAGAACAGGATGAAAAACAAGACAAACCACTGGATGAACAGGATATTGTAGTAGAAGGAGTTATTGTATTCGGGTCTATTGATGCATGAGACTCTACAGGCACTGTCCCTTGTTGTAGTCTAGGTGCAGCAGCTCTAATGGAACTTCTTCTACTACTTTTGCTGTAGAAATTCTTCTGGCTGCTCTTGTTCTGGTCCTCTTCAAGATCAAGAGAGGGGTCTTGCTCTGGTTGGACTGCATCTCCTCCAGTATCCTTCTCTGCCTGAGCGTCTCGTCCACCATAATAGCCCTCCTCTTGTACTTCCCCAACGGAAGAAAGACCCTCTGCTACAACTTCTGCTTTCTGTTTACTTCTATCTCTTCCCTTTTTGATACTTCTGTCCTTATCGGCTTTCGATGGGTTTTGGTGTGGTTTGCTGCTCAAACTACGCGTGAGTGCGCAACTAGCAGCACTCTCGGAAAAGCGCCGTTTTAAGACCTTCTCTTTCTTAGGTGTATGAAAATGACGCAAGGCTTTGCGCCATTTGATGATACCTGATAGATGCGACAACGATCGGCCGTGCGCATGGATCGCATGATGCGGAAAGGGACAGTAGTTGAGAACCAAATGATCCAATCTAAAGCACATGATCCAATCTACTCTGTAAGAACTAATTTAGAATCATGAAGAGGACGAGCAAAGCAACTCCTAACAGCCAACATATCCAACTATCCAACTCCTAACATCAGCCAACATATCCAACTATTGTAACAGCCAACGTATCCAACTATCCAACTCCTAACAGTCAAGAAGTGTACAACTATCTCACTATCTGTACCAGCCGGTCCCAACTTCAACCCCGAAGAAGCATGGAAGAGCTGCTCATCCTGAATATCAATCTGCTCATTGCTAAAATCGATCCGCTGGTGTTGTTGGTTTCCTCTGCGTTTGTCGTCTTCTTCCTTCAGCGCATCCGTTATCCCATCCAACTCAAACAGGAGACTATCCTGCAAAGGCGACATCGTCTCGATCGTTCCACCGAGCCGATTGATGCAAGAGAACGCCAACTGCTTGTAACGAACTGCTCATGCACAAACACGACTGTGTTAAACAATTGCTTTTAACTTTTATCTAATGAAAAATCTTCACATAAATATTTAAGTAAATACTTACTCTGGTGTCAAAATTTGATTGTAGATTGCTTGCAACTTTGAATTCGATTGTTAGGTTGAAAAAAATACTTCTCCGCGTCCGATTATATTTCGCTAGTAGTAGTACGTTGGTACCAATCTAATTTCTAGGATAGACGAGAACGCCTAAGTAATTATGTCTGTATTCGGTTTGGAAATTGAAAAAAACATCGATAATTTCACTACACATTAGCTAGCAGATAAGAAGCCACCTTCCTCCTTACAGATTTTTTTATCATTAGATTATCAAATTTTCCTGAAAAAAAAACACCAATTACGTCATGCATGAAAAAACAACAAGCGGAAAAAAAACGATTTCTGCATGTGCTTCTGTACCTACTGCTATCATGAAAGTATGCGTAGACTGAAAAAAAAAACTGCTAACATTTTGGGTTGAAGGAGAGTCCTCGAGGGAGCATTTATTGTTTTGGAGAAGGTAGTCCGTGTGTTTTCTTGTCATATTTGCAGAAGCCTATAATTTTGATGATCAATCCCCTTAGATATTACCTACTGCGAATGTCATCCTGGCTGACATCAGGGAGGCCCTACTGTCCATGTAAAAAATTCAACGCTTTTCAGTAACGAACAATCAAGGAACAACATCTTCTACTTTTTCGACCAGGGTCACAAGAGTGGATGGGAGAAGCGAGGTGTAGACCCATAGAGGAAAGACCGATACTCCATCGACAATTCTCACTGTATACATCACCGACATTGCAAACGTTAAGGCCGACAGAGCAGACACTTACACATTTACACGACCTTTCTACTTCCGCATCGACAACCGATTCTTGTAGGTGCAAAACATTCCAAAGTTCGACTACTCTGACAGCAGTTACAACAATTGAAAACGGCAGGTGGCAGAAGCGCAGCGATAAACAACCTCGGAATCGTAGCGACGACTAGCAGCACGGTTGACAAATATCAAATCAGGTCCACAACTCACTTATGCGTGTCTTTAGACGTAAAAATAACGTGTACTCGACGTCAAGTTTTAACTCATTCTACTAGAATGATTTTTTCACTATTCAAAATCTGCAACAACTTGACTTCGCATGTCACGACTACAGAGACAACTACACTAGTACTAGGATTGGAGCAGTTGTAACCAATCAAAATCTATTCATCCAATACAGGCATATCTGCTCCACCACCTGGGATGTTCCCTGTAGGAGCGGGCGTAAATGCTTCGCCGTCTTCACTTGAGGAGTGATTAGACCTTGCCTGCTAATAAATTCATCCCGATAAGAACAAGCATCTTCTTAGCGCCCTTATCTTTGACTTGAAAATACATGAGGCCAAGATCGATGAATGTCCTTGCCAAGGATGGATTTGGATTTTCAAAAGGAGCCTTAAATTCATCATCGTCTCGTTTCAATGGCGAAAGATCCTCTTCTTCGCTGGATATCAAGAAGTCATCCTCTAACTCCTGCGCAGTCGTAAAAGCCGCATACGGCAACTCGTCACCATGGGTATTTTTCGGTTTTTCCCCTTCTTCAGCCGGTACTTCTTGGCAGACGAGGAGGAATTAGAGCTGGTGTAGTGTCGTTGATTATCAAGTCAAAGTCTGTTGCGCGAGGATTTTGATCATCTAGTTTTTACCACGTAAATCAAATTTGAAAATTTTTGCGATACCCCCCACCTGGTGGACAGGCGGCCTTCTCCTGTTGCCTTAATCAGGTTCCCGCCCCTCTTCAGCGCCGTGATTCTTCTTCGCCGCATCTAGAAACTCCTTGCGTCGTGCCCTCAGCTTCCTACGTAGTAATTTTTGCACGTCTTGGAATCCGGCGTCCTTTGTTAGAGTTACCTTTACACCATACTTTATTCCTGTGCAGTTCATTAATCCGGGGTCCTTGTATGTACGGCCTAGGGTTCAACAGGGGATCCCTATAGGCTAACTACTTAAGGGTCCTCCGTATCTATAGACTACTTAACTCAAGGGGCTTCTGATGAAGTTATAGCCCGTAGCCTTAACGCTAACCCCTCAGATGTCTCAGCTGCGGCATTTCCTTCGAGGGAACCGACTTTAGCTAACACCCCAGCAAAGTTCGCAAACGACGCGCTCGTACTCTTACTCTTCTCTGGGATGCCATCGGAGCGACGAATCTCTTTCATCGGATCTTTTGACGACAGCACATTCGGATCTCTAGGACAGTCTTTCGCTTTATGACCAAGTTCCCGGCAGCCGTAGCATCGAATCCGAGCATCCCTCGTTGCATCCCTCGTTGCTTTACCTTCTTGCTCAAGAGGTTAGAGGAGACTTTATAAGTCTTAGATTGAGTCACGTGGAAGAAGTGTATCAGATCATGTTCAGCCTCTTCTTACTCCTGTTCTACGAATCTTTTTTCATCATCTACTCCACCTTGTTCTATGAAAGGAGACAGTGCACTCACACTCAACAAATTGACTAAGATTCAAGTGGGAAAGGAGCTACTTTCTTGAGTGTGAGTGCACTTTTTCCTTCCATATGTTCCTCTTCAATATCAATTCTAAGTAGTAGAACTACACCCGTATGGGGCCCTACTTCTGTCCTCCATCACCTTCCTCTTCCTTCTGCGGTCCTTTCAATTCCCAGTCCTCATCGTCATCCTTGGACTCATGCTTTCCGAACTTGCACCCCAACGCTTGAATTCCTAGTTTGCCGCAACACCACCAGTAATTAGGAGAGGATGGGATGCCGTTTGCCTTTGCGAACTCCAGCACCTACACCAAGATGAGACATTCGACCTCATGGAAGGATGTATTCTAAGGTGGACCGCTCTACTTACAAACATCCCCCATGGAAGGATTAGATTGATATTGGCTCTTTACTACTACATTCCCAATGTGGGGAACTAGATCTTATGCCAGATAGGATAGGATAGGATAGGATGCCGCGGCGTCACGGCCACACTACGAGCCTGTTCGGCTGTGGCGGATCGCCCACAGTCTCATAAACATTTCACCGCCGAATTCACTACTGTGTCCTCATGAACATTTCACCGCCGAATTCACTACTGTGTGTTCGGCAGCTCTCTATGCTCTACTGTTATATAGTCTCATAAACATTTCACCGCCGAATTCACTACTATGTGTTCGGCAGCTCCAGTTGAAATTACCGCTCTCCATGTATTCTTTACCACATCGCTTACACGTCTTCGTGTCTTGTTCAGGGATTAGAGCAAGAATAATGCCAGGGAGAATGAGGAAAGAGGGACCAGAGAGAGGAAGGGCTTAGGGAGAATGAGGAAAGTAGAGTAACTTGAAGGACAATCCGGTACAATTTGCTGGGAAAACAGCGATGGTGGTTGGAGAGAAAGCGATTTTTTAGTAGTTATAGGTAACAGGTTGAAAGACTGGAGCATCAAAAATTCAGTCATTACAACAACAAAAGGAAAACGCTATCTTCCAAGATGTAGCCCTAAAAACAATTTCCTCCTCGCACGATACTTTTTCCATCGTTGTCGCATCTTGTCGTAGTCTTGAGAGAGTTCTTTCAGCTTCCGACTCAATTTATCTCTTTCTTTGCCGATCCTTTCCTTCTCCTGTGCTAGTTTGCTCATTTCGGCACCATGCTTTCCACCCAAGTCCTCTAAATCTTGCTGTAGCTTGCCGCAATCTTTTTGGAGTACTTTTTTCTTGGCTTGAAGCTCACCTTCGACTCGGGAGGTTAGAACAAGAAGAGAGAGGCGTTGGAAAGATAAAATATAGAGAATATGGATAATACGGGTGGAGCCAAGCTAACTAGGATATGGATAATGATAAAACCGGAAAAATGTTCTAATTACCTTTTGGCATCCAACTGCATTAGAATTTGTGGTCCCTAACTTCATTATGAAAGAATCGCCTGATGCTCAGTTGCAACCCCAAGAACTCCAACTACTAGTACTACTTAAATAGTACTCTGAAACTACTTTCTTATGGTTTTTCTTAACTCCAACACACTAGTTTCCTGTCGCAGTCGCTCTTGATTTTCCTCGAGTTCTTCTTCGTACCGGTTCAATTCCAATAACCTGGTCTCGCCCATCAGCTCCACCAGTTCACGCTCATCTTTCACTCGCTTCACCGCATGCAGCTGCTGTTCGTCACGTAGGAGAGTCCTCACTGTCTCGGAAAGTCGGGAACCCTCAAACTGCAACACCTCCAAGACCTCCTTTGGCGAAACCTTCTTCGCAGCTGTCGTTCTGGTAGTTAATATGAAATGGGCAGTGCCGTGGTCGTTCTTGTTAATATGAAATGGGGAGGCCGTTATTCGGCTGGTGATGATTGCCAACTTGGCTGACTAATAGACTTCAAAAAGCACAGACATGATCAGCCCGCTACACCTTCGGGCCCGCGGGAGTTCAACAACCGAGGCGCCACGCGTTTGCGGATTAATCTCATATAAGTAGTACACCCAACAAGGTCAATCCGAAAACGAAATGCTATAGATACATAACCTGGTCTCCACTAGCTTCGTCTCTACTACCGGCACCATGCAGCGGGTCTACTCTCGACCCACCGCCGCCGCCTACCTGGTCAGCTTGGTCAGCAAAGTTGGCCACATTTTAGAGGAGCTCTCGCTAATTCACGACGTCGTTCATAATTATACGCTAATCTTCATCTCAGAAGTAGATGAATCGTAGATATTGTGGTTGATTGATATGCCTGACAAGAGGTAAGTAGGTTTTGGAGAGCTATTTGTTGATGAATCGATGACACCTGCACGAAGTGTACGGTCGAATGGCCAACTTCTCTACTTCAGGCGTTTCAATCATGGAATAGATAGCTCTGCCGAAGGCAGCACGCTCTGTGAGTCTTTCTACCTGTCGTGTACCGTAACACAACTGGTCCAATTTTCCTTCTGCTTCAGCGAGAGAATGACACTTCTCGCGCCAAATCCTGTTCTCATCCAGGAGTTCTTGCAGTTCTCCCTCTAAACAACTTCTTCGGTTCTGGAGCAAAGTGAGGGATGCTGCCAGGTCCTTCTGTCTCTGGACCACCGTGTTCATCAAGCCTCGATCCCGTTCTCGCTGGATCTCTACTATCCCCTGCCGGTCCTCTACCGTTTTCTTTCGCTTCTTCAAATTTCCGCACAAATTAGAGTAAGTATCTTCTACTTCATATTCCGTGACAGCTTGTTGATTGAGGTGTTCCTACTTCAAACTTCCTTGGTGTTCCTACTTCAAACTTCTGGACCCTTACTAAAAGACCCAGCACGCTGCACGCAGCACCATGCCAGTAGTACTAAGTAACTTAAATAGAAATAAAGAGAAAGCCAGACTTATTTAGCCTCGACATCCAGTGATGTTTTATCATAAACAACGACCGCTCACATGCCACTTCACGTTCCAACTCTCGCAACTCCTTACGCGCGGCGATCACTTGTTTCAGCAGCTTTTCGGACAAACGGACTTCTGCAAAAATTCCTGTCTTCGACGATTCTAAGTCCCAACCTGCGGTGATGTCAAGTTCTTCTCCTTGGGTGTTAAAAAGAGGCAAAATTACTTGTCGGCAGACCAGAGCAGCGAGCTCGGCATCGACCTCAGGAAGAGGAGGCTGCGAAGCCATGCCTTTTTTGTGGTCGTTGTTACTGATGACGTGAATCGATTCGGAAATCTGCCTAGGATTTCATCCCTGACGACTTCTACCCGTGCCGGTTGTTGTTACTACTTGAAGTGAATGTGTTCCTTGACGCGACGTTTGTCTGTTTTTTTAGGCTAAACCGCTATGTCTTTGTCCTTGTCTCTCTCCCTTGTAGTCTTTCATCTACATCGTATTATCTCTAGTGGAAAAATGTAAGTCATCTGCCATTCTTCCATCTCTGTCCACTCACACTGATTGCATCTTAAGACCCTTCATTGCCGGATAGGGCTGGACACCTGGAGACCGACATTGAGCGGATTCCTCTTCAAAGAGAGACAGAGCAAAAGTTTCTTCGTGGGATTCATGCAACTAAATGCAACAGCTTTACGCATACGATGTTTTTTCAACAATCATTTTTCCTCCAATAAAGCAAGTATTCATAAAAATTGCGGTTGCAATCTCGTCTAAAAATATGATCAATGTGCAAGTATTCATTTTTTATGATTGTGACTCCACTGTGCCATAGAATTTTCTAACTCGATACGCTATTCATGTACTTATCTGTATGACTTTCGTTCTATGCTTACATTTATATAGGGTGGGTCCGAGGCGTATCGGTAAGCGCAAAAAACTGTAACTAACAATCTTGAACTTTCACTACTTTGTTCATCCGTTCATTGATGTTTTCATTCGCCCAACCTTCTAGAAGATTCAATGAAATTCACAAGAGACTGTGGTCAACGACCCATTTATAACCAGGAGGCCCTCCTCGCTTTATCTCAAACAAAAAATTCATTTGAAAACATCCGCCAAGAACTTGAAGACATCATTACGACCCAGGCGGCTTCTCCGCTCTCAGCGGCAATATTACTTTCTCCTTTTTCGCTTTCGACGTCAATTCCAACGTCATCCTTTGCAAGTCAACAATCCCAGAAGGTGCCAAAAAATCCAAACCTATGATGCCTTCGAAACCAGTTTCGTAGCCAGGTAGGTCTAGAACTTCCCAGGCACAGTCAAATCTGGCTCCTGATGGTCCAAGGCGTAATCTGGTATAGTGCAGTCTGCCATGACTACCGGAAGTGACTGAACCCGCTATCCCACCAAGGTTTCTCGCAAAACTCCTGTCCACTATCGGCCACAAATTTAACCTATCGACTACTCGTCTACTCAAAGCAGAAGTTTGGGCACCGGAATCGACCAGAACAGTCACGCGATTTCCAGCAGAAGCTGGCAAATCAAATTCGATCTCGGTGACAAGTAATTTGCTATAGTCTGCAGTCAATAGTCCGGATTGAATGCCTCTAGCCAAAGAGCTTTTAACGTCGTCGACCCAATGGGTGTCGGTGGCGAAGTTTATGCTGCCTGAATTGGCAGAAGAAAAGGCACTGAGGAAATCGTAGGATCCACCTGAGTCATCACCTCCGCCGGGACTGGTAGCACCCAAACCGTTCATCTTGTTATTTTCTCTCATCCTCTTACTCCTCATTGATGCTGTCATTGCACCACCAGGAGAGGTCTCCTGATTGTTCGACGACATGCTATTGCGATTTGTAGGTGTCGCAAAGGGATCTGGCGTTGGTTCGGTTCGATTCCCGAAAATATCTTCGCCTCCTCTCAATTCCTCCAATAATGTCGGTCGTGAGTCCATGTTGCTTCCCCTACTTTTTGGCCTCCGACCTTCTTTTGGCCTCGCATTATTGCTGTTCCTAGGTGAACCGGACATGCCTGGGAACCCTCCTCCAGAAAAACTGGATCCCAATAAATTATCCACGACATTGCAATTCGCCCCACTCGAACTTGCTGCGGTACTAGGATTCGAAAAGGACGATCCTCCACCAAACAAGCTGCTAGTGGTCGCAGGGCTACCTCCTCCACTAGGTCCACGTAGCGAGAATTTCTCACCTACACCGGTTGACGAAGGACCTAGAGTGTCGTAAACGTTAACCCTACCTGTTTGAGCGAGGGTGGATCCTGTGCCAGATATGCCAGGCAAACTGGTAACCTGGCTACCACGACGTGGAAGAGAACTCATTTTACTTTGCGAATTCTTTACAGGAAAGACGACTAGGGAGTGTTACTTACATTGATGATGTTAGTCGAATCGGACTGGCCTAGTACTAGTGAGTTTTATATCAATACACTTGAATGATGGTGATTGCTTAGATGAAAGTTACTAAGACTGTACTGAAAATCAGAGACGTAGTCCCACAAACACGCAATGACGTTTTCTATATGTCTCCGAATAAAATCGGGAAGGAAAAAAATCTTCTACCGTTTACCAAAAAACGTCCTCTTCAATGACTATGACTGATGAAGAAATCGAGTCTCAGGTGTCTAAAAAAACGGAAATGCTGTAAAAAATGGATACAACCACGGGGCTCTTCCAGGAGAGACCGACCAGTCTCACATCGTTCGCTCTGCAAGAAAAAATGAGGTTGCAGGAATGTAAATACAGAATAATGTGGGTACAGCACACTTACACCAAGAAGAAACACCTCTCTGAACTCTCCGTCTCTCGTGCAAAGACCGACGCTTAAAAGCAATCACACCACAGAAGGGAATCTGAACAAAGAACTGCTTTATACATGCTCTCGTAGACAGACTCAAAAATCATGAAAAAATGAAGCAGCTTCGCATACGCTCGTTTTATCACCAAACAACATGGATATAACGTTTATGATAATTTTTTCCTCACGAGTAGAAGTTCTCTCCAATTGATATCCTGTAGACACGAATCCGCGAACGAACACGGGTACGTAATGGTTCTCGTCGTCATAAGTCACAGTCTCTTCCGTTCGAAAAAAGGACCACGATAACGATTGTTCGTCGACCACACAACAAGGCTCTGTTGATTTTGAGGTACCGCATCTTGCTCTTCACGGCTAATATGTAGTTCTGTTTTAATATCAGTGAGTGCTGCTCGCCTTCCATGAAGATCCATTTCGCAGAGGACGTGCTATCAAATATTACAGACTTATCAAGTACATAAACTTAACAGAGTCTCTAATGTGAAGACTCGCCTTACGGGGATAGACTTATAAAAGAAAGAAGAGACAAGGATCGACCTTCAGTACTATGTCATAGAAAACTCAGTCGCAGACGACTAAGTTAGAGGCGGAAGGAGTAGTAGACATCAACAATGATGTTAGTCGATTCGCATTGGACCTACGACAACGACTTCAACTATATTAATCACGCTCATCTAATGTTATTTTGAGTCTTTGTTCTTTCCCTTTCCCTTATAATTAGCGTTGTTGTTGCCCTTGCCGCCTCCTTTTCCATTCTTGGAATCGCCACCCTTGCTACCACGACCACTGCTAGAAGCAGGTCCATAGTTGTCGGAAGTTCTACTTTCAGGAGCAAAACTTCGATCTTCACCGTTCTTGCCTCCTTTGCCTTTTCCTTTTCCGCCTTTTGAAGAAGCACCCTTGCTAGAAGATTCCCCTTTCGATCCACGTCCCCCCTTTGATTCACCCTTACCTGATCCACCCTTCTTACCACCTCCAGAATTCTTTCCGCGTTCTCCAGAATTCTTTCCACCGCCACTTTTCATCTTCTCGGCGCCTTCGATCTTCAGCCCAGGCACTCCTTTCAGACCCATCATGCCAACCGTTTTCTTCATCAACGATGGCTGTTCACTGCAGAACAGCACGTAGTCCGCATACAAATTGGCCTGTTCTACCAGTTCCGCTTTGCTCCAGGGGATGCGTTTCGGACACAAGCCATTGTAGTACCCAAGCCAAGCAACGTAGCACTGATCTTTGGTTTTATCGTCGATAGCCGACTTGGAGTCGGATTCGTCCAAGAGTTCCCCAAATTTAAAGGTTGCAGAATTACATTCTTCAGAACATCCCTCACCTCTTTCCTACTGGAAAAAGAGTGAGGAACGGTTGTGGGGGATGTAATTGATTAACCCTTAACAAATGTGTCTGTAGTACGAAGACTCCGAGCGATGTCTTCCAGAGAAGGACCCCCTGTGGTTGATGTCTTGGAGCTCGAGTTGCAGAGCGTATCCAAAACATCAGCATTTTTAGAAGAAGACAAACCTTCCTTATTGCTATCACCATCCTCAGGTAATTCCTTGAGAACCTGCTTCTTCTTCGACAATCCGCGTTCGAAGTCAGCACCCATCACGTGAGCTTCGAAGTCGCACAAGAGCAATATCCCTTCACCCGATTCCCCTGCACGCGCAGTACGGCCTAGACGGTGCGTATACTGCTCCTTGGAGGCGGGTGTGCCGACCTGAGGAACAAAGGGGGTTTTGGAGGCTCAAGGTGGAGATTATGGTGGAGCAGGTTGTATCTATTGGATTATTGTCCATTCATGGCGAAGAAGTTGTTCTACTTGTCTCTACGAATGTGAGCAAACTGTGCAAAAATGAAAGCACCATACTATCCATCATTTCATCTTGGTAAAAACATGAAGGACCACAACAAGTCCTTTTCCCAAAAGTACCTGAATAACATGCGTCACTCCCGGGTAGTCCAATCCCCTTGCTGAGACGTCTGAACTGAACAAAATCCCCTCTTCGGCCTCCCGAAACTTGTCGCTGGTTTTTGTACGTGTAGCTTGACTCTTACGGCTGTGGATTTCGAATATCTCAGTGCTAAGTTTCTTTTTCAGAACTGCATCTTTGCCTTTCCCTTTGTTCCCTTTAGACGCAGCTTGTTTCCTCAGACTCGCAAACAGAGCATTCCCAAGTTCCGCAAAAAACTGGGTCTGACGTGCAGTGCAGAAGAAGCAGATCACCTTTTTTGGCTCCTTTTGGTTTTCTTGTGAGCAGCTCTTCGAGTTCGAGAAGAGGATAATTTCCAACAGCATGGCGTAGAACGTTTCCAAAATGTCAAATCTTGGACACACGACTAAACTCTGTGTAATCGCTGCAGGAGGCGCGTCGTTCTTGGACGTATCCACGAACTCAAATTTACTGGGGTCGTCGTTCTTGAGCACCAATTTGAGCACGTTCTCGACCTGCTTTGACAACGTCGCAGAGAACAGCAACGATTGCCGCTTCTGCTTCTGCGGCAAGTATTCTACGATCTTACAAATCGCATCGCGGAAGCCCAGCTCCAGCAGCTGGTCTGCTTCGTCCAAGATGAGGGTGAACAGATCTTCCTTGTCGTTTTTCGCAGTGAAGAAGCTCTCGCAAATTCCTGCAGTGTTTTTCTGCAAATGATCGTAGATCCTTCCGGGTGTAACGACCAGAAGATCCACAGTTCTTGAGCCAGAAGATTTGTTTCCCACCGCGTTCAAAGCTCGTTGATCTCGTTTGATGTCCACTCCACCATAGAAAAGAAGGGAAGAAAACCCATCTGAGTCAGAGTCTCCACTAGGCCAATATTTCGTCAGAGCTAAAGCTTCTTCATGAATCTGCGAAGCCAATTCCCTTGTCGGAGAGAGGACTAGAGAGGTGATTGTCATCTTCTTCGTTGTAGGTACTAGACGGCTGTCTTTGATCCTCCAAGCTTTTTCCAACGTAGGTAGCAAGAATCCAATCGTTTTCCCCGTACCCGTTTTGGCTTTCGCAAAGACGTCTTTTCCGGATAAAATCGGTGGCAAAGACTCAGCTTGCACCTTTGTCATGAACTCGAACCCCATGTCCTTCATTGCCAGTTGAGACTCCTCAGACACCTGCTCTTCTGGAAGATCAGCAAAGCGTTTGTCGGTCAAGAACGCACGCGTCGTGGCAGTGGTACGACTCTTGAACCCGTTAGAGTAGTTGTCCCCCTCCTCCTGACTGCTGTTGGTGCTCACATTTATTTTGGTGTGATTTTTATTCTCCGCTGAGGAAGATACCTTTATTGATGTTGTTGACGAAGGCTTGTCATTTGCTCCTGATGGTCTATTATTACGACCGCCACCGCCTCCGTTCTTCTTGTTGTTAGAAGTGGCACTACCTTGCTTCGGGGCCCACTGGCGGGTCTCCCCTTCGCCATCGTCAGAGTCGTAAGACCTCGCCATTGTTTTGTCACCGACCTAAAAGTGTTTTCTCAAATCTTCTAGACGTGTCCGAATAGACTTTTTTTCAATGAAGATGCCCTTTCTACTTCTAGTACCTAAGCTTTCTAGTTCTAGAACCTAAATCTAAGACCTCATCCTGTTCTGTTCTTTTAGTTAGTTGCCTCAAACCAAAATAGAAAACAACCGCACGGCTTAGCTTCTCTTAACCCAAAACACGAGTACACTTAATCCTGATCTCTCGTATATTTTCTAACGACTCTGATCCTTCGATCTTTCTCGCGTTGTTTTAGATCTAGGCACAACGTAGTTCCTAGGATCTTTGTTGTCGAATGTGGTCCAGTTGGTAGGCTGAACACGACTCTCGTATACTTGATCAGAAGAGACCATGCATATGATTCCTATCAAAATAAAAGCAGACTTCACAGGGTCCTAGCGAAGCGCACACAAGAATACGCTATTTCTCTACTTCACATCAACGCCAATGTACCAGAAGCACGTCATCAATCTGGTGCAGCAGGTGGTATTGGACTACGCTCGCCTTCAATCCCATCTAATGCATTTGTACCATCATCAGGAGCATCGGCAGTTCTATTTCTATCAACTAAAGAACCACTAAAGCTTTGACTAGATTCGAGAAGCCCACCTCCACTACTATCCGCGTCTTGAAAAGGACTAGAGGATTTCGACCCTCCAGAGCTATTGAAAATCGCTGTATCATTCGTAAAAGAACCGTTGAATACATCCTCGTCTTCTTCTTCCTTGTGGTCCCGATGATAACCATTGGGTGGCGACTGGAAAGTTTCTTTTTCATCAAGTCCATCACGAGGCCTCTCTGGTGATGGAGGTAAAGATCTCTTTTCTGCTTCCGGGCCAAAAGTAGTACAACTTGGTGCCGCCTTTTGCTCCGACGTAGCACCACTGTGATCATGTCGATCAACATCTACTCCAGCAGATTTCTGCTCCGCTAAGTTGCTTGTAGTTGTACTACTCCTGCTTCTCACACAGGAGCTACTACTAGAAGTAGCACCTCCACCTCCAAGTCCAACGGCGCCACCACACGCCTTGAGCCATTTCCTCTCTAATTTCTCAGCTTGGTGACGATAATTCGCTAGAAACTTCTTCTTCTCCATAATCAATGCCGCTAAGGCACTCTGACTCGCGTAATGCGCCTCCTGACTGGCATGATCGTGCAGTTGCTGCGATCTAGGAATCTGCGAAAATTCAGCTTCCCTGCGTTTTTGTTCGGAGCATTAGACGGCGAGGAGAGTTGATAGATAATGTGATAGGGAATGGATATGAAAGACAGGGATAGGAGAATGATTGATATAGTTAGTTAGTTAGTTAGTTAGTTAGTTAGTTACTTAGTTAGTCAGTTTATAATCTGGCGTTTAGAGTCTGGCCTTTATGGTCTGACGAAGCTGAAGCCGAAGGCGATGGCGCTATGCTCAACAGTGATAGTTTTCTTCAGTACTAGTAGTAGTGTATGCGTGCTGTTCTCCCTGTTATCATCGTTCATGATGACCGTAGAGACGTGGTCTGACAGAATTTCTATGACACAGTACTAGTGTACCCAGTAGTAGTAGTCGTCCAAAGAGAGGGAACTACGACCTTAAACTGTATTTCATAAATCTGAAGTCTTTCGATGTCAGTGGCGAGAGCATCAGCTTTCCCCAGAAATTCCTGCACTAGCTGTTTCATCTCGGATGACCTGCAGGTAAGTTGTATGTAAGGGGAGTGACCTGCAAGTACATTGTATGTGGGTGTAAATATCATGAGTCAGATAGAAACTGCTTAAGAAAGAGTGCCACCTACAACAACTCAGGCCCTCATATTATACTCTGTCAAGAGAAAGAACAGTACTAGTACCTACGCACTGCCTTGTCTTTCGGTTCCTCTGGAGATGAAGCGGTAGCTGCGACATCTTCAGGCGAACAACCACTAGCATCTGTATAGGATTCTGTTCCTAGTGGACCCCGATGACCTACCCGTAGGCCACCTTCGCCACGTCGATTCTGCACTCCTGGTACTCCTAGTCCTTCGCGACCACTCTGCAAGTCTCGTATGATCCCTTCACGCTCTCGAATCGCCGCATCACGTTCTTTGATCTTTCCGAGTAACTGGGTGATCTTCTCCCTGGCTTTTGCGAGTAATTGTTCTCGTTTTGCAACGCAACTTTCTAGTTCCACAATATGCTCACGCGCAAGGAGGCAATCGGGACAGGAGGAGGGCATTTTTTTGCAGTGATCGAGGGAGTCGTTCACCCAATCGTGGGCTAGTACATGAGTAGAATTTACATATTATGCGGACTACGAATTTCTGAGTACTATAAGTGGTGAGAAGTCCGCTCAATGACAGGAGATTCTCTCATCTGGTGGACCATTTAGCATTGAAGAGCTAAATAAAAAATCAACAACGACCCCGCCAATCTCTCAACCAAACACACCCGAACGAACCAAGTCCACAATTTGAAGCCGAAGACTTCAAACAAGCCCAAAATTTGAAGCCCAAGACTTTGAGTCCAAGGCTTCAAACCTGAAAAATTAAATCCCAGAGTTCAAACCGAAAATTCCAAATCCAAGATTCCAAGACTTAAAATCAAAAATTTCAAGTCCAAGACTTCCAAGTTTCCAAATCCTAAATTTCCAAATCCTCTTTTTCTGCATTCGTCTTCGAGGATTCTTTGTTCAGAGTAGTGATAGTGAGAGATTTTTTGTTTCGAAAGATTGTCCACGAATCAGATTTTGTTGGACGAAATCGTCGTCGTTGTCTCCCCTGATGAGTGCAATGCATTGCGCTGTTTGTATTATTAATTTTCCGAAAAATTGTCCACGACCTGTCGTTCATCTGAAGCCCCGTGTCGTTTGAAAAAAATATTGCGTGTTTGTATTCCATTTTGTGTTGTCCCACCTACTAGGACAGATTCTTTTAGTGCCTGCTGCAAGTGCAAACCACCTTAACTTAAAGTGCTACAAATAAAATGGTTCTTATGTTTCTTCAAGCGAGACTCCAAGCGACAGTCCAAGACACTCTAAAATTCAATCCCCAACTTATCCGCTAAGAAAGCATGCAGTTTCGCCAGACTCCGACTACGATGTGATACTAGGTTTTTCGCTTCAGGGCTCATTTCGGCGTAGGTGAGGCCTTCGGTCGATTCCTCCGGTAAGAAAACCGGGTCCCAACCTTTGGTGAAATTTCCACTTCCTCTAGGCTCCACAATGCGACCATGAGTACGTCCCACGAAAGTGAAGCATTGTGGCTCGGCGCCGCTTGCAGAGCTTGCAGAGGATTTCTTCTCTGGTACTATTGCATCAGTCAAGTCTACATCCCCGACACAAGCGAAAATGGTCTGGGCGTAAGCGGATTGGATTAGAAGAAGATGAAAAAACAAGAGACCACGGTCTTACCAATTCATTGAGCATTTGGCTTCACTGTACAGCACTTGAGACAAATCTAGTGAGAAATCTAGTGAGAAATAAGGAACAACCATTAGTTTTAGTGTTGATCACGTCAAAGAGTTCCAAAGAAAAATGATAATTAGAGCGATATTAAGTATTATAAGCAAAAATGAATCTGATGATCCAAAATTAAACGACCGTTATTAACAAGTGAATCTTCTGATCCAAAATTAAACGACCGTAGCGTAACTTATCTTCCCATCCCGCTAGCAACCTGACTAAGCCATCGCAACCGAGCTTGTCCAAGAACCACTTGATATAAGGTCCTGGCAGTCCCTGCAGCGCATTGTAGCACAATGACGTGTCTTCTGTCAAGACGATCAGGCGTTTGTCTTTCGCAACTTTGCTCTCGTCCTTTCGTAAGATGTTGTAAGCAGCACGACACTTCTCGACAGAGATTTCTTCTGGTTCTCCTTGTAGTTCTGGCAAATCGACTTTGACAGGTCTAATGATCTTCGATGTTGTGCTGGCCGTCGCACTGGTGCCATTGCCGGTATTTGCCGTCTCAACATTTTTCCCCTTCTTCAATTCTGCAAAGTACTTGTTCACCTCATTTACCTTGTTCTGGTTGCCAGTGACAAAGACGATGTCAAGGTTGTCGCTATCACTGGCAGACCGCTTGCGCGAAGCAGGGATCCCGGCTTCAGTAGACGACGTCATCTTTTTCAGTGGCTTTTGATTCAGATGATGGTGTTTCAACTCTTCTTGGCACTCAATCGCAAACGCAGCTCTTTATAACAAACTACGAAGCTGTAACAAGAACTCTATCGATGAGCAGCTGGATTGTTCACTTGTCAACGCCTCCTTTGAACTCTTATTTATCGTGCCTGTCAACATGGAACGAAAAATCGTCGACGATGATCGTATTGTACAAGGGTTGCTCCCAGAAACTTCAGATTGATCGTTCCGAAAACTTGAGTACTAGGAATCCACCCTGTGGTGCTACCACAAAAGTAGTTTCATCGCTGAAATCATGCGTGGTGTGGAGTACAGGTAGAGCACCTGACAGTACTTCGTTGACGATTATAACTGTGTGGTACAGATGAAGTTTGTACATCGCATCTAATTCTTCGGAGGATTATGTGGTTCTTTCGTCAAAGAAAGATAGACAGATCCGGAAAATTGCGGCCTCCGTATTTCCACATTCCTCCATGCTAGGTCGATTCTTTAGGGCTATAATTGTGCTGTTGTGTCCTTTAGGTCATCAATTCTCATGTAGTCATTCTGTACAAGATGATAGTAGGTGGACACAGAACATTTTCTTGATATGATGAAGAAAGAGTAGTTTTTTGTTTATATTAATATCTACTGAAGATAAATTCCTGTTTAATAGTGAAACTTGTAGTACTGAAAATTTCAATTTGCATATTCTTCAAAATAACTGAACTTCTCATCTACCTCGAATCTACTATTCGTGTCATATCATCATCTTTCCTGTACAATGGTAGAAGAGTCCATTTTCAAGACACGATCTGAGCTGACATTTCTGGTCGCTCTTGGTTAGGTGGACCCTTGGTTAGGGTGTGGGCATCATTGTTCATGGTTTATTTTTCAGTGTTGATGAAGTAAAATAGTGATTATCATTGAGGTGAAAGAGAAACCGAAACTGATAAATCGATTGCTAGAAGATGGAATTTCCTATTGATATTGTTCGTTGATTCTCAGTCTTTGCTTTTTCGTTACTCTGAATGGTGGTCATCAATATTTTCATTTTCTTCAAATTTGTAGTTTAAGCTTCTAGTGATAGATGCGTCTCCATAAAAATCTTCATTGACAATCAACTTATACAACTAGTGTCTCCATAAAAATCTTCATTGACCATCAACTTATAGTACAACTAGTCTCCTAGTATATAAGGAAACTCATAACCTCATACCTACTCTTACCTTCCCAGCATTCCCTTGTAAAAAGTGTGCATGCGCGTGATCAACGAGGACACCTCTTGCTGAAGGTTCTCGTAGTGTCCGCTCTGAAGTCCGCGTCCAACCCGCTCAAACTCTTCTCGAGCAGATAAGGAGACGCCGTCGATGTTTACCTAAGTACTTGGGTGGTTTTTTTTTGTGTTGTTAAATATTGTTGAAGAGGAAGTGCATATTGGTAAGAGGAAAACACGACATTGAAAGGACATATCGTTCTGCTGAAGAAGAAGTACTTGTAGGTTGTAGAATGCGATCAGTGGGGTGAACCTTAGATGACATTGAAAGGACATCTATATAATCGTTCTTGATTCGATTGACTGTTTCATTGATTGGAGGGACTAACCTAGAATGAAAATAATGAGGGCAAACTAGCCGGTTATAGTTGCTTTAAGTTGTAAAAAAAACCACTAGGGCAACAAGAACAAAAGATAACTCCCGAAATGGATAAATACCACATCCACCGCCACACCACCGAGAGCCAATTTCGACGTCTTGGCTCGCAACTCGAGTCCCCGTGCTTGTCTCGCTGGCTGGAGTAGAATATCGGTTCCGTTGGCGGAGACGCCACCAGCTCTGCGGCCCACCACTGGCCACACGACTTCTTCCTTGGGCGCACCGTCAGATTCGTCAGGACCAGTGAGAAGAATAAGCTCCACACCATCGGAATCCAAGAAGTCGCCAAACGAAGCCAAGTCGGTGGCATTCAAGTTATACAATCGGATGCGACGAATAACTTGGTATTTAGGCACAGTAAACATCTGGCGCCAATACGGTGTCGAATTGAACGAACTGGTGGCCCCTTGGTAGACAGCTGAAAGGAAGAGGTGGGAGGGAAAATGTTGAGTGTAACTGGATTTCACCATCTAGAATAAAGAAGAGGTGGTTGGGAAAATGTTCCGTTTAACTTGATTTCACCATCTAGAATTTCATGAATCACTTATTGTGCACACGAAGGTTAAATTACAGGTCAACTTGTGCTACCGAGTAGGGCGATGCGATCGCGCCGAACACTAAAACCACCAGTGTTTCCATGCAACTATGAAGAGAGAAAGAATTCACTCTACCCGTATCTTGTTTCCATGCAACTGATGAATTGAATCTATTCGGCGAGCTGCCTAAGATTTCCCAGACGAGTTCTACCCGCTAGTCTAGCTTGTTGTTGGATTGTTGGTGGTCTGTCGATTGTTCCTGTTGTTTCCATGCAACTAAGTGAAAAAAAAAGTACCAGTATCATGTTTCCATGCAACTGTTCCTGGCATTCTCGCCAATTCCTTGGCATCATCAGCATTTCCTCCCGAAGCTGAAACTGACCCAGCTGGATCGTCACGGAACGTCGCGTTCTTGAGGCGAACACCTATTCGTCCATAAGAAATCAAATGTATCTTCTTCGTAGTTGTGGTCCCATGTACATCCTAGTAAGGTTAGGTTAGGTTGTGGATCCTTCTCAGCGAGCTCCACAGGCACATGCTCGCCTCCGAGGATGATGGGTGACCTAGGTAAGGTCAACAAGAACAACCGAGGAGGTGACTTGAGTAACAAAATGATCATGAGATCTATCACATTCACATTCCAAATATAGCTTCAGTACCCAACAAATTGAAGAACGCATGCGAGTTGTTGTATGCTCCAGCATCATCCGCGCCCGCTGTGCAGTTTGAGTATAACGTGCAGCACATAGCATTCTGGTTCATGATGGTGCCATCATGGTGGTAAGCTCGCAAATCCAAAGCAAAAGCGTTACAGTCACCAGCTGCAAGGCAATCCTCTTCACATTGGTATTTGGAGACCTGCTTGTTACTATATTACCCAAAATCAAAAAAACCACTGATAGTACCGTAACATTATCCATCGTCCCTAGATCTCCTCCAAACCACTAAAAATAGTACCGTAACATTATCCATCGTCCCGAGGTCTCCCCGGCTTGGACCATGAAAACTGTTCTCAGCGCATGGGCCACGACGGCCAAATTGAGAAAAGGCAGTACACACACGCCCGTTGCGCATACGAAGACTCAAGTCCGCATCACCATCTAGATCTTCCTGGGCAGCGGCGTCACCTGTGAATGAGACCCAGAATGAAGTAGCAGCAAGCAATAGGGAAGCCATTTTCATCAGGAATCAATACTGAAAATGAAGTAGCGGCAGGGAAGCCTTTTTAATCAGGAATCAATACTGAAAATGAAGTAGCAGCAGGGAAGCCTTTTTCATCAGGAATCAATACTGAATGAAGAAGATGAAACTTTCTTTTGCTTTTCAACATGTCAATATTTTTCTTTTACTCAAAGACAGCACTAGTATGCATCTAAAACTTCACAACAGTACCATCCGCCTTCTTTCCCACCTTCTTCTGCGTTTCCATCTTTTCGAGATTCGTTCTACGTTTGTTCACAAAACTAGGCGAAGAAACGTTGATTGTGCGATGACCAGCATCGTCCATTTCCTCCTGCGCGTGTATTTCTGCCTGCTGCGACCCTTGTTCCGCTGTCGACATTGAGGAATGCTTCTCAATCAAACCACCTCCATGTCCATCTAGTTGGATCTTGGATTTTGAAGTTCTTGCATCGCCTTTTTTGTTTGCTACAACGGTAGTGCCACTACGCTCTACGATTGTTGCAGCTCGATGAGGTAGTCCGATACTACGAGCAGCTGTGCTTTCCACAGTTATTGACGGCTCCTTCCTAAAACTGTCGGCGAGGGAAGGCAAAGGGCTAAATCCAGCTTTGGTTAGACCTAGAAGGGTCAGACTGTTAGTCTTAGTTTTTACATGTTCTGGTCAGATAGTAGTTACATGGACTGGTCAGACATGCCTTGACGGCCGAGTCTGATGATAGTCACCTTTTTGAATTGATGATGATTTTCAACGAGCGGCCATAACTTGTCTTCTATGAGACTTGGAACTAGAATCTTGCTGCTACGACGGACTGCTTTCGTGACGACTTCCCTTTTTCGCCCTCTAGGCATAAACGGGGACCAAGAACTTTTTCTCGATTCCTCGTCGGAAGATGAGGTAAATAAAGCAGCAGGACTTGTTCCTGCTGCTTTACTAAAAATACTGCTCTTGGTACTACTACTAGTACTTCTAGAAGAAGTGATCTTTTTACTGGACGATGAGGTTGAAGTTGTGCTACCACTACTTTTAGAAGCTTTTGAGTTGCTATTTTGCGAACTGTGTTCAAGAAAATCGTGCCCCCTAGGTGGGAGAAAGCCACTTCCTGAACCTGATGAAGAGGAACCCGATGGAGAGGAAGGACGGCTACCAGCAGCGCTAAACGCCAACGACGTTGCTTTTGATTTCAACTTTTTGCTTTGGATGTTTTTCTTCGTGGCGCTCTTGATTTCCGATGTTGTTGGCAGCTTTGATGAGGTCGCGCTTCCGCTAGTAGCGCCGCGATGCTGCGACTGTGCTGCGACTGGACTATTGTGCGCAAGCTTGTGGCCTTGGACGGATAGGTTGTTGAGTTAGACCTTCCAGGCCTCCATCTTAAAAGTCACCCTGGGCTTCCTTTTCCATTAGAGGAGGGTCCCAAGATGCTTCTGGAGATGGATTACCTGAAGCCGTAATTGAAAGAGGAAAGCAGTTGAAGGCCTAGGCCTAATCGGCCCAACTTGTTCAGTGAGACATCTGGTCGGTTTCTCATCGCTTGACGATGTTGAGCAGATTGCGTTTGGCTCCTTCGTCGCCTCATTTTTAGATTATATATCAGTAGTCTTTCTTGGAAATTTGTTGGAACTGTATTCACAAATATTTCGTGTAGAAAAAGCTCAATAGGTACAACTTCTCAGCATATGTCCATTTAATGGATTAGAAACAACGAGACCACCTCCTCTGTAGATTTCGTAAAGAACCACTAGAAATTTGTGGTGAAGAAAAAAATTGGTGCCGCCTAATAGGATGATTTTTGGGTGCTTCTAATTTTACTCCATGCGCCTGAGATGATCATAGTGTTGCTCATGCACCTTGCCCATATTGACTGTACGTGCGCTCTTCACCTGCGTAAGCGTGTAGTTTCAATGACTCCAGCCATCATTGCGTCTCTCTGTCCTTTTTGAATATTTTCTCACGACATCCCACGTACAACTCTCACATTCTTGCGTACTTCACGACTCTCGCTGTTCGGACAAAATATCTAGGTCGGACAACAGTAACAAGGACTGCGCATACGAGAATGGAGTTTGGCTTTCTTTCTTGAAAAGGGGCTTTATTGTAGTTCTAGGACGGAGCCTCACAAAAAATCTTGGGGTCGTTATATCTGTCACGTTGATCTTCTTAAGTGTCACGGGCTAAAGGACCCAACTTTTCTTCTTAAGTGAGAAGCAAGGAGGAACAGAAATGCTGTTGATCGACATCAAGTCTACAACAAGTGTTGAGGAATATAAAAACCATGTGTCCAACGACAAGCATCTTTCCACAATCCAATACAGCAGTAGAGTAGCTGCCTTCCTCTATTCTTTAGGAGGATGACACATGTTCTCCTTCTTGTCGAAGCGCATGAATTTTTTCGGTTGATTTTTCGCGAATTTCCTCAGACTTGAGTACCCCATAATTGCTGGCGCAAATCCTTTTACAACGGTTTCCATTACCTGAGAAAGTGAAGGAATGGAGAGGAGTTTCGCCCTGGTCAGTGTTCCGAGACTGTCGATGGGACTATTTAATACCGTGCTTCACTTCCGAAGAAGGGCACAATAAATATTAATAGTGAAGGTTAAAGTTTTGCATTGCTTACAACCACTGTAGAAGAAGCTTATCCACCTAAATGAATCATAGTAGGTTCTTTCTGTATGACTAGGGAAATGAGAGTTGTACAAGAAGAACATTGTTCATATTCAAAAAAAAATACCGCTGGCAACTCTTCCAATGAGCATGGTCCCTGTTTCAACAGCGCATGTCGCAATGCTTTTCTAACAAATTGTTCCCTCTTAAATTGTCTCTCTGCCTCCTCTGCTGAGACACTCAAAGCAGCTTTGGCATCCTCGTCATCGTCCTCTGAATCCTCGTCATCGTCCTCCTCGTCATCACAGTCCTCTTCCTCGGCAGAGGATTCGTCAGTTCGCTTCTGTGGTTGTTTGGTCCAGTTGTAGTTGTACGAGTTGAGCTGTAGTTTCGTCTAGACTTTGGAATTCTATCATATGCTATTCTTCAGAATGAGAAGAATATATAATGTGTGTTGAGGTTGAGCGTGACGAAAAGAGAATAAAAGGGTCTAGATGGACAATAAAGAATTTCTTACCTCATCCTCCTCCGCTTGCTTCGCCAATTCGGGATTCTCTGCTATTCTTTTATCCTGTTCCTGATGGAAGCCGATTAGTTTCATAATCAAGTCCTCTTTGCCGCCTTTTTTGCCTAGTCCTCGCTCTACGCAGGCTTCTTCTAGTTCCTTCTTCGAATACGCGTCCCACGTTCGGTTGGCGAAGATTTTTATCTTCTTTTCTTTGGAGGACTTCGAAGAAGAGCTAGTGGCTTCGGTAGAACCTGTTTTCGTTGTGTGTGCGGTAAGGAAAGTTGAGCTAAGGAGGCTGAGGTGGGTCGTGAAATCACTGAGAGAAGGTCAACATTCTAGTCACAAATAGAGCAAGAGAGAAGCGCCAATAGAACAATAGAGAAGAAGAAAATGTTTACATTTTTCTCAATGCGTCGCTGATCATTTAACCCGAAAATCGGACTAGGATGAGGTGGATCTTAGGATTAAATTGACTTCTGAGAAGAGATCTCCCACAGCCTTCTAGAGTCGTTGAAATGCATCGCTGATCATTTAATAACCCGAAAATCGGACTCGTTCATTATACCTCCTTTCCCTCCGCCTTCTAATTCTGCCATCTCTGCTGCGTGGCGTTCTTCTAGGGCTTCTAACTCTTTCTCGAACTTCTCTTTCATCGCTCCCTTTGCTTTTTTCAAATTCTTCTCCACTGCACCTCGTTCCTCCTTCTGCTTGTTAAGCAGACGCGAACGCTCCTTAGGGTCGGCCATTTTTTCTTAAATAATTTTGATTCAGGTGGATCAAAAACGACTTAATAAAGCTGTGTTAGTACGAGTTAAGTAGTACTGCAATCAATATATTTTATAAGTTTACAATGAAAAAAAACTGAATTTGTCAATCGCTACTCCATGCCTAGTCGACCCCATATTACCTGCTGAAAAAATACAGATACGAATCAAGTACGGTCTACGAGGCAAGAATGGGTTAAGTTCGCATGAAGATCTTCCGGTCCGAAGAGGAAACCAAAGCTGAACTTTTGATCTTTTTTCATAGGAATCATCTGCTGCTTCAGTCTGAACAAAATGGAGGATTTTTTAAGAGGGAACCTCACAGCTGGCCCAGGCAGCTTGAAGCGCGCGCATAGGCGGATCTCGTAGTCATCTACTTGTTTCATATCGACTTCTAGAGCCTGAAAATCGTTGTCATTTCTTCATCGGTGTCAGAGGTGAGAGACACAGTCGCGTAGGTTCGACCTGTCCTACAGTGTGTGTCCATGTGGCGTAGTTACCGCGGTTTTGAGTGTACAATGTTATAGGCAAATGAGTGGAGACATTCATGCAGGCAGTTGTGCAGTGCGTAACTGTCGATATTAGGAACAAGTAACCCAAGACTTTCATTGACATTTATATTCGGTAAGAACATGATCATCAAACACAGAAAAACAAACAGCACGCTAAGGAAATACCAACGAGTATAACACAGCAAAATCAGAAAGACTATTCAGCATTCAGTAAAAAATGGTTGTTAGTATCATCATCTCATTTTCAATTTCTTGAGTATATTTAAGGAAATAAAGTTGGTGGAGCAGGCCAAACTAGAAAAAAGAGAGACCAGAGGAAGATAGAAAAAGAAAGACCAGAGGAAGATAGATGAAAGATATACAAGCTAATATATAAATTGAACTTCAGTGTTTTTTTCCAGTAGCAAAGATCTTATCTCTATACTCCGACATTACAACCCTTAATACCCTAGAATTCTTAGATAAAATGTCCGTGTTTTCCCGATTTCTATCGCGTCCGCTGTACGCTCTTCAGCACCTCATGCACCAGTGCATCGAAGTAGTCTAAGGGCACACGCATTATGAGCTTCAATGGCGCGATTACTTGGTGCTCTTTGCGTACTAGTTTCCCATCAGGGTTCTCGCACAGCTCAATAATCCTCCGCGATGTCTGGTCCGTCACGGTATGCGTCGTTGCGCTGGCAGCAGTCTCCATGAGTTGTTTTCCATCACTGCTACCTACGCCAGTGCTGTTTTTACCAGTACTACACACTAGTACAGTGTTGGCACCTTCTTGTTCCCCATTCTCCATTCCCATCTGCTCTTCCGACGTGATCACTGGATTGCTCAACATGGACACTCCGAAACTCACTAGGACTTCTACCCTATACCTCTTCAGCTCGCTCACCTCGTCCGGCGCTTCCCCGACAGGGACCCAAGACGCAGGTCCACCTTGATCGCTCACTTTCTCGAAACAACGGATCACTAAGTGAGACATGTAGGACAAGTCTGTGATGTCTTTCAAGACACTCCAATCGTAAAAAATCTCGTCCTCGCCCCAAGTGCAACTATCTGCCGCAAACGTCGGTGCGCCAACTCCAGATTCAGGACGGAAATAGGCTAAGACGTTGAGAAAAGTGTGCATGGTGCTAGCACTGGTGACGTAAACCCGAGAGCGGACTTGAGATTTCGTTCTATCGGTTCTGTTTGGGAACCAATCCTCACCTTGAAATCTGTAATCCCGTTTGTTCTTCGCGTCTCCACCTCTGGGCTGACCTGAAACGAAGCTCGATCCATCAGGTAAGGAACCAGGCTTTTCGGACGCAGCCCGTTGCAATGGCGGCTTGCTGCTGCCAGTGGACGACTTGGAAGCACCTCCTAGTGCTGCCGGGCCGTCACTAGTGTTAGGAGTAGTGTTGGCCTTATCCATCGTTGTTGATGCACTGCTTATCTTCGCATCCGTACCAGAGCTTGTAGTTGTTGTGCTCTTCTCTTCTCCATCAGCTACATTCCACCCAGAGGTTGGCGTTGTCGAGTCTCCGGTCGACGTGGAGTTATTTTTCGACAATGGAACTGCTTCAACCTGCACTGGTGCGAGACCCTTGAGACGGGCATTCTCCCGAGGATCTGCCTCCTGCAACGAGTCTTCTTCTTTCTTAGAAGTTCCTTTGTCTGAGGTCTTCATTTCTGCACTAGCCGAGGATGGACTCGCACCATCTGCTTTGGTTGTATCCATAGCGTCCTTTACACCAGGAATAGAAGAAGTGGAAGCCTTATCTAATCCTGATGTCGTCGCTTCGCCACCAGTCATGTTGCTTCTATCTGCTACTGCTCCTTCACGACTGCTTGCTCCGATTGACTTACCAGTCTCACCACCAGCACCATCGGGGGTCAGCAGCTGCTCCACCACCCGTCTATCCGCGGTGGAAACCGTGCCTCGACTAGCATCAATATCGTTTAGTACATCACCAGATGTATTTGACAAATCTGGCGTACCAAGAAAAGGGGAACCACGACTTGGACGATTAATATCCACTGATCTGATATTCTGATTAGTGCTATTAAAAGACTTCGACCTCTCCTGCAGCATTTCTATAGGTGATGTGGAAGCTCCTTGTTTGCCGTCTTCTCTTACTGGACTCAGCCCTCGCATCTGGCCTAGGGGAGACAACGTTGCTGATGTTCTTCCTACTCCTTCTGCCCCTGAGGAAGGTTTGGATTGTCCTCCTCCGATTTCGTTCTGCTGCGTCGTGCTAGAAGGATCTGTTGTAGATGCACTTCTACCACTAGGTATTGGATTTGGATTTGAATTCTCGCCATGAACACCTCCTGAGCTATTCTCACCTATTCCTTGTTGCGATGCAGCTCCCGTACTGCTAGTTGTTGGCAACGAACTCCCAGAAGACCCACCGACACCTTGCAAACTGCTAGGCACACCTCCAGGCCCTGGTGTTCCAGTACTGGACGACCCAGAGGTTGGCTTCGGTTTTTTCTTTTGTTTACTTTTGCCTCCTCCTATGATGTGACTATTAGAGGTAGGAAAAAAAAAAAAGAAGAAGCGTTCTGTTTCCCGTTTGTTCTACTGCTTTTCTCGTCCCTTAGAAGAGAGAGGCACAGGCAAGAAAAGAAACCAGCGCTAGAAAAAATAACAGGAACAACGAAGGGGAAAACAAAGACAGACGCTAGAACCTGCCCTTAACACTAATTTCCTCTCTTGCGTTTTCCTGCTGTTGCACATCTGCCTCGTAAGTTGCGGTTAGCTGTTTCAACGCCTCCTCCCTTGGCGTCTCGCCATGGTGCGCTGCAAGTTTGTTGATACTTGGATTCGCCTCCTGCAGTCCTCCGCTCGAAGATCCCTGCGACGCAGTAGTACCTGCTCTACAAAAAAAATGGGTGCTGCTGTTTGTCGACGTATTCATCCTATTGAACAAGGTAGTGCCTGCCGTTCCACTACCCACGTGCGGACCCGAGGTTTGATGTGGTATTTCCACGGCTGAAGACGGCGTAGTCGGCCCTCCGTCAAAGCTAGGGGCCCTGGCTGACGGCGCCGAGGCCTCAGGCGAATCCAGAGGCGAGCCGCCCATGGAGGACACCGCGTCATCACTCACCTGATGTTTTAGCTGCGCTGAGGATGTAGCAGTATACTGGGTGATGACAAGGCCTCCGCTTTCAGGCGAGCTAGCACCAGGACCACGACTCGTCGTTTTTTCAGTGAGGGATTCTTAGAGGAGCAAATGGACGAGGAGAAAGAGGTATCGTCCTATTATTTACAACTTGTCGTGTAAATCTAAAAACTTAAACTATGATGTTCCGAAGTAGAAGTAGAAGGGGAAAAGCCTATAAACTCTTCAAGAAGGGAGATCAAGAACTTCGCTTTCGCTAGAGCCATACGATACGCCATCGTCCATCCCACCCCTTGTTGGCGAATGCGTTCTTGTTGGTGAACTTCTGGCTCTGTCTACTAGTTTAGGGTGTTCTGTGCTACTAGTTTCTTCTCGTGATAGCTGCCCTTCACTATTAGAGGTAGGTTCTTCTTGCTGTTCGTGGGGTCTCCCGGTTGTTATGGCTGTCCCCACCTAAGGGAGGGAGCCATAACAAACGGTAACAAAAGCACCTTTGACCCAGTATCCTTAACACTACCACCATCACCCTGAATCGGAAACGGCGTCGAGGAAGGCACTGCACCTCCTCTACTCTGTTCTGTAGTAGAAATCGGAAACGGCGTCGAGGAAGGCACTGCACCTCCTCTGCTCTGTTCTGTAGTAGAAGAAGATGATTCCACCTCCGGAGCTGAGGCTCCGCAGACATCAGTACTCGTACTACTATGTTGATGTTGATGTTGTTGATGACTGAGGAAATCTGTTGCTGAACCTGCTGTTCCGCTACCGGCGTTAGCACTCGTCTTTGTCGCAGTGTCACCACCATCGATAACCAAACTGGACGACCGACTTAGCGGTGACCCAGGCCGTGACTCGTCGTCTTGGTTCTCTGCACCCGACAAACAAGCCTTGTTCGTTTCCCCACCTGACAGGTTCGGCGTCGTTTCGCTCCCCCCTGACACAGCTGCTGTATTCGTTTCCCCACCTGTAGTCTTCAGCTTCATACTGTTAGTACCCCTTTCAGAAGTCTCCACTGCTGACATCTTTTTACCAGCGAGATGCATCTTTTTTCCTGCTTCGTCTCGGTGCTCGAGCATGAACTCCAAATCTCCTACAACTTTATCAGCCAAGCGCCAGCAGACTTCAGCGCCAATCTGTTTCTTCTCATCAATTGAGATGCCGAACTCCGCTCCGGTGACCCAACAATTCAAAGGGAGAACTAGGTTGAAAATTTTCTCAGCGACTTCGATACATCGAATACTGGCTAATTCGTCCCTCCTGTGGGTTAAATCGTAGTAGATGTTGTCGTAGATTTCCGGAATCTTCGACGTGTCGAACATGTATTTGCTGTACTTACTGGCTTTGCTCATGGTGCTGTACTTCGGCCGCCTGTCATCCACCGTCACCGTGCTACCGACAGTAGTGGCGACAACGTGCTTTGTACCCGTGAATAGTTAGAGTCTGCGACTCGATTGCATCTCGGCCCCCTCATCTTGACCCCTTTTACCTTGTATTTCACGAGAATACAAGGGAAAAGGGGACCAAGATGCCGAGAATGATGGACATTATATGTTGACCATAAAATAATCCAGGACCTCCTTGTAGTGGTCCAGCGCCACCTACAACTTGTCCTAGTGCCGCGTGTCTCCCACCTGCTCTTAAATCTACCTTCGTCCCACCTCCTGCTCTTAAATCTGTCACGGAGGTCACCCCAACACTGTCCGCGACCAACGCCGCAGAGGAGGACCCCAAACTGCTCTTGCTAACCGACAATATCCCTGCTGGCCCCGCTGCAGAGCGGACAGCTGCCTCGTTGCGTTTTGGACTGGTCGTACCGATTAAACGAGAACGGCTACAACTCTTGAACGCATTCAGCTCTGCGGAGGACTGCACAGCGGAACAGGCAGCGGACAATGCTGCCCCATTCTTACTCTCTGCTAGTCCTAGACCTGAGATGCTCCTCGACTGGGACGTGGAATTCCACGTCCCGGACTGAGATGCTTCTGGTTTTCCGGGAAGTGGAATTAGAGATGAAAGTATGACGACCATAAGTACTTATTTTCAAAGTACTTATAAAAAATATTTATCTATCCTCACCCCTCCTGCAGGTACCTGCCTTGTTTTGTGGATATGGGAAAGTAGTCTAGTGAATGGTCCGGGTCAAAATGATAACAAAGAACTTACTCTCCTCAACTTACCAAGTCGCCACCTAGTAAGGCACCAGCGCAGCCGCGAGAAAAGCCGATGTTTCTGGGCAAGAATATCCAACGGCCAACGAATTCCAGTCGCCAGCCCCTACATGATGCCCATATCGCAGGTCAGGACCTCTAAGGCCGCTCTCGTGCTGTTCCGACGCTACGGCAGTGGCGTGGACTTGTCTCAAGTCCGCTGGCGAACTCCTCCACAGTGTCTCCATGATAGCCACTAGAGAGCCTCTGCAGCAAGAAGTAGAACCGAGGTCAGACCGTCTGCTTCTCTTGACTCCTCGCATATATGGGCATACGGACAGGAAGGTGCGCACCTACTCTGCTAGTGGTGAGCACCACTTGGGCGTTTGGGTGGAGTTTTTTTATTTGATGATGAGAATGATGCAAAGACCCGGACCTACATCAAATTCAACTCAATTACCTCAAAAAATACAACAGGTTCCAGATCATATCCGCATGTACCTGAAAATTTTTTGAGTTTTTGAAAAATAAGTACTTACGGTCGTCATAGAAAGCAAGTATTTGTTACTAGTATTAGCACACTCCTCTGAGTAGTCCTCGTGTTAATAGCATACTTTTTTGAACAACTACATCAAGTCTTATTTTGCCTTAAACTTAACAGAAAATCCGCTGTCGACGTCGTATACCTTCCTGGCGGGTTGAAGTTTAGCCTAAAAGAACTCGTGTCTCCTTCCGGTGAGTTCAACCCTCTCGGCTTTGTGCTAGAAGAGGACCTCAGCAGCTGCCCTAGTGCACTTCCATTTCCACCTCCACTCTCGATCGGTGATAGACTTCTAAGCGCAAAACGGTCCCCATCTTGAGTAAAAGATGGCGATGGACGTGCAGGGACACTTTGGGCTCTTGGTCTTGTGGAGGAAGAGGAGGTGCCTGATGAACCCAGATTATAAACGCCTTTCCCCCTACTGCTTCCACCTTCGGTCTCCAACGTACCCGACCATTGCGCTTTCCTGCTCAAAGGACCGGTCGAGAGAGTCTGGGAAAGCCCACCGCCCTTGTTTGTCATCTTAGCCTTACCCCCTCATAATTAGCCGTCTCCCCGGTTCATCCCTGTGGAAATCCCTCCAGCCAGTATCTCCGCCAGTATCTCCCTTGTATTGGGAGGCATACGCTTTGGGATCGCTATCGAGATGGACTAGGGGAAGCCTTAAGATAGGTCAAGGAAAGTCGCTACATCCATTGTCCTATTATCCACTTCTTTGCCATCGTGATCTAAGGAATCTAGACCAGGCCTACTCTTCGGTGGACTCTGAAAAGTAAATTCCACAGGTAAGCCGTGCCTTGCTAATGCAGCAGTGCCTGTTCCTCCTCCTCCTCCACCTGCGTGACCGGTAAAAGCGTAGGGATTGTAACGGTAGGCGTAAGCGCCGTTCTCAACACCAGCACCGGTTGGAGGCCAAGTCCTCTCCGCCTTCGCCAATTGGGCATCCCAGTAAGTTTGTCTCATGTCCTCTCTATGAGCTGCACTTCCCGACGTGGTCACGACTGTGCCGATGGTTTTCTTGTCGCCGCCAACCAGCGACGCTCCTCGTGAACGCGCAGTGCCGAAAATAGAAACTTCAACTTGTAGTTCCTCTGTGTCTGATTCTTCGTCATCACGATGGGCTAGCTTGATTTCGCCCTCTATTAAAGGTTCAGTTCTCTCTCTCTCAAGAAGGTGGGGTCTCCTCTTCGATTTCAGTGACCCCAATCTAAATGGTGACCCCAATCTAAAAGCTGAGCCTTAACTCTAGTTTCTTGGCTTCTTTCGGATTCGGACCTCTGCGGCCCATGGGAGGCTGGGAAGTACGCTCTTCTCGGACTGAATCAGCCTGCATCAAGTAGGAAACGTTTTTACTGACCATGTCACCGCCTGCTTGCTGGGTACTACTAGCGGAACAAGCTTTAGAACTCACAGCTGCTTGCTCAACCCCTGATTTTTCGCTCTTCTCAGGCTCAGCACCACCATGGTCTAGTACCTGAATATAATTACCACCAGACCCGGAAGCGCCACTGCTGCTACTTGCTGTTCCAACCCCTTCTCCTGAAAGCTTCCAACCTAATCCAGAGTTCGGTCCTTCGGTGGCGGTCCCAAGTCTCCTAGTCCCCTTTGGACTCCTTGTTGCTACACCTCCAGTTGTGGAGTCGTCGCCAGACGCCTGTGGGGAAACAGACGAAGTAGCTCCTGACGTTCCAACTTGATGTTCTACTACATTTTTATTATTGTTCGTTGCGGAGGTGGAGGATAACCAAGTTGTAGTGCTCGCTACTTGTTTAATACCATCTAAGATACTACTAGTTCTACTTCCTTGCCCTTGTTTGGAACCAGGAAGTCCACTGCTAGAGGCAGCCGCGCCAATATCGCTATTCATCCCTACCCCTGTACTATTCTGATCAGCAGCTCCGCTAGGCGCATTCGATGAGCCAGCAACAGCGCCGCTACTTGCACAGCAGCTGTCAACATTCATTGCACTAGCTGAACTGTTGTCCTTCGCCATCAACGCAGGCGCAGTGACGCTATCACCTACACCTGCTGCAACAGCGCGACTCTCCCCAGTAGCTCCACTCACAGCATTCGATGAGCCGGCAACAGCGTGGCTCTCCCCAGTAGATCCGCCAGGAGGCGCGGTCGCCCTTGTCGCAAGTAGGTGCTCACCCTTCTTAGATTCTTTCCCATCTCCATGACTACCCGCAGGTGCAGTTACCTTCTTTTTCGCGTTAGGTTCGTGGTCTTGGTTCCTCTTAGTTTCGCTCTCTTTTACATACCCGAAAAGCAGTTTTCGCCATCGATGCAGCATGCGTTTCACAATCAAGTTGCCCTTCTGCCGCTCGCCTCCCACAAGTGTGTTGCTCTTCGCCGGCCCAACTCCACGGGGTGGTGGATGTTCGTTGTCACTACCGCTACTATCGGTTGCTTCTTCATCCCCGGCTACTGAACTTTGCACCCGCTCGATGTACGTCATCAACTGGGTCATCAATTTCCTCAACAAAGTGTGAGGCGATTTGTACGTCTCAAGCATTTGCGTCAGCAGATTGCGCAAACCGGCTAATCTGGTTTGTGGTGGCACCATTTGCGCAACGAATTGTTCTATTCTTAGAAGAGCTCCAACCAAGAATTCTTCACTTTTGCTTCTTGCTTGCCTTCACTTCTTTTCAGAATAATCCTGAGAAGGAAGCCGAAGAAAATGAGAATGACCACCCTTAGAAATGAATGCCACCGAGCCTTAAGATTGGTCCTTGAATTTCTCGTACATGAAGAAAAGCGTCGATCTTTTTCTTCACCATTTCTCTAGATTCTTTCGGAATAGGCTCATCCAGCAAGTCCTGCGCTGTTTTACTAGTCGTCACCATCGACACTAAAATCGGCGTCAAGTCCCCGACAAGGTCTAAAAACCCCTTAGTAAACGCCGCCGCAGTCACCTGACACCGACCCTCTAAAGAAGAGTAGAGTTTGAAGTTGTGTCGGAAGGTACTATGCAAAGCGAGGAGACTCTCACTGGGGTACAGGCACATCCTCAAACGGCATCCAAGATTTTCAGCTTGTTCGCGGCCCACCTTCGTGATCTCCCCTCCCCATTTTGCTACTACCTGCACTTGCGCCACTCGGCCTGGCAAGCCTTTGGACTCGATGGGTTTCAGGAGTCTTAGAGAAAAAACAATGAAGATATAAATCATATGCGAATAATATCAACTGTAGGATATTAGCTCATGCAAAAGTCAAGATAGATATACCTGAAGCTGAAGTCCGTACCACAAACAATAACTACTATATATAATATCATCCATTGATTATATTAGTATTTATAGTATATAATATAACTATAATATTAACTAATTATTATTATAACTATAATGGCGTTAAGTCAACTAAGAACTGCACAAAAACGGTCACTATTGTCGCCTCCTCGTCCTGGAAGTGCTCCGCTTAGCGGCTTTTGCAACTTGCTTCCTCTTGGTTTTTCTGTCTTTTGGTTTCGTTTCATGTGATTCCCCGCGCCCCTCCAGAGTCCACCGCACCAGCCTGCAAATGTATGCTGGGGGATTCTGGAGGGGCGCGGGGATTTGGAGGGCGCCCGAGGTTCTTGGCTCGCAATTGGGTGAGGGTTTTCCAGAAGGGAGCGCAGTAGGCGGCGAGTGTTCTGCGGATTCGTATCATGCCCGAGAAGATTGAATTTTGTCCGGATTTTTGCAGTCCTTAGTTGAATTTTCTCCATTCTAACTCCACTTGTCTGTGGTCGAATTTTTCGCCATAATCGGAAAGGTTTGAGACACTCCGCCCGAGGTTCTTCGTTCTTGGGTCTTTTCATGTTGTTAAGTGTTGGACTTTTGACCACCCGGCGCCCCGAAGCTCTCGCGCCGGGTGGGATTAGTTACAAAGAGAAGCGACGCGCTGCCGCCTTCAAATGGTCAGACCACTCACGCGCGCCGCCGTTTGTGCGCAGATTGTCGGGGGGGTTTGCTGGCGTTGTTCGCACTCTTTTGAAGTATTTCAGCGGGGAAGTTTGCGGGGGTTTCGCCGGAATTGAATAAACCTCTCTACTGTTTGCCGCTTTCCTGCTCGCTAGGCCATTTTTGATGAAAAAAGTGAAAAGATGTCTTCAGATTTTTTTCCAAAAATGGCCTTGCGAGCAGGAAAGCGGCAAACAATAGAGAGGCTTATTCAATTTCGTGGCATTTCTCAAGAAGGGCTGGACCAGTTGCCGCTTGAGTTCCAAAGGGCTCGCGCCTCCTCTTTTTGTTAAGTTTCGATGGTGTGGCGTGCTCGCTGTGCCTCTGGTGCTTCCGCAGATGGCTGATTAGAATGGCGTTAAGTCAACTAAGAACTGCACAAAAACGGTCACTATTGTCGCCTCCTCGTCCTGGAAGTGCTCCGCTTAGCGGCTTTTGCAACTTGCTTCCTCTTGGTTTTTCTGTCTTTTGGTTTCGTTTCATGTGATTCCCCGCGCCCCTCCAGAGTCCACCGCACCAGCCTGCAAATGTATGCTGGGGGATTCTGGAGGGGCGCGGGGATTTGGAGGGCGCCCGAGGTTCTTGGCTCGCAATTGGGTGAGGGTTTCCAGAAGGGAGCGCAGTAGGCGGCGAGTGTTCTGCGGATTCGTATCATGCCCGAGAAGATTGAATTTTGTCCGGATTTTTGCAGTCCTTAGTTGAATTTTCTCCATTCTAACTCCACTTGTCTGTGGTCGAATTTTTCGCCATAATCGGAAAGGTTTGAGACACTCCGCCCGAGGTTCTTCGTTCTTGGGTCTTTTCATGTTGTTAAGTGTTGGACTTTTGACCACCCGGCGCCCCGAAGCTCTCGCGCCGGGTGGGATTAGTTACAAAGAGAAGCGACGCGCTGCCGCCTTCAAATGGTCAGACCACTCACGCGCGCCGCCGTTTGTGCGCAGATTGTCGGGGGGGTTTGCTGGCGTTGTTCGCACTCTTTTGAAGTATTTCAGCGGGGAAGTTTGCGGGGGTTTCGCCGGAATTGAATAAACCTCTCTACTGTTTGCCGCTTTCCTGCTCGCTAGGCCATTTTTGATGAAAAAAGTGAAAAGATGTCTTCAGATTTTTTTCCAAAAATGGCCTTGCGAGCAGGAAAGCGGCAAACAATAGAGAGGCTTATTCAATTTCGTGGCATTTCTCAAGAAGGGCTGGACCTGTTGCCGCTTGAGTTCCAAAGGGCTCGCGCCTCCTCTTTTTGTTAGGTTTCGACGGTGTGGCGTGCTCGCTGTGCCTCTGGTGCTTCCGCAGGTGGCTGATTAGAATGGCGCTAAGTCAGCTAAGAACTGCACAAAAACGGTCACTATTGTCGCCTCCTCGTCCTGGAAGTGCTCCGCTTAGCGGCTTTTGCAACTTGCTTCCTCTTGGTTTTTCTGTCTTTTGGTTTCGTTTCATGTGATTCCCCGCGCCCCTCCAGAGTCCACCGCACCAGCCTGCAAATGTATGCTGGGGGATTCTGGAGGGGCGCGGGGATTTGGAGGGCGCCCGAGGTTCTTGGCTCGCAATTGGGTGAGGGTTTTCCAGAAGGGAGCGCAGTAGGCGGCGAGTGTTCTGCGGATTCGTATCATGCCCGAGAAGATTGAATTTTGTCCGGATTTTTGCAGTCCTTAGTTGAATTTTCTCCAATATAACCATAACTGCACTTTTCTGTTCAGACCTGTGAACTTGTCGTGCAAGCAGAGAATTTCACGCAGAAGCTCCATATTCGTCTTCTCCCTCTGCACAGGGTGCGTTCCAGACAATGGGCCGCCACCCAAATGCGTCAGCGAGTCGTTCAATTCCTGAATGATACCCTCTACTTCTCCTAGGAGCTGTTTCAAGTCCTCTACACTTTTGATGCAGATTTCTCTGGTATCTTCCTTGGCGAGATAAGGCCTCCAGCCGCTTTCACTGCGCTCATCAGCTGGCGTTGCACCTGAGGTACCTGGCGTGACTCGACCCGCTTCGACGATGCCAGGTATTGACGTAGAACCTCTACGAGGGTCCGTAACAGTCGTAGAGGCTGCGAGGAGTATGAAACGGGAGACGAAAAGAGAAATAGCTATAACTTTCAACATCATCAAGTTCAAGATAATAAGTACTTATATATAAGTGGTTCCCCAGAAGTACTATGAGTTAGTCTAGTAAAATCCTTCTCCGTGAGCATTCGTAGTAAAATAACTCTCATCAAAAATCAAGTTGATGTTTCTTAGACCATAGCAACGGCCCCTGCACTGACCGTAGCTCCTGCCCCACAAGCAAGATCCACGACACTAGTCCTTTTTCCTTCCGAAATCTCCCTACTGTCATCGTTATCGCGTCCCCTAGCTATCAAATCCGAGTCATCGTATCCAGTGTCGTTCTCGAGGCTCAAGCTGCCGTCCCGATTCCCCATTGGAGAAGAGGTCAACTTACAATCCTTAACTGGACGATGCACGATGCGGTCGAGATCTAGGGTATTCTCCGGACTTCGAATCCCAGGCTTGCTTTTGCTGTTGCTAGCAGAGCTTGCGCCAGACCCTGGCTCTACTAAAGGCCGTCTTGCCATGAGACCAACTGATGGCCCCGTGTCATTGGTGAACTGCAGGGCTGCACTGTTGACTCCTGGCTTCATAGGGCTGGAAACGTTCAAAGCATCATCGACTTTCGCTCTGCTCTCTTTAGAGGTATAGGAAATTCATCTCGGGGGCCATCGGGGTGCCTTTTTCCTCTCACCCTGTTTTTCGAGATGGCTCTGGAGATGCATTCCCTACACCCATAATCTCTGCTACAGTCTTTAGCGCAGAGGCAGAAGAGCCAGGCGGGGAGGCTGACGTAGTAGAGGTATTATCGAAACCACTGGCACCAGCTGCAGAAGTGGGACTTACAGCTATTGCAGTTCCAGTGCCTGTCGCAGGCTTGTCTCCACCACCTTGATTGGTGTCATCCCCCGCTGCTACTGCGCGAAAATTAGAACAATGAAAGCACCATTTACGTTGTGCCCTAGCTAGTAGAGGCACGAAGTAAAAAAAGTAAAAGACAAAGGTTAAATTTTAGAAGGATTTAAGAAACCGACGTCCACCATACTTTTTTCCGCGCCCGCCTCCTGTGTCGTCCCGGATTCTCTATCCTTTTCACCAGCAGTCAATCCGTTGTATACATACTGCAGGAATACGGGATGATGTGTTCGGAACTTGAGTTTTTCCTTTGGTTTACGGTCTCCATGCCTCATGATGATCAAAACTGAACGCAACTCCTCACCACTCGATTGGGTAGCAACTGCGCCCTCCTCCGGGAGATCAGCAAAAGTCTGCTGCACTACGTCGCGGCTGAGAGGTAGGGGACGGGTTATACAATTGAAGGCCCGAGTGACTCAAACCGGCGACTTCTACATACAAGAGACCGAGCTGCGCTGGGCACGAGACATCCGGCCTCAGCTGCCTCATGACTTGAAAGAAATCCATGAGAAACAGAAGAATGAAAGCAAAGAAAGTAGAAGGCCCAGACGCGTCGCCACGCACATCTACTGAGGCGACCCGCCCCGTGGTGCTGTTTGGGCTCACCTGAGTAGCCACCCAACCGAAGAAGACCGCCGCGGCCCACCCCAAGGAGATACTTACGGGGCCAACCAGCAACGGCCCTGCTTAACAAACACGCACACAGGGAGAGAGATCCGCGGCAGTCTGACGGCTGTGCGAGAGATTCTGCTCGATCAGCCGAAGCGCGACCAAGGCAAACAACCAAGACCAAGGAGAGCCGCAACAGCATGCCCAACCTTTGAAAAACCCCACGCACACGCCTGGCTGGGTAGCCCTGAAGCTGCGGCACTCCAACTCGCGCGCCGAAGCCCTGGGCACTGCGCCAGCCGAAGTCTTCGGCGTCGGTCCATCTCCTGTCGCTCGGTCATATCTGGCGCGGCCAGGGCTTCTGTTTTTTGTAAGGGCAAGACCCACAGGCCCTCAGCGGTTTGGGAGCCACCACGCGGGCCCCCTGCCAATGAATTGCCCGACGAGCAGAGATATAGCCACCCCCCGCGAAAGCCCGGCCGCTACGCTGATGAAGTGCGCAAAGCGCGGGCCCCTGCTAGGTATGCTGCGCCCTTTCAAAGAAGAAGAGAGAGGCGAGCCCTACCGGCCCCCGCCAAGCTACAGCGACACCCTACGAGGCGAAGCTGCTTATTGGAGACGGGCACCGCATACGCTTCGCTGCGGTCTTGCTTGGAAGCGCGCAAGAAGTGCGCGAGGGCCAGCACTGCACGCAAGAGCCTGCAAACTTTGCGGAGAGGTTTCCAGGCCTCTCTTTCCAAGTTGCCCCCTGGTTCAGTTTGTTACCACACCACGCAAGCGCAGCCAGCCCACTGACCTCACGCCGCCCTCTTATATGCCCACGCTGCGGCTTGGTAGAGCCCCCCGCCCGAGTGCATTCCCTCCGCCTTTCACCTCTTGGCCTCCGTGGGTTCCCCTCCTCCTTTGTTTGCCGTCATCCGCAAGCCTCTCCGTGTTGCGCATAAATAAAGACGCGGACCGCGAAGAGACTGCGGGCGCTGTTTTGGGCGGCATTTATGTGCTTGCTGCGTTGGGTACTTGTCGAAACAGTTGGGGAGCTTGTTGCGGTGCTTCGTGCTCCGCTTGCGGTGCCTCGAAACCCACCCCGACACAAGCGCCAGCCAAGGACGCGGCGCGGAGCACGGGGACGGGCACGCAAGTGAAAAGCTACGCCTTTCCTGCGCAACACCATGCGGCAAGGCCTGGGCGCTCCTGCGCTTCTCTGTGATCCCATGCACATAAACCTGGAAGCCCGACGACTTCCGCGCGCCTTGCTCTGTTTCAGTGGTCGCCTATTCGTCTGGCGCCGCGGGCCCTGTCCTGCATCTGCTGCGGTCGGCGAGCCCGTTGCCGAAGACGCAGCGCCACCCTTTAGCTCTATAGAGCCCGGGCCGAAGCGTAACCAGCCGGGCGCCTATTGCCCCCCTTGGCCAAGCACGCCGATCATCCTGATCGCCCCCGGGATACAGGTCGAGAAATGACAGCGCATTGGGCACCCCTGTGAAAAATGCCCGGCGGTTTGGTATGCCGCTGGGCCCTTTGTCGAGGAGCAGCGCGGCAGGCCGGCTACGATATCAAACTAAAGCCCACCACGCCGCCACGCACTACATAGACGAGCAAAAGCCCCTCGCGCAACTCAATACCAGAGACCAAATGTAAAGCTAAAAGTACTCAACAAGTTGCAGCGCATCATCCTCCAGCGTGAGCATGGCCCACTTCTCGCCTGAGGGTCCCGACTTCAGTCTTTCGTAGAAGAACCTCTTTAGCTGTAGACTGCAATCCTCGTAGTATTTGCTGTTTCCCTTTACGAATGACCAACCGTTAACGTCGCACACTACAGGAAAAAAACCTTTCGTTCGCAAAATATCGAAGCCGCAGACTGCTTGTCCGATATGAAAGGAGGAAGAACAAGCATCTTCGACTAGATGTCATAGGGGAAGTCGCTTCATGAGTGACAACTTAATCTACAAATATGCTTACTACCAGACGACTGCTAGCCTGAACCAAACTTCTACAAGACTTCTAGTTATCTACACGACACTTTTTCCGCGAGTCATTCATCATAACCAAAAGCTTCTACGATTGTTTGCGCGATTTGCTTTTCGATCTGACTGAGGATAATGGGATAGCGGACCTCCTTGCCGTCCTTGCTTCGCTGGACTGCCCCATCAACAGTAGGAGCTTTTCGAGCCTCACCATGGGAGTAGTTCAGACCTACTGTGTAGACCTGTAGTAGGTAGTGATGTACTTCTTAGTAATTGCGAAAGCGTTAGTTGGAACAACTGAAGATGTTGGCTCTTTCAAATTTGTGTTCGATCGTACTTGTGGCTGTGGTAGTCCTTTGTTGAAGGTCGTGAAGCTTTCCTTCGTTTTCGTGGAAATGGTAGTAGAGGACATTGGCATAGTATCTTCTGGGTAACAAGAAGTGGAGTAAACTCTTCACATATCTATCACACCAATTTTAATGCAAACACCTTAATATCCGTTCCTCCTGTCGAAATAAAAGGTTCGTAGATGTAAGGCATATTCCTACGAACAGCGTGCGTCGCCGGATCATACTCGCTGGACTTGTTGTGCACTTTACGGAACAGCCTCTTAATCCCTCCCCCACTGCTCATAGGATAGTAGACGTAGATATTATGGTCGTCACCGTCTAGAGGCTTTTCTACGAAGGGTTTGTAGATTTTCTGCCCATCCCATACGATGTAATCGTCAGTTTCGTGGAACCTTTGAGTTTGTTTTGTAATGTCAATGACGGATACGTAGACGCAGATCTTTTACCATGTTACCTGATGTTGTCCCCTCTAGATCACGCATCTCCAACGACCTTTGTCAAAAAAATCAAATCTATCGCTACAAGATTGTGATAAACATTAAGTACAAGAGCATTGTAGATAAGAATGCCTGTCACTATCATGATGGTCTTCCACCTAGACGTAATTTGAATGTAGACTCAGTACCTTTCACTATCATGATGGTCTTCAACGTAGACGTAATTTGGTGTCGGGATATTATATTGCCTCAATTTCTCGTACACCAATCTGCGATCCCTCAGTAACGACTGCTGCTGCAACGAGTTTATCTCCACAGGTCGTCGTAGTTTGACGTATTCTACGGCCTTTGCTAATTAGAGCTGAAACAATTCACTTCGTCAATTCATTTTTTCAGATTCCCTAGAAGGAAACAGAAGAAACTTGCCCTTAATCTATTCAATTCTAATGGGAATGATCTCAATCTATAGTTTTGGAGCCTCAATCTAATGGGAAGCCCATGGAGTCGAAGGAGATGAGACACTCGCAAACTGGCCACCTCTCCACTCCCTCTTTCAGTATCACCTCTTCCGGAAAGACGACGACATCGAAGGACCGTCCGAGACGTCGGAGGATATTCGTCATCGGACCAGAAGCGGCTTTGTTCGACATGCAGCAGATGCCCAAGCGGGGCACTGACGAGGACGCCGACATGGTTGTCGAACTTTCTGTTCTGCCTCGCGGCACGCCCCCTGACGAGGACGCCGACATGGTTGTCGAACTTTCTGTTCTGCCTACTGATGGACGTGGACCAGGACTAGGTCGTTAGGTACTTAGAGTTCTGGTCCATCATGTTGGTCTAGCTTTCGTCCGTATAGTCGCTAGGAATCCGTATTGAACAGAGGATCAATCAATAGTCTTCACTACACGAGAAGAACTGCATTCTGTTGATTTTAGTCTATTGATTCGTAACTTATAACTGTACGTAGAATACGCAACTTCTCACAGGTCACCTTCGTACCTTCTTTTCTGCCTACTGATGGACGTGGGCTAGATCGGTCTGTAGTGTACACATTCGCGGGGTAGAAAAGCTTAGTTAATCAACATCATGGCATAGATACTACATTGAGCAGAGATGCGACACCATCTATCCACACGGAGTCCCTGCTAAAAACGGTCCATTGAAAATCCAAATGTTTCGTCTCATGGTGTCACACGAAATCTCAAGCAGAAAGTCGACCCCTGTGGTAAGGCAGAAGCAATATCGTCAAGCTCAAGCTCAAAATGAAATCTTTTTCAGATGTCCGCCACAATGCTTGGTAGACTTTGGTAGACTACCAAGTAGGTTTTTACCTGCTGGTCTTGTTAGACTGACATGTACAACGTGAAGGAGAGAGTATTTCCACCACAACCGCACAACATCATTTAGCAGTACTATTGTATAACATGCAAGAGAGGAGCCAGCTGCACAAAGTCTGGCTTCATCAAACGAATGCGTCACTCGCCCATCCATAAACTGTGCAGAAGTACCGATGAAAAAGGATGTTTAGTATCCTACCAGGGAGATCATGTGAAAAGCGCGTACATTGAAATAAGATTGCAGAATAACGAGTTCTTTTCGCAGCACAGGAAAACTATGATCCTACCAGAAGAGCAACGGGAGGGACCAAGGATAGTATTTTCAACAAGAGAACCTTTTCCAATCGCCAGGTAAAAAGCTGTAGCCTCTATCTAAGCTTTGACTTATGTATAATGTCTCAGGTCCCTAGTGTTCCGCGCTTCAATCCTTTCAACCACACGGGGAAGTCAAAGAGGAGGGGAGCCAGGACACACTCAGTAGCACACTCATCGCGAAGCGAGTTTTAATAGGCTTCAGCTTTTAGTCATTTCTTCTTTTCATCACCGCCAGAACTCTCCACCCCTCCACGACGCGACCCTGTTGCTTCGAAAGCCGAAAGCTTTTGGATTCAAAGCTATGACTTTGGGGCGATCGCCATCGATGTAGAACAGGCAACCCGTCCCACACCCACGGACTTCTTGCTTCGGCTTTTTGTTTCTTGTGGGGCTCAGTGAGGTCTGTCCCTACCGGTTCACTGCGGGAGCAGTCTGTTGACTTTGTCGTTGTTCGTGGACCCCCCGCAGGGGTCCCGGTTCTCTTCTTGCGTTGGCCTACCAGGAGCTTTTTTAAGCGCCAAAACGACACTAGAAAACTACCTATTTCCATCCAAGTAAGCTGTAAGCAAGTTTAAAGCAACGCCCTATATCACGCACTACCTCTTTGATTACGGCAACAACTACAACACTATTATTTCACTACCCTAATACTAGCCAAGCTTTCAGAGTTCTATCTACTTACACGCCTATGCCTTGGAAATGTAAGGAAATAACTCAACTTCAAACACTTATAAAAAGTTTATCATCATAGACAGTATAGGGGGCAAACAAAAGTCAAAGTAAGTTAGTTACGTGTTTAGTGACTTTATTGGGACTAAGATCCTACCACATGTGAGAATTCTTTTAAACATTCATCATTTATCGGCTAGAGAAATATGATAGTTAGTCGATCATTAGTCAGTAAATCGATGCGGAAAGACACGGAAAACAAGTGCCAGATGCTCTATTTGATCTTCATGTTCGCGTTCGCATATTTATCTAAATGACTTGTGTCCTACTTGAAAAGGAGGTCACAGATATGCCTATCATCGTCATTGCGTCGCAAGTGGTCATACCGAACCACCGGCAAGACGAAACATAGAGAGGTCAACTACAACTTCCATACAACCCCTCTGAACTTTCTTTCCGACTCCTTTCTAATGTGAGACGTAGACCTTCAATCCAATTCGCGACGCCCTGACTCACAGGTCGATTATCGACGTCGACTATCACTGTTGCCATACTAGATTGCCGTCTTTCAAAAACGTCATCGTCAGGTTGAACTTGATCACCTCCTGGCTTGTTAACGCTGTTTTTTCTTCTTCACTATGTCTGGTTGCGGGAGTTTTTAGTTGCCCTTTGGTTTCACCTTGATTTGTTTCCTCTTTAAATCACAAGGGCGACCCCACTCAGCATAGTCCACATTCAGGATAGTGAAAAACTGGCCTTAATAACTTGTTGCTGACCTGCTCCATGTTGATCAACTCCTTGCCCTCCCTCTCGATAAAATGATTCTCCAATGGTGCCAAAGCAGTCCACTCCTGTCTGAAAACCCTGACCTATGTGTACGGAACTGACTTGACAATGACCTCCTTGAAAACTTTGACCTCCTTCAGAAGAGCCTTGACCTCCTTGAGAGCTTTGACCTCCTTGTTGTTGTTGCGGACGATAGGCTTGATACACTTTAGAGTTTCCAAAACACTGGTCCCAAATTTGCATGGTCAAGTTGTACCTCTCTTGCGCAGTTAACCCGCGCCCAAGGAGTTCTTCATTCATCTCTCTTGCTTGCGAAACAGCGGCCTGAAAAGCTGGGTCTTCGCGGTCGGTTAGGACTCTATTTTCGCGGCAAGGATGAGGATGCTCCTGCTGTTGCTGACCTGTTGCTCCCGCAGGATTAGACTGCTGTTGTCCCTGATGACCCGTTATTCCTGAAGGAAGATCAGACCCTTGCTGCTGCACTGGAAGATGGTGGCCAAGAGATCCTGGTTGCTGCTCGCCTTGAAGATGGTTCTGCTGTCGTCCATTACCTCCGTTATGGTGAAGCGCCTCCAACTGTTGCCGTTGCGAAGCATTAAATCGATACGCACCGAAGTCACGATGATGGTGGCCTTGCAGTTGTTGTTGTTCTTGACGTCCTGCGCTGTTAGGAAAAGACTCAGATCCTTGCTGTAGTCCTTGACGTCCTGCTCCATGAGGATGAAAAGCTTCTTGTGGCCCTTGATGTTGGTTGTGCTGAAAAGACTGGCGTTGCCCTTGATGCTGGTTGTGCTGAAAAGACTGGTGTTGCCCTTGATGTTGGTTGTGCTGAAAAGCCTGGCGTTGCCCTCGATGTTGGATGTGCTGAAAGGACTGGTGTTGCCCTTGATGTTGGTTGTGCTGAAAAGCATGGTGTTGCCCTTGATGCTGGTTGTGCTGAAAAGACTGGCGTTGCCCTTGATGCTGGTTGTGCTGAAAAGCCTGGTGTTGCCCTTGATGTTGGTTGTGCTGAAAAGCCTGGTGTTGCCCTTGATGTTGGTTGTGCTGAAAAGCCTGGTGTTGCCCTTGATGTTGGTTGTGCTGAAAAGCATCCTGTTGCCCTTGATGTTGGTTGTGCTGAAAAGCCTGGTGTTGCCCTTGATGTTGGTTGTGCTGAAAAGCCTGGTGTTGCCCTTGCTGTTGGTTGTGCTGAAAAGCCTGGTGTTGCCCTTGCTGTTGGCCAGGATGAACTGGAGTTTGTTCTTGATGATATTGATTAACAAACAGATCCTGTTGCTCTTGATGGTGTAGTTGACCAGGATAGCGATTCCGCCAGTGATATTGAGGAGCATAAGGCTGCTGCCCATGGGAACAATTGGCAGCATGTTCAGGTTCTTGAGAGTGAGGGGCATAAGGCTGCTGGGTTCGATGATCGCAAGCATCTTGAGGCTCTTGCTGGGTTTGTTCATTTTGTTGATGATGCCCACGAGTATTCTGCTTCTGGTTATGACGGCGGCCAGGAAAATCCTGCCTCTCACCATCGAACCAAGTATACAACCGCTGATCTTCCGGTTGGCCAGAGTAGAGGTGATGACCTTGGTCACCACGTTGCTGCTGATGATGTTGATAAGGTCTGCTTAATCTTAAACTAGACTGCTCGTCTCGTTGCCCGGCATGGTTTGTTCTTTTACGAAGAAGAGGTGGTTTACCTCCTTGAAGATCCCGGTGGATGCAAGAATACTGCTGTTCTTGACATTGACTAGGTGGATATAGAGCTTCTTGTTGCTGCTGTTGCTGGTGGCCAACAAATTGGGCTTGTTCTTGCACCTCCGGCATAGCAAAAGACTGCTGTTCTTGACGTTGACTCGGTGGATACAGAGCTTCTTGTTGCTGCTGTTG